TAACGAGTTCGAGAATTTACGGAGAAATATCGGACCGAAGTTTTTTGTACAGGCCGATATTTCTCAGTAAAGACCTAGAAAGCGAGGTTATTAAAAGGATTATTATATGGCATTATTTGACCTGAAATGAAGCTTTGCTTTCCTCTCTCTTTGCTCTTTGTATGGGTTGCCTTTCATTTTTCTAGTTTTCGTCAGTAAAAAGAAATCGTTTCAAATTGTATCGTCTGATAGTTAAACTGTTTTCCAAGTGTTTTTCCTTCGAATCACATTCGTAAATGGTTTTTTGTTTCGGTTTTTTGCGTTTTCCTGTTTGCTTTATGAAGTTTGTTTAAATTTGACTGTAAATATACGCGTTTTTGAACCGTGGTCGATTACGGGAAAATAATGGACCGGCACAAATGTTTATGAGCCTTTGGCCGGAAGTGACGCTTGCCATATAATAATATAGGTTAATTTAAGTTATAATATATAAAGTGAAAATGCATGGTTTGAACCCAGGAGTATCGTTGCATGTTTAGTGCAGTCCAGAAAGAACTGTTGGTGTTAATGTTGACTGCTTATAATATGGCCAACCTTGACATACTCTTCGCGAGGATAACCACAACTTAGAATGTCCAAACGTCAGTCAACAACAACACCAACAGTGCTCAGGACTTCGCTATCCTGGAGAATCTACGTGCTTCTACAAACATGTGAGACCGTAACGTAAAATCGTGTTTTATTTTCACATGATCTTAGAACTTATGGAGTTGACCGACATTTGAGATGAACCACATTTTTTTAAAGCAAACATTTAGTAGAAACATGTTGACATTGAAGAGGTTTGTCGTTCATCTCACATGCTCATTTAAGAATTAAAAAATGTTTACAGTTTGCACATGCTTATTCATACCGAGAGGCCTTTGGTCGAGGGTTGCATCTGCTCGAGAGTTCTCACAACGTCTCCGAAGTTTGCATAAGCCAGTGCAAACATGAAAACATCTTTTATTTCTTTATAAAATAGTAATGTGAAACAGACAAATTTAAAACACAAGTTTTAATTTTTCCTTCTACATGTATTTGTGATTGATATGAAATTCTCTTTGACTGATTGATTTTGATTGGTTGAGCTCAGATTGGTATGTACAGGCTAAATGCAAATAATGCTATAGACCAATCTGTGAAACCGTTTTATTGTGTTATTTGTAAAACATAATACTTAATTTGGTAATAATTATAATACTTAATTTGGTAATAATTATAATACTTAATTTGGTAATAATTATAATACTTAATTTGGTAATAATTATAATACTCATGTGAAATTTAGTTTGAAATCGATGATGTTTCAAGACATGAGTTTCAGCAACAGAAACCAGAAAATTAATTGGATGTTTCCTTTAGAAAAAGCTCCAATGGTTGATCGAATTTCGAGACAGCAGAAACAATCAATACTCAATCTTCTGCAAATGGTTGATAGAATTTCCGAGACTACAGAAACTTTAACCATCGATACCAATCTCCTGCTGTCACGCCAACTTTTACCGAAGTGACTCCGATGACGAAGGGATAACGATGTACATGGTGAGTGTCTTCTCAGTAATTGCTTGGTAAAACTTAATTGTATACCAAAACAGATGACCTCATCTTTGACCGCTTCGCTTCTTTGCAATTCCTTGTTATTGATTACTGCCTTTTATTCCAGCGCGCATGCTCAAACTGAAAATTGTTAACTCTGAAGTACGTCATGTTTTTGTTTCGCCTTTCTCTTCTTCTTGGTATCACGAATGGCGTATGTATGAAGTTGGAAAATATTTTGATATATTTTATTTCATTACGGTTCCAAGCCGTCAACTTGTATCACCACTGCAATTTGTATCTTGCTAAAGGCTGATTTCCATTTAGTGCAAAATGTCGCGCGATCGACTTTTTCCGAGCACTTTTTTTCAATTGTAAGCTCTCGACAGGAACAGTTTCGCACTGCTAGACACAATTCAAAAGAACTTGATCGCAAAGTCGATCACGTGACAATTTGCACTGAATGGAAATCAGCCTTAAGGCACTTTGCTAAAGAAATTGAATCGTAATTAAATTGATTTAATTGTTTCTTTCCCACCGTTGTCATGTGGCAACCAGCAATCACGAAACGAGTTTAAACTCATCAGATAAAAAACATGTAATAAAGTGAATGGTTTGAACCCGAGGTCCCTTTTATATGTTTGTTTATGTAGATCGTAGAAGTTACTAACCTGGACGATCTACATCCACAAACAATTAAAAACATGCATCTGAGAGTCGGGGTCGACTTTAAAACCCCTACGGCTTGTCAATATATGTTTGTGCAATGTTTTCTCGGTAGAACTGACAATATCTTGTTTTCCTTTAGAATGTGAAATAAGGTCAAGGACGCAATTCGAGCTCGCTGGCGAACTCACAGGACTCTTGTGTACATCGGGGAACCTCTGAGTCTCCAAAGAGAAGGAAGGAGCTTTAAGGGATCCCTACATGGTATACCTTAGTCAGATGAGCCTATGGGAAAGTATCTTGAAAACAATACAAGAAGTCACGTGCTGTTGAGCAATACCTGAGGATGTCACGTGTCAGATGACTGCCCGTTACTACGTAGGAATGTTTAATGAAGAATTGTACAAGAAAGGTTAATGAATGATTTCAAGCACGGTATTTGAAACAAACACAAAAATATGGAATGAGTTTAATATACATAGTTACTGGAAGTCAGACAAACCGTCTTTATTCAATAAAATTTCACTACTTCAAATATACTTGAAATATGATGATAAGTAGATAGCTTTCTCGATGAAAAACTGTCTTTCAACTTGCTCATGGATTCTACCATCCTTACAAATTGCTATCCATTTTCAGGAATTGAAGTCAGTCCAATCCAATTCTTACCAGTTGTAATGCTTCAACTCTTTCAAACGTGATGGCCAACCGACTTCTATGATTTACAATGTTGAACCATACATGCAAGGAAACTTTACCAGATTAACCAACAACTGGGACTTGTCAATACAAATGGTGTTGGTTGTAAATTGGTGCTGGCATTCAGGTTTGTTGAAGATAAATCTAACGATTTTTCCCACAAGTTTCATTTTTGACTAAACCTATATTTTGACTTAACCTATTTATTGAACAAACCTATTTATTGAACAAACCTACTTTTTGACTAAACTATTTTTTGACCAAATCTATTTTTGAATTAAACTTGGTGTATTTATCCATCAGATGTCTTCCATTGCTCTTGTTTTTCTACCAAAGTATTTTGTAGAACGCTGAGAATTGTGGTGCCAGTATTTTTTGATAGCCTACCATTTCCTACGTATTTAGGCAGTTTTCAGTTGATTGTCCAGAGAATTTGACATTTTACAGTTGATCGACGTTTCGACAACCTTAGCGGTAGTCATCTTCAGAGTCAACCGCTAAGGTTGTCGAAACGTCAGTCGACAAAAAACAGTCCTTCTCAGGTCTATACCAACCTGGACGATCTCCATCTACAAACATGTAACTATACCCGGGTTCAAATCATTTACTTTAGTATTTTTTGTATGTCGTATGCACTACAGGCAGTGGTGAAGGATGCCATCATTTAATTTGCAGTAACCAAAACATTTTTATGCTTTTGTCTTCTCGGTAATTTCATCTAGAAATCTTAAATGTAAAATTTAACGCCCACCATTACCTGGCGTGGTGCGAAAATAAACGAAGGAGACGTAAAGTGGGTTAAAATGTAGAATTTGAGACCGAGTTGCCCATCTATGTATTCTCATTCTACCAAAACAAAGAAAATGGCAGCCTGCTGTACAGCGTGAACCTCTCTACAAATTATTTTTATGTATTGTATATAATATCAAAACTACAATTAGAAAAATAGTACAGGGAAGGTAATAGTTGAATACGAAAAATTAGCATGAAGCGCAAAGAATCCTAACAAAGACTATAAAACGTATAGAACAATATTGAGTCGCGTTTATATTGCTAAACATCCATTTTATTCCGTTTCAGCCATTTTTACCTACGAGAAATCGGGTGGTGAATTACTCATCACTGATCATCAAGGATGGACAACTGATGATCATCGATCCACAACATTCTAACCGATCCAGATACACAGTCGAAATAAAATGTTATATGGCACAGGTAACAAGGGAATGGAAGGGATGAAAACATTTTGGAATGTGATGCATGTTGAATGTAATGAGATATGTAAAAGTTATGTCTGACAAGACCGTCATGAATAATTGTATGGAGCCCAGTTTAGCGGACAGCTCGCGCGCTTTCTCCGAATAGTCAGCGGGAAATTACTACTATCGTAGTGAAACTAGCGCTGGAGCAAATACCTTCGATATTAAATCCGCCTTTTAAAAATAGGTAGATATTAATACCTGTCCCAAATTTCTATATTGTTGAAGTATTGTCGAGTTGACACAAATGGTCGTTTTAATTTTCGTTTTTATTTGTGCATTTGTGGCGTGCCAATTGTAGCTATATTGACGCACATTGCACTATTTTGTTGCCTGCAAGAGAAATGTCACTTTCCAAGACTGTCATCGCTATGTTTTGTTGAGTGATTTTAATATGAAAATAGATTGCATCATAGGACATTTAAATTTGAAATTTACGATGATTTCGTTATTGTTTAAAATTTGAAAATTGTTTCTAATTCCACGATTGTTGAGTTATTTTTTCGTAATTTTAAAATTGTTCTAATTTTACGATTATTTAATTGATTTTTATAAATTTTATCTAAATTACTTATTTATTATTTGCTCTTTTTTTATTTTCTTTGCTATACAATACACAAAATTCAACATAATAAATGAAATCGTGTAAAAAAACTGCACATTCGTTTTCTTAAATAGAGTAAAGGATGCACTTTTTTCGTCGCGCCTTGTTCGCTTGTTAAAGTAAAAATCTTAAACACGAAAGCTGAAACCACTATTAGTTCGTAGAATATGCAATCGACTATTGTTTTTCTGATAAATAGTATCACCAGCCCCCGTAAAATGCTTCAAATCTAGAATTAGAGATTTTAGAATAAAATTACAAAATCCATTAAATACAAAATTTTATACCCATTATTTAAAAAGTGGCTATTGCCGCGGCTTTGCACGGCGATGTTACAATATTTTTCGGCCAGGTCTCCGCGTTCAACCGTTAAATGTTTCAAAGCTGAACCAAATTTTCAGTGTTGTTTGTGGTTTCAAGTAAACCCAAGTCTTCAACATTTGATAGCTTTTTTCAGCAATTTTTCTGTAGTCATTGTCTATTATTATAACCTGCCAATCAAACAATCCCAGTTCTCGACCAAGTTCTTTCCATTCGCCAACAACCTCACGAGCGATGTATTGTAAATTGGCCAAATCTATATAACCTTCCTTTCCTTCATAGGGTTTGAAAGCATTCTGAACCATTTCAAATGATATTTCAATGTGAATTGGTTCTTCCCTTAGAGTTTCCCTTGTGTGATCTAAAAATGTTTGATTTAGAAATTGTTGTTTCAGACAGTAACATAGGTGAACTAATCAGTTCTCTAGAGCAAGGCTCAAAAAAAGGAAAAATTATGAGCTGACATTAAAATTTTGTCTGGCAGACCAAGTGAACTTCCTATGCTTTCAAAAACTGCCAAAATTTTATAATGACCTGCTGTTGGCCTTAGGAAGCTCGCTATTTCTTTTTGAGCCCAGGTCTTGAGACTTTGATAACTACAAGTTTCATCAAAAACAGGATATTATGGAAAAAGTCATTGTGTCAATCAAACACATAACATAAAATAAGTGCATTTGTCAATATTTTGATTTTCAAAATGCCGGTTTTCAGAATATCCTTTGTTTCATTATAAGCTGTGTTGAATGTGGCATTTTAAACATGTGCTGTCTTACAGTATATCAAAAACAAACAACAAACAACATTTATATACCGGCCAGTATTAATCCCCGCCAGGTTGACCGGTCCATGAATTTTTCCACGCCACACATCTATTCTCGCCATATCTCTCGTTATACCCATCGCCTTCATATCACTGTTCACAATCCATCCATCTCTTTCTCGGTCTACCTCGTTTGCGGACTCCATCAACATTCATATGCAACGTTCTACGAATTTCAGCACTTTCTTCCCTCCTTTCCACATGCCCAAACCACCTCAAACGCTGGCGTCTTACCCATTCTCGATACACTCAACACCAACTCTTTCTCTAATCTCTTCACTTCAATCCTATCCATCAACGTTACACCACACATCATCCTAAGCATTCTCCTTTCCGTCGACGCCAATCTTCTCAGGTCCCTGCTTTCGGCGCCCAACACTCTGCTCCATATCCCAAAACACTTCTAACACATGCCTTATACAATTCTCCCTTCTGCTTCAACGAAATCGACTTTCCGCACAACATTCCTGACAACTCTCTAAAACTCACCACGCTGCTTGAACCTGTTCCTCACCGCTTGCTCGCACCCTCCACCATCATTTAACACATCGCCCAGATATTTAAACTCCGATACACCTTCCAAACTCACGTCACCCAGTTCAAACCGTTCAATCGCGACTCGCCCACCACTTCGACACGTCCCGCACTCAAAATCAGTTACCTTGTCAATGCACCACGGACACCTGAACATCTTCCATGAACCCACTTACCGCATTTCCCACACATTATCGAATTCACTCCAACTCTTTTCCCACCACACACACCACATGGCCATTTATCACTGTCCTTTCACTTCCACCTGCCTCGAGCATCTCATGCCCTCTGTCTTTGCCTCATTCACTTTCAGTCCCTTGACTTCTATTGCCGTTTTCCATTCTCGGTACCATTCCAGAACTTTCTGCTTCGACCCGCCACCAAGACAATGTCATCTGCATACAACAAACACCAGCTTCTTTCTTTCTCTCACTTCCTCTGTCAGTACATCCATCACACAAGCAAACAGTAACGGCGACAAGACTGAACCTTGATGAATTCAACTTTTACCTCAAAACACCAGATCTAGCACCTCCTCCGTAACACTACCGCCTCTACACCTTCATAAGTCTCCATAACTGCCCGAACCATATTCTCTGTCACACCTTTTCTTACGTAGCGCCTCGATCACCTTTCTCGGAACTCTATCAAACGCCTTCTCCAAATCTGCAAACACCATATACAATTCTCTGTCCTCCAAAAATTTCTCCTGCAGCTGCCTCAACACAAAACACGCATCCGTCGTTCCTCTCCCCCGTATGAATCCATACTGCTCTTCCCCCATCCGAACAACTTCCCTCAACCTTCTTTCAAACACTCTCTATACTATCTTCAACGCATTCTCCATCAGCTTAATAGTCCCAATTCCCACATACCGTCGTTCTTTTCCTTTGTACAGCGGGACCACTAGACTCTTTCTCCATGTACTCGGCATCTTTGACCCTCAAAACCTTTCGTTACACAATCCTCTCACGCAGTTCATTGTCCAACATTTCGCTACCCACTTCACCCCGGTCCTGTCGCTTCATCTTTGAGCCGCCGCCACCTCATCAACAGTCACTATTTCCTACGGCCCAAAACTTCATCCGCTTCAACTTCTCCATTCCACCTCATTCTCTACATTCATCAAACAGCGCCCTCCACATCTAACCTGTCTTCCCAACACCTTCAACCCCCATCGGTTCTGCACGCCAGCACCCAAAATATCGTTCCTCTCCTCTTGTTCTCTAGCAGTTCTGAACAATCAAGCCGATATGCTTTGATAGCGAAGCACTTTGAACCGATAATCGATCCTATCTGTCAGCGCGACTTCTCCACCTTTAAATGCCAACTTTCGCGCCAATCACTTTGCTGACTCGTTGATCCCACCACCATGCCTGTTCTTTACCTTACACCGCCTTTATTTCTACAACATACCTTCTCCGCTGCCTTTAAAACACCCTTCTCCGCACGTCCATCGTTCTCCACCGTCTCACCTCAACATTCATGTCGCAATTTCGTCACGGAAACACTGCTTCCCTTCATTCGATCGTACTTCCATAGCTTGCCTGCCTTTACCCCTCAACCTTTCTCCTTTTCACCTCCTGATTCTCCAGTCCATGACCAGCAGCTTGTGCTGGTCACATTCTTCTCCTGCAATCACTTTTGCATCCTTCATTTTTCTCTTCTTCATTCACCAGTATATAATCCACCACCGTCCTACTGTCACCAGATTCATACGTCACAAGTTTGTTTCCTTTATAAACCACGTATTCACTACCACCATCCCACAATCCTGCTTAACTCCAATATCGCCTCGCCTTCAGCATTCATATCACCAACCCAAAACCTCCATGCAGTATCCTTTCTTACGCCCCACATGACCGTTCCAATCACCAAGCATCACATCGCTCCCCAATGTCTGCCTCACTGCATACACGCTGTCTGAACTCTTTCCTTCTCCTCCGCACTTCGTCCAACCTGCGGAGCATACACCACAACGAAACTCACAACTTCGGCCTCAATAACTACATCAACTCTCAGGACTCTGTCCTAAACTCTTCACTGCTACAACTGACTTCGCTTCCCAATCCTCTTATCGCAAAGCCAACACCATTCGTACCTTCCGTTTCCTTCCAAAACCACTTAAATCTCGCCCATTATCTTCACCCTTATGACTCTCCATCTTCTTTAAACCTTACCTCCTGAAACCCACACACATCAACTTTCCTTCTCTTCAACATGTCCGCCACTTCTGCACTCCTTCCCTTCATTGTCCCAACGCTCACTGTGCCTACACCGAAGGGTGACACTTCCACAACCATTCGATCCGAGATCTTTGCACCCCTGCCCACTGAAGGGCTGCCGGGACTGGGGCCATATCTTCTTTTCCAAAGTCCATGAATTTTGTTGGAGCAAAAGTTTTACGGTAGATGTCCTTCCTTACACCAACCCTTTTAGTCGCCTTTACGCATAACGCCAGAGGATAATGCTATATTCTAAGCCGGCAACCACACGCTATGCTGTCTTACAGTATATGATATGTCTATTTCAATTTGAAAAAGGATTAACATGACATGTACATCAAAATAGTTACCTGCTAAATTAGGATATGGCTGTGGATAGTGATAACATTGATGTGGGAGAAACAGGTACTTGCATTTCTGGTAGAACATTTGTCTCATGGTTGCAAGTTTTATACTTGATGTTAGAGTAAGATGGATTGACAATGCTTGTTCCATAAACCTTGGCAAATCAAACTGAATAATAAACATATCATCAAATGTTCCAGGAACGATATTAATGGTGAACACCAAGCCTGCAATTGCTATTTCATCTCCTGTCTTAATTGAATCCATTTAGAATTACTTTTGATTCTTTGCTGGTTGAAGTAAATCATTTTTTGCTGCTTGCATTCCTAATAATAAACCGAAGCTTGGCCATCTGACAAAATATGGCCAACTAATTCAACATGATTCCTTGAAGTGGCTTCATCATTTATGAAAAAGTTGACTTCTTGGCCACGACCAAAAACAACAGTATTGTTCCATAGAATGCGATGCTCAGAAGTATTTAGGACATCAAGGATAGCCTTCTGAGTGCAGCTGTGGACATTAAGTAAAAGTTTCCATGCTAAACAGGAATTAATTGGACAGCAAAAATCAATAATTAAAAACTTGACAAAAACATGTGGGTCAAAAGTAAGTTGGGCAACAAAGTACTTTCTCCAATAAAATTAATGAAATGAAATGTCTCATGCAGCAGAGGTATATAGACAACCCTCCCCTTAATGTACACTACCAGTAACAATAGTCAGATGTTTTGATAAAGTTCATTTTCTACCTTGGCAATGACAATGGATCTGTGGTGAACCATTATTTTTGTTGTGTTTGTTTGAGTAAATTGATGGTCACTTTATCGCAATCTACATTTCGTCTGTATTTTCTGACGATCAACCACCTCAGATAGTACATTTGATCTTCCCAGATGTTCCAATGAAAACCATTATTTTTGTGGTACTTGTTGAAACAAATTGATGGTCAATTCCAGAGCGTTCTATATCTTCTTCTGTATTTTCTGACGATTAACCACCTGAGACAGTACATTTGAATTTGATCTTCCTAGATTTTGCTCTTGATTGCCAACATGTCTGTTCTCAATTTCATTCAAATTAATAATATCATTATCGAGATTATTCAAGTCTCTCTGTCCTCTTACATTTTCTCTATGTCCACAATTTTCACTTGACGTATTAATTTGATTAATAATTTCTCTTGTCTGTTGTGGTTGTCGTCGTCTCCAATAACAAGTAGACTTTCAAAATCATTCGTAATCCTATGATTTTCATCCATTTCATTCGCAATGTCAGAGTTGAACTTTCTTCAAATCGTAATGTTGTTAATGAAAGATCCTTACAGTCAAAATAAACTTTTACTTGAACTAATTTAATTTACATAGTAAATCGTTTTTGACAAACAAACAAATGGGAAATTATATTACATTCTCACTACTCTCAACACGGTCACGTGCTATTCGTCGGTGTGTGCTATTGGTGCCTATTTTCTTGTAATTACATCACCGGAAATTTTGTGAGAGCCACTGATATGTATATTACACTGGATAACGCACCATGTATAAAATATAGTAAGATAATTGAAGCCGGAAGTTCGCTCATCTGATTATGACCTTCGTGGGGTGTCGGTCTCATTTTACTATACTCTAGACTTTGCTCGGGTTACGCAGGGAGAGTGCGGTCGCGACCGAAGTTTGGCCCCCTTAAGGCACTGCATACACAAATTCAGAGGCTTACGAAAGTTGTGGTATTAATTAAGTCACTACTGCGCATTACCAGATGATTTCTTTAATAATTTGCGACTAAGTGAGGTAATTGCCACGAAAGTAGTGCGTGGATCTAATTAGTTGCCATGACTATGAACAATTATTCCGGTGGACTGCCTATGCTCAAGCGCATGCGCAGACTATTTCTTTATTAAATTGTTACCAAGCTATTTACTTCAAAATCAGTGATAGTAGATGCAGTTGGTCGCTGCCATGACCATGAAGTTGGGCAGCTAGTCAAGTTGACTGCGCATGCTTAAGGCAGACTGCGCATGCGCAGATAGTTTTTCTGAAAATTTAATACAAAGCGATCTAATTACTCCATATCGGTACTAGTACATACAGTTGGTCGTTACCATGACCATGAACTTGGAATTAGTGCAGTTGATTACGCATGCTGAGATTAATTCTCCATTAATTTGTGACGGAGCGAGTTCTGAAATTGGTGCTTGTACATGCGGTTAGCAATCTCAACGAAAACGAATGATTCCAAGCATGTTGACGAAGATAAGTAACACGGAGTCTACTGAAAATATGTTCAAAAGAAATATCGATGAATTGCATATACAGTTTGGAATCATTTTTGGTTTTCTATTGTTACATTTTATGTGTTTTCTTTAAAAGTAAACTAGTGTCTAGGAAAAGAGTTTGGGCTTTGAATACATTGAAAAGCTTGTTTTGGTCTTGTAAGTTCCTTTTCATTGAATTGCAGTGTCTTAAAGAAAGTTATCCTTCTTGGAATATGTAGCTATTTGTTAATATAATGATAGCCATGTTTGAAAACTTCCACTCGAAGCTTGTACTGGAAAAATGAAGATCATGAGGGAAAACAAGTATTAAAGACCTAAAGTGACGAAGAATTTATAGCTACTGTCTTTTAATTTTATGTACTTAGTAATTAGTATAGATGTCTATATCCGGAGAGCCTTAACCAATGCTTAGCCTAGCACCTTCTTGGGCATCCTTTTATCTCTCCAAATCCCATGTCGCACGGTTGAAATTTTATAACTATAAAATGCCATATTTTTACAAAGCGACTAGAGCTACCTTCCAGCTGGCATCATGCTGCCTTCGAAGATGGCGGCGAAGTTATCATTCCAGTTGTTATATAGTTCACTGGTTTTGACTTTTGTTGCTTTTATTTCGAATACTTTATATAAGAGGAAGCAAGAGGAAGTGTGACATTGTTTTCACTGTTGAGTAACCATGTTTAATATGTACAGAACTGTTATTGTCTTTGGAGGCCGATGTTTTTCTTCTGGTTTGCGGGAAGGAAAGCTTGTTTTAGGATGCGGTAGCAATGTTGTTGATCATTTCTACATGGTTCAAGGTACATTTATGTGAATGCATTCATTTGTCATGTATAATATTGACAGGAAGTGTGGAACATCATGAAGGTTTTGTAACTGACAGTAAGCAAATACGTGTTTTTGTTAATACATGAAAGTGATTTGAATTTCAAAAGAAATCAGTAGGGCACTACTGAATATATGAATATGCCCCCTCCCCAATTAACGTTCTAGTTAAGTCTCTGACGCGCGCTTACATGATTTTAGAGGTTGCTAGAGTATTAATAGTTTTGAGAAATAATCTTTGTTTGACAGCTTTTACTTCCGTTCAATCATCTATTAATTCCCAGACTTGTCAACTTTCATCTCGAATTTTACCATCAAATAACTTGAGAAAACCATCAAAACTTTTTGTCTAGCATACGCAGTTTAGTTAAACTTGAGATACAGTTTAGGGTTTTTTTGTAGGAAGCTGACAATATACATAATTTGCAATTGACCCTTTGAGGTCCGAACTCGTAGTATGAACTAGCTGTGCTAATACTTTATTTTTATTGAATGGTTGGCAACTATTGTAATTTAATCCTATGTGGGAACTTTTAATTTTATAATTTTTCCAAATGTACATAAATCTTTTAACCTTTGGTTTCCTAAGTTTTGGTTCTTCCAAATAGCATGGCTTGAGATCGACAAATTCCCTCATCCCGATATATGCCCATTATCTGAGTTAGTCTGCTGTTTGGCATTCACCATATTAGAGGATAAGTTGACTTTAATAAACAATATCTTTTGTCCGACAAATATTTTGCATATTTGGTATAAAGAAATTGCATTTGACCCGTTTACAAATATTTTGTGCTTATTAGCTGTACCCAAAGTTGGAGAAAAAGGATTTTTTTCGAGGTGAGTTTTGGTTGATTGATGTTGGTCTTTGTTTTGTCAATACTCCGTGTTTGAGTTATAACTCATCAAATGTGCAAATTTGTGTATTTAAGATACATGTTTTTATCTCATAGTCCCAATAAAACCCATGAGAAAAGTGTTGTTGGTGGTGTCACATTAAATCACTTAAGTTGGGCTTCTGCTTTAGGAAGTAAGTTATATAAGTTCTGAATTTTGTCAATAAAGACTTTAATGTGGAGAAAATAAGGACTCAAGATTCAACATCATATCACTCATGATGAAGACACTAGACTGGAGTATATAAAAACTCAAGTTTCAACATCAGATCACTCTGATGAAGACATTAGACTGGAGTATATAAGAACTCAAGTTTCAACATCAGATCACTCCTGATGAAGAACACTAGACTGGAGTATATAAAAACTCAAGTTTCAACATCAGATCACTTCTGATGAAGACATTAGACTGGAGTATATAAGAACTCAAGTTTCAACATCAGATCACTCCTGATGAAGACACTAGACTGGAGTATATGAGAACTCAAGTTTCAACATCAGATCACTTCTGATGAAGACATTAGACTGAGTATATGAGAACTCAAGTTTCAACATCAGATCACTTGATGAAGACATTAGACTGGAGTATGAGAACTCAAGTTTCAACATCAGATCACTTCTGATGAAGACATTAGACTGGAGTATATGAGAACTCAAGTTTCAACATCAGATCACTCCTGATGAAGACACTAGACTGAAGTATAAGAACTTAAGTTTCAACATCAGATCACTTGTGATGAAGACAGACTGGAGTAAGGACTCAAGTTTCAACATCAGATCACTTCTTATGAAGACAATAGACTGAGTATGTAAGAACTCAAGTTTCAACATCAGATCACTCCTGACTGAAGACAGTAGACTAGAGTATATAAGAACTCAAGTTTCAGCATCAGATCACTTCTTGATGAAGACACTAGACAGGAGTATATAAGAACTCAAGTTTCATCATCAGATCTCTTCTGATGAAGACACTAAACTGGAGTATGTTAGGAACCAAGATTCAACATCAGATCATTCTCTAATGAAGACAAATTTTCAATGTTAAATTGCTTTCACAGTCTAAAGTGAAAGTAGTGTTGACTTTGGTGGAACACAAGATTACTCTTGATTAAAATTGTATGCTATACTCTAATGTTAATGCATAGAACCCCACAAAATCTCTAGCTCCACCTAATGGCTTTACAAGGAGATGATAAATGCGGAGAATTGATTCGCAACTATGAAAATCTCAAAGTATCTACACAATATTTACAAGGTAATATCAAGCCAGCTACCTGTAAAGGAGCCCGGATTTTAAAAAAGTCAAATCATCATTCATTGTTATTTTGCCTTTGGAAACACATTGCCATCACACACTGTCGTAAATGTTTGCAATCACGACGTCACAGTTACCCCCATTGCCCTCCCACACACACATGTCCCACACACACACACAGTTTCATTCAGGCGCTTCAGGTCTGAAGAAATATTCCTTTTCCGAAGCAAATTCCAAATTTAGCAATTTCATGCCAAATTAAAATTTCCTTTGAAAATACTTTGATAACCATTAGAAACGAGCGCTTGCACATTGCAGGATGCTCAAATAAAAATGATTTTGCCATTGATCTGCTGGGTAACTTTCTTTAAAGTTACCTAATTTGTTTCCAGGATTTAAAACTCCACTTCATATCAGTCACTTCACCATTTATCGCCCGGGCTGCTCATACAAAAAATTTAAAAGATATAATTATGGTTTTGAAAAGATTCATAAACTTCTGCAGGGTGCAAAATTAACGTAAGACAAATTTGGTTCAGCTTTGTCAATAAACATGAAATGTTTTGTACGTCAGAAAAATAATTAGATTGACGCCAATATATAAACTCAGTACTTTTCTGTATCTTGTTAGTTAAAAAGCGTTCTCACCGGCGAGGTACGTTTGCATTTGGTGCATAAAGTTTGTCGTTTGAAATTTGTTAACATTTTAGTAATTTCCCTTCTTTATAGTCATTAATATTTGTTCAAGAAGAATTTCCCTTCTTTATAGTCATTGATATTTGTTCAAGAAGAATTTCCCTTCTTTATAGTCATTAATATTTGTTCAAGAAGAATTTCCCTTCTTTATAGTCATTAATATTTGTTCCAGAAGAATTTCCCTTCTTTATAGTCATTAATATTTGTTCCAGAAATTTCCTTCTTTATAGTCATTGATATTTGTTCAAGAAGAATTTCCTTCTTTATAGTCATTAATATTTGTTCCAGAAGAATTTCCCTTCTTTATAGTCATTGATATTTGTTCAAGAAGAATTTCCTTCTTTATAGTCATTAATATTTGTTCAGAAGAATTTCCTTCTTTTAGTCATTCATTGTTCATATCCCTTCTTTAGTCATTGATATTTGTTCAAGAAGAATTTCCTTCTTTATAGTCATTAATATTTGTTCCAGAAGAATTTCCTTCTTTATAGTCATTGATATTTGTTCAAGAAGAATTCCCTTCTTTATAGTCATTGATATTTGTTCAAGAAGAATTTCCCTTCTTTATAGTCATTAATATTTGTTCCAGAAGAATTTCCCTTCTTTATAGTCATTGATATTTGTTCAAGAAGAATTTCCTTCTTTATAGTCATTAATATTTGTTCAGAAGAACTTCTTTATAGTCATTAATATTTCAGAAGAATTTCCTTCTTTATAGTCATTGATATTTGTTCAAGAAGAATTTCCCTTCTTTATAGTCATTGATATTTGTTCCAGAAGAATTTCCTTCTTTATAGTCATTGATATTTGTTCAAGAAGAATTTCCTTCTTTATAGTCATTAATATTTGTTCAAGAAGAATTTCCTCTTATAGTCATTAATATTTGTTCAAGAAGAATTTCCCTTCTTTATAGTCATTGATATTTGTTCAAGAAGAATTTCCCTTCTTTATAGTCATTAATATTTGTTCAAGAAGAATTTCCCTTCTTTATAGTCATTGATATTTGTTCTAGAAGAATTTCCCTTCTTTATAGTCATTAATATTTGTTCAAGAAGAATTTCCCTTCTTTATAGTCATTGATATTTGTTCAAGAAGAATTTCCTTCTTTATAGTCATTGATATTTGTTCAAGAAGAATTTCCCTTCTTTATAGTCATTAATATTTGTTCAAGAAGAATTTCCCTTCTTTATAGTCATTAATATTTGTTCAAGAAGAATTTCCCTTCTTTATAGTCATTGATATTTGTTCAAGAAGAATTTCCTTCTTTATAGTCATTGATATTTGTTCAAGAAGAATTTCCCTTCTTTATAGTCATTGATATTTGTTCAAAAGACTTTCCCTTCTTTATAGTCATTGATATTTGTTCCAAGAATTCCCTTCTTTATAGTCATTGATATTTGTTCAAGAAGAATTTCCTTCTTTATAGTCATTAATATTTGTTCAAGAAGAATTTCCTTCTTTATAGTCATTGATATTTGTTCAAGAAGAATTCCCTTCTTTATAGTCATTAATATTTGTTCAAGAAGAATTCCCTTCTTTATAGTCATTGATATTTGTTCAAGAAGAATTTCCCTTCTTTATAGTCATTAATATTTGTTCAAGAAGACTTTCCTTCTTTATAGTCATTGATATTTGTTCAAGAAGAATTTCCTTCTTTATAGTCATTGATATTTGTTCAAGAAGAATTTCCTTCTTTATAGTCATTGATATTTGTTCAAGAAGAATTTCCCTTCTTTATAGTCATTGATATTTGTTCAAGAAGACTTTCCCTTCTTTATAGTCATTGATATTTGTTCAAGAAGAATTTCCCTTCTTTATAGTCATTGATATTTGTTCAAGAAGAATTTCCCTTCTTTATAGTCATTAATATTTGTTCAAGAAGAATTTCCCTTCTTTATAGTCATTGATATTTGTTCAAGAAGAATTTCCTTCTTTATAGTCATTGATATTTGTTCAAGAAGAATTTCCCTTCTTTATAGTCATTGATATTTGTTCAAGAAGAATTTCCCTTCTTTATAGTCATTGATATTTGTTCAAGAAGAATTTCCCTTCTTTATAGTCATTGATATTTGTTCAAGAAGACGGAGAAAGATCTATCATCATGGCGACTGGCGCAACGAGTTTGTTAAATGAGAAAACAGTGGCCAGCTATTTTGGTAAGCCATCTCACTTTGCTACGCAAAAGATATTTCTTGTCGTAACTGTGAGAAGTGGTCAATTTGATTGATTAAGCTCAGCTGCATTTCATAGTGTTATCCAGTGTTGGATACAGGACAATTTTTTCCTGTTGGGGTGTGCTTTAGTTTTTGATAAGATTTTTTGCCTTGTTTAACTGCATGCATTCAAACTCAAATCGCAATTAACACACAACTGCTTTTACGTTCAGCGGAAATATAAGTTTATAAGATGTGTAACCTAAGGTAGTACGGCAATTACCTGTATATGTCTACAACATAAACATCCACATTATAACTTTTCTCTTCTTTTCTTCCCACTTTCACGCTCTTTCCTCTTTTTCTACTTTTCGTGGCTAAATATCTTCGTACACATCATTAAATAGAAGAAGGGCCAAAGGACACGATCGTCATTTGTTAAAAATTTGCTGCTAGCTGCGGCCTAACGTCGCAGTGCAAACTAGCTACGCGAATTCTTTATTCTTATTCATTCAAATGCAATTGCTTACACATTCGGCTCGTAAAGTATTGCAAAATGCTTCGGGAGAACTTTATGTTTTATATTTTTCATTAAGTGTGGAAATATTTTTTTACCAACGTTTGCAATTGACAGTTATGCTTTTTGCAGTTTTCGCATCATCTGACATTCTTGGTTGTTATATATTTGATTTCCCTTTATCAAGGAGAAGTAATCGAACATAATTGCCGCATATTCACCACAGAAATATCACAAGTTCCATTAACTGGCGTTCTCTCCCTCCTGAAAATGGCAAAGTAAGTTGAAAATAGAATTTCCCGTCCTCTCCCTCCTGAAAATGGCAAAGTGAGTTGAAAATAGGATTTCACGTTCTCTCCCTCCTGAAAATGGCAAAGTAAATTGAAAATAAGATTTCCCGTTCTTTCCCTCCTGAAAATGGCAAAGTGAGTTGAAAATAGGATTTCATGTTCTCTCCCTCCTGAAAATGGCAAAGTAAGTTGAAAATAGGATTTCCCGTTCTCTCACTCCTGAAAATGGCAAACTAAGTTGAAAATAGGATTTCACATGTGAGAATTGTAAAGAACAGATTGAAAATTTCAGAAAAGTTTTTTACTGTTGTCAAACATTGCGAGGTTTTTAAGCTTGGTGTTTGAAACTCAAATGTTCAATATTCCTCAACGCGCTTTATGCATTAAACAAACTGGTTTTGGAACTTTTTGTAACCCCTTCTGACTGAGATGAGAGTTGTTATGTTTTTGTAGATATAAATTGTCGAGGTTAGTGCATTCTTAAGAATACTGTTGATGTTGTTGTTGAATAACGTTTCAACATCCTTAGCGTGAAGTTCTTATTTTAAGAGTCATAAGTGAAGAATAAACGTAAGGTTCGTCGTATTTTTATCTTGTTCATACGTCATGGTATTGTGTAAAGAAGAAGGGTGTTCAGAGTACCATTACGTATGAACCAAACCACAAATACTGCAATCAAACCTTACGTCGTTTACTCCTCCCTTGACTCTGAACATAAATACCGCTAGGCTTGTCAAAGAATCAATGAACACCAACTGTCAGAACTGCACTAACCTGAACGATGAACATGTTCAAAAATTAGCGATATTCCCCTGGTTCAAACTCTACGAGGGTTGTTTGTTTATGGCGGGAACGATTTGTTTTGGGAAAAGCTTAGGTTCATCTTCTTTATTTATGGGGGGAACGAATAGTTTTGGGAAAAGCTTAGGTTCATCTTGTTCATGTAGGCTCTACAACTTGTAAACTTGCTGCAAACGGCTTTAAACATATCTTCTTTATTTAGAAAATATCTTCATTGCTTTTTTGTATTTTAATACTATCGAACGTTTCTTCTAGAAACGCTGGAGCAACGACAATCTTGGATTTAGACGTCTCCCCCTCGGTATGTATTGTCACAGGCAGAGTGCGTCTATCCTGGTTCTGTCTTGCACATTAAGAGGTGTGGGATTTGACAACCCCCATTTTTGTGGATTGCGGTCAAGAAATCTTTCAGTAAACTGATAGAGGACGAAAAGTACATCCGGTTAAAATTGTGAACTTTTTCTATCAAATATTGACAATGCAAAAGTCGGTTCCGGGTGCCTGAATTTTCTATCAAATATTGACCTTGCTAAAGTCGGTTCCAAGTCCCTGAATTTTCTATCGAAATTGACAATGCAAAAGTCGGTTCCAGATCCCTGAATTTTCTATCAAATATTGACAATGCTAAAGTCGGTCCCAGGTCCCTAAATTTTCTATCAAATATTGACAATGCAAAAGTTGGTCCCAGGTCCCTGAATTTTCTATCAAATATTGACAATGCAAAAGTCGGTCCCAGGTCCCTGAACGTAGAACACTCACCCTCTCAATTTATATTTGATGTGCTTCTCTAACAATTTCATCCCAATTACGTATAGCAGTAAATACTGATTATTTTGTTGTTTCTTACCTTGAGGTTGCTGTCAACGAGGCTAAACTAGGAACAATTGATGAGCTTATACAGTTTGTAAAAAAATTGTTGTCCCTTTTTTAATGGAAATGGAAGCTTAAGCGTGGAATTTTTTATTTTTTTTTCTTTTTAGATGTGTAAAAACTGCGGATATTTTAAAACCAGCAAAACACGCTGCGCGGGAAATGATGTCTGTTTTAAGACCCGGATCAGAGTAAGTTATCTTCAACTATAAAACTGCATTTCTAAACTCGAATTTAAAGCTTGAAATCGAACAAGAATAAATGAATTTCTCGAGGATTTGAATATAATTAATCGTTTGGAGGACAACTTTCGCGTGAATTTTATTCCATGCATTAACGGTAGCATGTTATTCAAATTTTAAAGACATAATTTTATCATTTAAATCGTAATTTTTTAATGTCCGATGAAAAAATCGTTCTCGAGATTTTAACTTGTATTTTCTTCCTAATCTTTTATTGTTTTTTTCTGCTCACGAAATTAAGGATGAATGACATGTTTGAGTTAACCAAATCCATGCGCACCGAATGTGGTTCAAGTCTTATAGCAATTACATGTGGTAAAGACTCGTCTATTTTAGCTACAGAAGACCACGTGAGTTTTTTGGAAAATTTGATTTTTGCTGCAAAGACTACAAGTGCATTTAAATCTATAGTTTTTGCATTTGGCAATAAGTGAACACAGGAAAATTGACATGTTCATGACCAAATTTGCACTGTGTCCATGCCAGTGTCACTGTGCGATGTTTAGTGACACTTTGTGTCACTATTTAGCACGAAAGTGTCGCAGGCTCACAAAATGAAATCAATGCTATTTTATGAATGAGAATTAGGAAATAGAAGTATTATCATTGTACTTGTATAAATCTCATCTCAAAAATGTGGACACTCGTTTTGGAATTTCCCTCATTATTGACTTCCTAGGTTGTTGAAGTTCCGACTGCATCTGTGACCAATATGGTGGATGCTACGGGAGCTGGTGACGCCTTCCTTGGAGGGCTTATCGCCGGTAGGGGCTTGAACCAGCCTTATTTGAATAAAAGCCTCGGTCACAAATAAGCGCCGCATGTAGGAAAACCAAAAATGTATTATACGCCATGTTTTCTTGGAAGCTTCTTTGCCAACACAAATGAATTACATGGCGTAACATGAAATTTTAATGTCTTTTATAATTTCATTTTTTATAAGGTTTGTATCATTATGGACAACCGAACGATGAAAATACGTTGAGGTACAGTAGTATTAATGGTGATGTTAATATTAGAAGATTGTCAGCAGAATTTTTATCTTCACGCGTTGAACAAAACTCCCCGCCCCCACCCCCTCTATAAAGAAGATACTCAAAGACATTACGTAACAATACCTGATGGGAAAGAACTGAAACTGTTTTATTTTAGCTTGGTCTGTATGTACCATTGAGCTAACATACATGGAACGCTACCTCGAGCAAATAATTGAAGCCATATCTTACCCCAGACACGCGAGATTTTACCTCAGACACGCGTGTGTAGTGTTTCGAGATTCTCTCGCGGAGTAATGATTGATTGACTACACATGCGTGTCTGGGTGTAAAATCACAGCTTCAAAAAATTATTAGGGTTTTGTATTACAGGTTGAACGTTGACATTAGGGTTGGTTTTGTTAATGTGAAGTGCTTCTTTGATTTTGAGTGCGAATGTAGTATCTGCAGTGTAATATAATAATCTATTCATAAATGTATAAATTGTATCGCGGTATCATATTACTCTTATATATATTCATCACATACATAATATTCCTTATAATACTGAAGATGGCATCATGAGATGTTGAAACATGTTTATTTAAAAAAAAACTTGTCGTTTTTATTAAATGCGCAATATCAATGGTGCTTTTACGCAGTTACGCCTGGTTTCCACTAACCCCAAATCTACACACTTCTCAAAATCTGCTATATCTTTCCATGGGGCTATATTGTTTTGTCCACCCAAGATAAGTTTTTTTCTGCTTCATTTTCCAGGAGACTGGGTCAACTGGGAAACCTAGTGGGTGCAACTTGTTGTCAAGTACTTGGTGCTCTACCAACTGAAGAGTCTCGGTAAGAAAGTTCAAACCTGAGTATATAACGTCTCAAATCTCAAAATTCGACAGTATAGACTTGAATATGTAAGGTCTCAAGTGAAAAATGACAAAATCACAATACTCCCGATGGCGGGCGGTTCTCCCGTCATGTGTATGACATTCATGCTGTATTTCTTTTGTTTTTCCTTGCTTCGAGGTTAGACATTAAGACCTTACAAATTCTCTTTATATGAAAATATATGCTGTTGTCGTTTGTCGCTATCCTTCTCAGAGTTGCAAAGGCAAATGTGCTGCAAATAGAAAATCACTTACGGAAATGTTAACTGTGAACAACACGACAACAAGCGTTTATTTAGACTACAGCTGGTGTGAAATATGATAGGTTTTATTAAAAATGTTTTTATTTACCATGAAGTCAACGCATGTTCACCTTGTGGTACATGAATGAAAATTAACGAATCATTGTCAACCACAATACAAGGCGCGCCTCCGTTCTAGGCTAAGTATGACAATTTGTTCCATCACACGATGATCTTTCTCTTATTCGTGCAACTATGACAACAGTTAAAAGTGTATGATTTCAAACACCTAGTATTTATTTGTATAGCAAGTTTGGTGTCCTTCTTTTTAGGCATTTTTTGAAGCGTTGAGCTTGCCATTGTTTTGAATAGTTATTTGCCCACCCAAACAGATACGTTTATGAAAAATATCACTAGGAAGCTACTGAAAATACTTTTTTTATCCAAATACAACACAAATTTTTATACATTCACAAAAGATGCATGGAGCATCCAAGGATTTAAAACTGATGAAACGTTTGTCTATTTATTGAACCAAGAAAATGGCTGCCAAGATCATTTGAGTGCGCGTTCATTGTGGCTCACTTTGATTCTTTAAATGAGAGTTAATGAAAAAATGAATTAAATATATGAAACGTTTTATGCTTAATTCAAATTAAATGTCAAAAGTGAGTATTTTTTAAACTTTGCACTATCCTTAGACTCCTAGTTAGTTTCACGATGAACTCTATCGCCTGTTATCTCTGAAACTTTTGGAATATTTTAGTAACAAGCTACGCGAACAATCAGAAAAACTGCTGGGTCACAAAATCAGTGAGTTCTTCGTTGTGCTTTTTAAAGAAAGTTCAATAATTTTTTGCTAACTTTTTTCCGTGTTTAAGGCTCATTACCTGATGAAAACATTAATACTTATGAAGAGCAGATTCTTCAAGGGTTTAAAGAGAGTTTAGACCTTGATATAAAATATTCGTCCAAGATTGTCGAATCCCTGGACAAGAATACAGTGGAAAGATTCGTCAGCTTTTTGGAAGATTGTTCTGGGCGCGTTTTAGTGTCTGGAATTGGTAGGTTTTATAAATAAAGATGAAAAAATACCTAAGTATAAATGTATTTGACACAGTCTTCATTGAGTGTAGTGTCACAGAGAAGATCGTTGTACTGAACGCTTGATACGTACGTTGACCGCTGACCGTTGACGTACGTTGACCGCTGACCGCTGACCGTTGACTTACGTTCATGACACATCCGTGTTCTTTCAATGATCTTAAAGGCTACATCAAAGATGCTCACCTAGAACAACAAAATACTGCAGCTAATATCCAGTGATTTTTGTGCAAATGCTTTTCGTCATTTATCACTTGCCAGTACCCCCCCCCCGCTTCTGTGGATACACTCAAAATAGTAGGCTGACTTTAATGAAAATTAATTCAGCGTTGGTATAATATTTTCCATTATTTTTGTTCAGGTAAATCAGGAATCGTTGCTCATCGAATGGCTTCCAGTCTTGCTTCCACTGGAACACCATCACATTTTATCCATGCTTCTGAATGGATACATGGGGATTTAGGTATGACTCTTCGTGCAGATAGTTCACTAGTCTTGCTTCCACTGAAACACCATCACATTTTATCCATGCTTCTGAATGGATACATGGGGATTTAGGTATCATTCTTCGCATAGATAGTTCACAGTAAGATAATTTACAATTGTTCTACTTAACAGTCAATGTTTGCAGCTCAAGATGCCTTATTTAGGTAATGTTAATGGTGAAGATGTGTCTGTGCTTCTCTCGCACAGCGGTAACACGAAAGAATGTGTGGAAGTTGCCGAATACTTGAAAATGGGGAATATTCCTGTCTTAGCTATTGTTGGGAAGCACGGTATGGTCCATGTATTGTGTAATCTGATCATTATGGATTATAGATTAAAGGGATTAGAGATTAGTGGTGCATAAATGGTTTGCGATTATCTATGTCACGGATATAAAACTAATCTGTTTCGCTTTAGATTGCTTACTTAGAAACTCTTGCGATGTTTTGCTTTGTTATGATGATGGCTTTGATATCGAAGAGACTTTATCTGTTGTTCCTTCGAGAAGCGTTGTAATACAGGTTAGAATCGTGTCTGTGCCTTCAAGAAGCATTGTATTTTAAGATAGAGTCTTGTGTTCTTCGCTCGGGAAGCATTGGAATTTAGCTTTGATTTTCTCTTGATCATTTTTTCTTAGGAAATTCTTATCAACGGTATCGTCAGTGAATTGATCAAACGCCGAAAGTTTGGTTTGGAAGACTTTGCTAAGTCTCATCCTGGTGGTTCACTCGGCAAAAAGTTAAATCAATGTTGAATTGAAAGGAAACGAAATAAAAATTTAGCCATAGATTCGACCTTATCAAATTTTTAGAAATCTGATTCGTGTATAGTGACGTCATTAACTCATTATATTCTGCTTACATGACATTTCAAACAATAAGCTTTGCCACTTTTTCATTCTAATATGGCGGCAAACAGGATTGATACGAATTATCAAAGCGAACTTGATTTTACGTCTCCCTCGTTCAACGCTTTAAAAGCTTTGCATGACAAATATCTTCAACCACCTGTCCCGAATGCTCGCATTTTTAATACCATTAAGGAATACGCTCGATCGTTGGAAACAGAAAAAAATGACTTGTCACATAAAAAGTCAACTACAAATGTTAGAAGCGAGAGTAAAGCCAGAACTAAAAGCATAAAATTGCGAAATCGTGATCCTAGGAAACTAGAACATTTAATGAAAGTAAAATCTAGAACTGATGGTGTCATAGAAAAGGTAGCAATGTTGGAAAAGACCAAGAAGTCAAAACAGTTAAATGTTTTGGACAGAATGGAAAGTATGTTATGTCGACTTGTTTCTGATTAACTCACAAGTCTTACTCTTAACTCCTAAGATTCAGTTTTTGAGTCATAAATTTCATCCCTGACTGCTTATGTAGCTTTGCCCTAAACTGAATTGTAGGCTTTTGTTTACCTTTAGTTCCTAAATCATAAACTGCATCCCATACTGAATTGTAAGCTATACACCCTGACTCATATGAAAACTTGACCGCTGACTGCCTGGGTCTACATGTGAATAATAAGGTTCACAACACTTGATATCTGAACTGTAGCCTCTGACTAATAATTTCAGACTTCTAAGCTTTTTTTTTGACTTCTAAACATTGTTCTCTGACATCAAAGCCTTTCCCTCTGAGCTTGAAACGTTTCTTTTGTTGAATCCTTTCTTCAAATCTTGTTTACATAGGCAAGTTGAATCAAGGACCGTTTAGTATTTTGTATAATTGTGTTGAAAAGAAGATAAAGCTGAAAGTGTGGACAAGGAACCTTAAAGGATTGAGAGGTTTATCTGTAGGATATCTTATAGCATTTGACAAGCATATGAATTTGGTAAGTGATAATGTCAAAATTATTTTTAATGTAATAAGCATGGTTTATATCTGTGCACAAGGTTTGATGGTCTACATTGTAGACAATATTGCATGCGATCTATGCTGTATTGAAGAAAAGTTTTACCCTGTTTATGTCACATCTGTGTGAGCTTTCAACAAAATTTATTGACTTTGTAACTTCAAAATGGCTGCTAACACAAGAAGTGTGGTCTCAAATGAAATGAAACTTAAAGAAGCAAGAAGGCTGGCTCGCTAAATTTTGCATTTTGAAAGGATTTACGGTTTTTCATTTCACTGAGAAATTGATCAGGACTACTGTTTGTACTGTTAATATCCTGTTGTACACCATCGTCAATATTTTGCATTTGATACTAGCAGCAAAATAACCAGCCTGCTTTTCCCTCACTACATGCCTGTCAAATGACCCAGAAATCAGGCTTGATCTCATTTACCCAATTTGCTTGACTTGGCAGTAATTTTTATATTCAGTTCAGTTTCACTTTGACTTTAATGTTTTGTTTGAGTTTTTCTTAAATGATAAAATAACTTTACAGTAAAAGGTGTTCCAATGATGCTAAATTTTGTGTCTTGCAAATTACAAAAAAAAAACAGGCTAATATTCGTAAAATAGTTCTTTGAGCAAAATTTTCAAATTGCTCCGAATCGTTTTCATTTCATCCGTGAATCAAAGCATCAATAACCTTTGTTACGAATGTTAGTATCACCATATTTGATTTTTTGAACTTGGTTGGTGGGTTGGTAAAGGCTTATTTTTACATAGTTATTGATGTGACCACTAAGTTAACGTAATTTGAGAGTTGAATGTGAAAATTGTGAATGCAATTGTGACATCAAGGTTGTAACCTCACAACAGCTGTGAGCTAACAATGTTTATCAAAGACTGTGAAGATAACGGACAATATTGGTAGAAGACTACAAGAAGATGGAAAGAAGCAATGTGCTCGTCCTTATGTCCAACCTTGTGGCCGTTTAAGTTCTTTTTTCGTCATCATTTTTGACGACGAAAACATAAATCTCATAAAAGAATTAATCGAGTATTCGTCACTTCCTTATTTTTATGTTTTCAATTTCATGTTAAACCAGTCATATATTGTTTTTGTTGCTTAAGTGTATATAATAATGTCTTGGTGTATTTAACAAACTAAAAAATAAAGTAAATGGTTTGAACCCGGGAGTATCGTTACATCTCTGTAAATGTAGATCGTCCAGGTTGGTATAGTCCTGAGAAGGACTGTTTTTGTTGTTGTTTACTGACGTTTCGACAACCTTAGCGGTAGTCATCTTCAGAGTCAAATGAGGAGTAAACGTCAGGTTAGCCATATTTGTTATCTGGTTCTTACGTCTGGTTCGAAACGTCAGTCAACAACAACAAAAACAGTCCTTCTCAGGACTATACTAGCCTGGACGATCTACATTTACAAACATGAAACTATAAGATGCATGAATTGTTTCAAAAGCAAAATTTCTTAGGTTTCTTACTAGCTATTATTGGGGATTGTTTTTTGTCTAACCTCTCCTGATATTGTTAACGAACGAGTGGTGTCCAGGGGGGTAGTAGTCATACGAGACATTTTTTGTTCTAAGGCTATGATGGATGTGGACGAAATGTTTGTCGTGGAAGAGATAGTTGTAACGGACCCTGTGGAGGTAGAGAATGCAGCATTGAGAAAGATGGAAAAACGGAAAGAGAAAAAAAGAAAATGGCGAAGGGAGAGACGACAAAAATTACGACAATCCACTTTTGAAAATGATCTGGGACAAAAAGGATTACATTTGGATGAGTTGGGATGCATTGGTGATGATCTATTGAGAACTGGTGTGGATCAAGGTGTTGAAAAGAGGATGACGGGAGATAATGGAAAATGTTCTAACTGGGATGCTACAAAGAGAAAGAGTTTAGAAGATCAGAAAAATGGTGAAAAATTTGATTTTCCATCCGCTGAACTGAAGGAGAGTAAAACTGTGAGATCTGATGACTTTACTGAAGATGAGAGTTTCTTTATTAAAGACAAAACTTGTCTTCTTACTGATGCAAAACTACTTGACACTTTTCAGTGTGACAAAAGAAAACCTGGCGAATTTGTGTGTTTAGTGAAAGGCGGAAAAAAAGTCGACGAAGATGACTTAAACGCTAAAGAGACAGTAATATGTAGAGATGATGTGATTGAAAAGGAAACCTTTGTAAAACATATGTTGGAAAAACCGATAAAACAACAAAATACAACAGAACAGGGTTGTTCTTTTGGCAAAGACGTTGATTATCATAATGTAGGTGAAGGTTCTTGTAAGACACAGTTACCTATTAACTCTCTTTGTGTTCACGTAAAGTCAAATAGAGATCTTGAAAATAATGAAGAAGACAGTTCTTGTGATGAAAAAAATAAGGTAAAAATATCTAATCGAAATGATGATCAAAAAGTTGCCGTGCAAGAAGAAGAGGCAGTTGGTGGCAAGTCGGAAAATGAATCACTTTTGTCGAACGATCTCCCCATAATTCACGAGAATTTTGTTTTTCTCTGCGATAAGAGTTCAGCTCTTGTCACAGATGGGAAATGTGACGTTAGTTTGTCAAATAATGTTAATGATGGCAAAGAAGAGGGAGAAATTTCTTCCAGTGAAAATGATGAAGCAACCAATCACTCCGTAGACCAGGAAAATATTGACTTTAGACTTTCGATTGAAGACGGAAATAGGAAATCTATCCAGGGAGTTTCATCCTATAAAACTAATACAAGAACAGGCAAAGATATTAAGAATGGTGACAATTCTAGGAACGCTGAGGAAAATAAAGAAATCAAAGAAAATTTTGCTGGGAAACATGGAGAAAGCAAAGTGCACTTTGCCAGTGATAAACAAATAGAAAATGAATATGAAAATCGACATGAAAAGGAGGGAATCAAAAATAAGCAACTTGTTGAAATTAAGAAAAATGATTCCTTTTCGAAGAGCAAGCCTGTTCAACCGAAATTATCCAAAGAAATTGATGGAAAAAATCTTTGCAAAGTATTCAATTTTGATCAACTAAATTTGAACAGCACAAAGTCAAATTCAATCGTTACGAAAGGCAGCAATAGTTCGAAAAACAGAGATAAGTTAGGGACTAAACAAGATCAATCAAGAACAGTTATCAAGTCTCGCCATAAGTCTAGTGCAAAGCGATCATCAAGGTCGGCTGATAAAACGTATGAAACTTCTTTAAAAGAGTCCGGCAAACGTAAACGATATGAAGACTTGGATGATCATCATGGATTAAAGAATATTCCTCGATCTTCCAAAAATAAAATGACCAAAATCAAGGAAAAGGTTGTCAAGACTGTAGAAGCTAAGCTTCCAGGAAACGTCATCAACGTTCGTGTTTTGAAAGTCAAAGGGGGAAAAGCATTAGTTTTAAAGAAACGACATACAAATCAATTGTTTATTAGAGGTGATAATGTTATAATGACAGCTTATGATAAATTCTAACGTTTGACAATAAATACTTTAAGCAAAGTTGTCAAATTTTTCATTTTGTTTTCAACACACTTAGAATATGGAAGAGCTCTTGACTTCTTGCATAATCGGCGTTATTAGCTACCTTGACAGTTTTTAAAACAACTCTTTGACTCAATTATTCAGCGTTTCAGTTAGAAATATTATATTCTTATCTTTGGTTCCAATGGTGTAACACTGTTCGCCGGGACAAATATTTAAGTCTAGATAAAATCTGCCACGCATGACCCTGGCAACAATACTTATGCTGACGTCTACATAGATGCAGTTTAACGCGAAATGCCCTCAGTTGGTATATTAAAGTAAATGGTTCGAACCCGAGAGTATCGTTACATTTTTGTATAAATGTAGATCGTCCAGGTTAGTATAGTCCTGCGAAGGACTGTTTTTGTTGTTGTTGACTGACGTTTCGACGACAACAAAACAGTCCTTCTCAGGACTATACTAACTTGGTTTTTTATTGTTGTTTAGAGTGTGAACTAAATATCAAAAAAGTGACATCTTAACTTTGTATGTAAAAGGACAATGTCAGTATCGTGTTATTAACTTGCACAAACACCAAGCAAAGTGCTCATGTTTAAAAAATAGTTAAAAAGACGTTGCTGACTTTAAACATCGTTCTTGAAAAAATTGATGAGGTTTTGCTTCTACTGTTTTATTTTCCTGTTTGCCAAAATACGACTTTATACTCGCTGTGCCTTTGAGATTCTTCGCATTCCCTTCATCATTATCATCATCATCCCTAAATATCAACAATATTCGTAATTATCCCGAAACTTAATCATTAAGTATTGACTAAAGAATGAAAATGTTTTTTATGCAAGTGTAAAACACGAAAAACATTGTTTATTTCTTTTATAAAACAACAATGGTGCGAAACAGATAAATTTAAAACAAATGCGTCGATTTTTTCTAGCTTCATATTGATGATTGATTTGCAAATTTCTTCGATTGATTGATTTTAATTGACTGAGAGAGAGCTCAGCTATAGATTATGTATGGTTGCTATCTTATAAATTTTGTTGGTTTCCGTCATTGGAAAACAATTAATCATGTTTTCATAGCCAAAGACCAGTTACATTTTCATAATTCGTGTTAACGTATCATGTTCTTTCACGAAACAGAGATGTACAAAATTCTCACCATTCAACTGGAACGCATCGTTTATCTAAAATATCTTTACAAGTTGACCAACTAAAGCGGACAAACTGCGGATATCCAAAAACCTTGTCGACAATATCGGCAAGCCATTTCTTTGTTGATGGATCTATACAGAAATGCACAATCATGAAAAAATCTGAATTATAAAACTGTTTGTCGTTTGAAAAAAGGAATAGACATTTGTATCCAAATTCATTTGACATCTACAAAAAAAGTTGAATACAAAGTGAAAGTCAAAATGATGGTGCTTCCATCCAGCAAGATGGTTAGTCAATGCATGAAACTAATTTGCCTTTATACAAAATACTGTTTAATTTATGCAGCAAACTAATTCCATAACTTGTAAATTTCTGCATTCTGTTAATTTGTGACACTATGTTGTCAAGGCAACAGACCTGTGTGTCCAAGAAATACTTTATGGGAGGGAGGGAGAGGGGCTGTGAATGCCTGTATGAAAAAAACCACACTAACAGTTAGTACACAAGTGACTTTACCAGAAGGGTAACCCGATCCATATTCCTTTGGAAAATTCTTTTTTTCAACAAATTTCCAAGTCTGAATGACTCTATCCCTTGCAACCTACAAACAACAGCAAATGACAATAAATTTGTAACTGTCTACAATAAACTCAGATAATTTATAGCTCATACATACCTTTGCACATATACTTGCTGCACTGACAATAGGAAAATGTGCATCAGCCTTTTTTTCTACAATTATCTGAAGTTGCGGAAATTCTAACTCAAGTTTTTTTTGATATTTCTTTGGATCTCCAACTGTGTCCACATATACCTAAATTATATGAAGTACTGCCTTGCAAATCTCTCTCATTCTTTACATACTTTATAATACCAACTCATTTTTTTCATCATCAAATTTCTACAAATGTTACAATGTTCTCTCTTGCATTCACAATTTCTTTGCATAGTATGCCTTTCCGGGAATGGTTAATGCTATTATTAAACAATCACCTCTTTAAGGTCCACACCACTGTCAAGGACATTTTTGATCAGCCATATGGCTGTGTCATGTGACATCTGGTTGAGGTTATATTTAAACCTAAACAACAAAACAAATGTACTTCACTACTTTATGATTAACCACAGTAAAAAAGATCAAGTCAGTGATTCAGAACCTTCGTAACATTTCATTTGAAATGTAGTTTGGAGAAAGTATTCGTGTTATCCAACCCATGATGTTGCTGTTTTGGTTGATGACTTTGAAAAATGCCTCACGTTGCTCTTCATTTAGTTTCTTTGAATCTAGTATTTAATGCATTTGTATCTCAAAGGTTTAGCATTCATGGAATGGGCAAAATGTAACCATTATTAATTGTACTCATGCTCTACGTAAAGGTCGGCAAACATGATAATAACTTCACCTGCAAAGCCTAATTCTTTAAGTTTTTCATCTTGCGATAGTGGACAAAAACTTGTACTGTAAACCATGGGACCTATCACAATTTAAAATGTTATACTCAGAGGCATAAAGCTATTATGCAAATTTGGTAGTGTTGAGAGGGGTTGCTTGTTATAATCCTAGAAAATAATTGATTTTAAAGGAGCTTAATATGACAGAACATGCACTGATGCACATGTGAATATAACCTCCTCCCCAAATCTGGAACTGGCTATGACATTGAGATATTGATCAACAATCACAATCTGATCAATCATATCTTGGCATTTCCTTTTCACCTATCCACACACATAACCCTCTGTGTTCATGTCTATAACCCTTACCCAACACGGGTCCACGGCCAGCTTCATCAATGCCCATACAACATGGCTCCAATTTCGCAACATCTGGAACGTTTGATTTAAGATCAAAAGTTCCAGAGGAATTTGAGTGAAATTCATTTAGATCAATGCTATGAACATCATTCTCTTCAGTGTTTTCTTCCTCCATTTTATATTTGCAATGAAATTTATTAATTTTTCATGTGAAGTGTATTTTCTGCGTAGCGATCGTCATAAATGATAGCAATTTTCACAATCACCGCCAGTTGCCTGATCGTCTTTTTGCCGTCACATTTGTCGCCAACGGGAAAAATTTCCGGTACTTTCGCTTAAAACGCAAAAACAGTAATTTAGCAAAATATAATACGAACAACATTGACAAGGCTGCAAATAGCTGCAACCAGGGACGTCGCTTCCGAGGGGGTCTGTGGGGTGGGGTGCAACACCACCAATCAAAAATTAAAACAAAAATCAGGTGAGTATCATGTGGTAAATTACAGTGAACTCTACGATACTGATGTAAATTATCGTTAAAACAATCAATTTAGATAATTCCAACTTGAAACAGCTGCGTCGGTTGCCAGTCTTAAATTACTGGCATGTAATATGTAAAAGTGGGTTTTTTTGATGCCAGTTAAAATGTTAACAATTAAAATTGACCATGAATATAAATTAGCAAAGAAACAATAGTTACAACACTCTTATTTAAGTTTGTTTTATCTTTGCAAAACTTCTGAAGTACTGTATTTGCGCCCAAAACTGATGAAGAATTTCCTGGTTTGAGCGCCCACTCCGATTTGATGAAAAGCCGGATGCGTCTTATGCCTCGCAGGATAACCACAATATTAGTGGCTCAAGCACTGGGCTCAAGTCAGTGAAATAGAATGGCTTTAGCAAAAATGTTATGATGAACCGTTGCATAATTGCATTTCGTTGCAAACGTAAACTAGGCCAATATTTTAACACTCAAACGTTTAAACAATATTCGGCAATTAAAAATTTCGTCCGACATCAGGATTTTGCTTCAAAATATAAGTCTGCATTAGGAATATATGTTTACAAATTTACATGACACAAATTTGTCCATATTTAATATTTTTTTCCTGATAGGCCCAACAATGTTGCTCGTCAATTCACAAGCATAATATGTTCGTCAGTTCAGTTGGGTTTGTTTGGCTTGTTTTTATAAACAAGACCACCTCTGTGTACGTATCTATTTTTTCCTTACTCGAATGTAGACAACGCAGTGTCCTGCATGTTTGAATCCCTGGTTTGTTTGAATAGATAACATCAAATTAAATTTAAGTTGATCTTGACAGACGCACAGTTTATGAATGGGATAAACTACAATGGTGCTATTCATTTCTGGTATCACACAGATGAAATGCCGAATGAAATGTACTTAAAGAAAACAATATTTAATCAATACAAATTTTATTTTTTTGTTTCTGTAATTCTCTAATCTGTCATGATTATTTGAAAAATTTCTCCAAATCTGACAGAACTTTTTTGTGATGATTCCTGACGCCATTTTCAGTGTTTTCCTAAATATTCTTCAATTTGCGCTGTAGCTATCTTTCATTGACCAAATTTGATTCTTTTCAACATGCGATATCTTCCCATATTTTCCAACTCTACGCATAAAATATCGTTATATAGGTGTTTTTAAAGTGAACTTTCATTAAAGTCAAAACGTCTACCTAAGGCTCAAGTGAATTTCCTTATTTTTTTGTGCTGAATTTCACAATTTTATCGGCCTTGTCTGTGAATATTTGCACAATTTCTTTGTATAAAACTTACAATGTGTGAATAAAAATTTAACGCTAAATATTCGAATGAGCTTTTGCGATGAACGATATCTCGTATGCGCTCTTGCGTTCAGTCATAGCGTCCTGCTGCGGTTGATTTTGAAAAATGTGAGATATTTTTCCAGCAATAGAGCACATATAGAGACGATTTTCATTCTTGAAGCATTTCCTTGCTGAGTGTTCAAGAAGCAAAATTTTCAGTGAAATTCAGGTACGTTATAGATGACATTGTCTTTACACAGACTTGTTTTGATTGCATTTGATTTTGAGAAGCCTTAAGTTGATTGCTGGTCAAATTGCTATAGTATAAATTTCATAATAAACAAGAAACTTGACCATTAATTTTAAACATGTAATACCCTCAGAAAATTTTTAATAATGCGTAAAATTGCTTTTGCTTTGTAAGGTTACAGAGTCTATCTCATCATAGCAACGAATGGTTTCGTTCTTTAGCTCTGTCAAGTCCAAAGATTTGCGCGATCATAAAATTGTCAGTCGTGGCTATTTTCATTGCTGGTTTTACTGTAGCATTAGCTAACATTTATCACCATGCATCACACCACACTGTTGGTAAAAGTCATTGTGAAACCTCTGACATCACATTAAATTAATGGCTACCCATCCTGGAAAAGTCATAGATCACTTATCACAAATTGTTTAATTCCAATGATATTTGTCATGGTTATGAATGTCCAAAATACACATTGAAAAAAGAACTGATGATTACGAATTGCGATGCTACCCATCTTATACTTGGGTTGGAACAAGTTACACTGGTGAGTGATGAATGAACAACAGAGAACAAGAACAGTCTTTACACTAACTAAAATATATAAGAAATAAGATAACGTTTGTCAGTGTAGGTAGTGATGAATGAACAACAGAGAACAAGAACAGTCTTTACACCAACTAAAATATTTAAGAAATAAGATAACGTGTGTCAGTGCAGATAGTGATGAATGAACAGTAGAATTGAGCACAATCTATATTTTGATAATTTTTGTAGGTAAGGAGCGCTCTAAGGAAACCATAAGAGATATATTTTTGAAACTGTTTCATTATATAAATGGTGGTAATGCAAACAAAACAAAGATGGAGATGACTGTTCCCGCGGCAACAAGAATTACAATTTCAACACGTGGCCGATGCTCTTTTTTGTCCCAGAGAAACACCAAACCAACACACCTGTACCCACGAATCCTCAAGTGTCTATTCTTCAAGCACCCAAGAGCTGCGTTTATGTCAGGTAAATTTACGTTTTTTCTTTCCCCAACTGCCTATTGTTTCACAGTATGTAAATACCAGATATCAAGCTCTATACATATTTATCCCCAGGTATCCACCTGTATACATAACCGTCTATCGTAATTTCTTCGTTACCATGGTTATATCCATATAAAGTATTTTCACTTTTTAAGAATTTTAATATGTTCATTGGAGATGAAAAGGTGAAACATGAGTTTGAGAAACTGGTAGAATCACTCGGAAATGATTGTATTACAGATTTCATCGCGCCCAAGTCATATTTTATCTCAGGCAGTTTTGACAGTCAGTTCACCCTACCTGTCTTACGTCACAATGAGATATGGTTTCAGCAAACTTCAGGAAACAACTTGTATTTGGAATGAGGTCTTTCTTCTGTCTCGAACAACTTTGATAAGAAAAACTTTGCGAGATTTTTGAAAACGCGTAAAACTCGCGATTTGTTTATTGAACATGTGAAACTCGTGTAAAAAAAGGAAAAATAAAAACGGTTTTTTTGTCTTAAAGAGTAGGGTCGTTAGTATGGTCTCGTGGTCCAAATACTTTAAATTTGGCATTTTTAAAATTTTTTGGCCGAAAAAAACCATATTTGCCTTTCCAAAGTGATTTTTCCTATTTCAAATTTTGTCAGCATTTTTCGCCATGTAATCAATACTGATTTTTATCGATTGTTTAGATGGCATGGTCGACATTGCAAAATCAGCACGATTGCATTATTATAACCATTACAAACCCAGTTCATTTTGTTGTTGTATGTTTAGCAAAAGTATAGAAAAATTTGAGTCATTTTGTGAGCCGTTTTTACACCAATTTTACCGATTTAAGTTCGGTTGATTACGTCAAAAAGCAATTACGTCAACCCTGTGACGTCATTTGACATGCGCAGCTTCACAATTACTTTCAAGCTTTGAAGCAATTTCATACGATTTAACAATTTGAAACCTAGTAATATGAGACTAGATATTTCCTCAAAGTCTCAAGTGTTCTTAGATCTTTCAACGATTTCAAATTTATCATGCCGATTATCTTTGATCTTACTGTTAGTAAATAAAGCCCACATCAGCTAGCTTGACATCTTCATCAAAAAAGGTTTTATAAAAGTTTTCCAGACTGTAAAAATACGAAATATTTCGTTGTGATAGTTTTATAAAAATTTCTCCAAATGTCTCAAACATAACATTAATATTGATTGTTCGCGCAGAAATGACAATCAGATAAAAATTTTAGGGAGGATTCCTTGACGCCATTGTTAGATTTTCTTTCAATACTATCTCCTTTAAGCTGTCTTCCAGTATTTGATGACTTAACGTCTAAAATATTGTTTATATTGGTATTCCCTACAGTGAACTTGTCCAACTAGACTCAAGGTCAAAACTTTACTAAACTGGTTGTGATTAGTGTTGAATTTCAAAACTTCCTAGCGTTATATCCTTGAAGTTTGAATCATTTCCATAATATCTCAGGGTAAAATTCGCTTCGAGTAGAAGAAAAAATTGACGCTTATTATGTAAATATGTTTATGCGAGATATGATTTTTACTTATCTAGTGCGCTCTTTTGCGTGCAGTAATGATATCCTACTGTTCTTGATTTTGAAAAAATTCAAGGCATTTTGTGCTGGAATTAAGTAGGACGATTTTCGTTGTCAAAGCATTCGCTTGTAGAGCGTTCAAGCAGTGAAGATCTTCACGGAAATTCAGGTACGTTCTGACGTTGTTTTAAGGGGACCACAGTTGTTTGTGTTTTGTTTTGTAGCCTTTGTTTGATTACTGGTAAAAAACAGTGGTATAAATTTCATCAAAAACAAGTGTTTTGTGCTGCAAACACCGTAAAAACATACTAATTATCGTCATTTGAAATAGACGATAAAATTTTTATAGTTTCGATTTAATACTAAGTCATCTTCAGTATATGAATGAAGTAGAATATTTACTATATTCTATATGGAGATACATATTCAGTAGAACTGCAAATAAGGCGTGAAACACTGTGCAGTGAATGGTTTCATAATATTATTTATTTACTTTTGTAAATTTGTATTTTGCTCTATCCAAAAAGATATTGAGCACTTTTTTTCATCTTGTGTACTTTTTATATAATTTCTATTAAATAGAACTATATAGAATACTTCTATTTTCTACATAAAGGGTTTATTTACTCATATTTATGATTATTTACTATAGATTTAGCACTGTAAATATTCTACTTCATTCATTCATATATAGTGAAGATGACTTAATGCTAAGTACAAACATGTTTAAATTTAAAAATTTTGACGTCTGTTTTAAATGCCTATAATAAACCTGGTACTCTCTGGATCACGGGAAAACAAACTAGCTATTGATGACGATGCGTAAACTCGCGTTGGATATGTGTGATTATTGATTTTTTCATTCTTTAGCTCTATCAGTTATAAAAGACTTGCGTGATTATGAAATTGTCAGTCGTGGCTATTTTCATTGCTGGTTTTACCGTCGCATTTGCTCACACATCGCACACACATCACCATGCATCTCACCAAAGTGTGGGAAAAAGTCATTTGGGAAACCTCTGGCATCACATTAAATTAATGGCTACCCATCCTGGAAAAGTCATAGAAAACACTTATCACAAATTGTGTTCCAATGACAAATGTCATGGTTTAGAATGTCCATCATTTACGGTTAAAAAGAAGACTGATGATTACGAATTGCGATGCTACCCATCTTATACTTGGGTTGGAACAAGTTACATAGGTTAGTGATGAATGAACAACAGAGAACAAAAACAGTCTTTACACTGACTAAAATATATAAGAAATAAGATAACGTGTGTCAGTGTAGGTGAGTGATGAATGAACAACAGAGAACAAAAACAGTCTTTACACTACATAAAATATATAAGAAATAAGATAACATGTGTCAGTGTAGGTTGTGATGAATGAACAACAGAGAACAAGAACAGTCTTTACACTAACTAAAATATATAAGAAATAAGATAACGTGTGTCAGTGCAGGTAGTGATGAATGAACAGTAGAATTGAACACAATCTATGTTTTGATAATTTTTGTAGGTAAGGAGCGCTCTAAGGAAACCATAAGAGATATGTTTTTGAAACTGTTTCACTATATAAATGGTGATAATGCAAACAAAACAAAGATCGAGATGACAGTTCCTGTAGCAACAAGAATTGACAATTTGGGCTTTAACACAAAGTGGACAATGTTCTTCTTTACTCCAGAGAAGTACCAAACCAACACACCTTTACCAACTGATCCTGAAGTGTTTATTTATAAAGCACCTAACGTGTGCGTCTATGTCAGGTGAATATGAATTTTCTCCAGCTTTATCTCATCGGCACTTCAGCCTATTTTTCTCCTAGTGTTTATTGTCAATCAATCTAACTCATACGTTTATTTTTAACACATCACATGACACGTGAATGACGTATTTCACCCGTTGCCACGGTTATATCTGTATAATGTATTTTATATTATTAGGAGTTTTAATTGGTACATGGGAGATGCAAAGGTGAAAGAAGAAGTTGAGAAGCTTGCAGATTCACTACTGAATGATGGCGTTACAGACTTCATTCCACCCAGGACAACTTACATTTCTGGCGGTTATGACAGTGTGTTTACCTTGCCTTTCCTTCGTCATAACGAAGTCTGGCTTGTAAAAATTTCAGAAGCGAACTTGTACTCGGGATGAAGTTCTCTGTCTGTGTGGAACAACTCATTTATTTTGGAATTTTTATGAACAATATGTTTCATAAGCAAGTATACACCTCTCTTTCTTTTCTTGCATTTTTAATAAATGCATAACACAACCCTCTTTTGACTTATTGTTGTCTCCAACAGCCAAGATAAGATCTATAGATACCTCAGAGTCTAGTCTTAGTTTGGCTCATCTTTTTTCTTGTATCTATGCTGCTGTTTAATCTTCTAGCCTCCCATCTACTTTATTCGCCGCGAGTCATTGCATCTCGCGTGTTAACGTTTGCGTGAACGTCCAAGTTTTAACCATGAAAAGACGGAACAAAGTCCATTGGCCAGGGAGACCAAATTTAAAGATAAATTCAAAGCTTAAATTGTTGAGAGAGTCAATACACTCAACATTGTCGTAAACAGATTGATGTGGTTTTTACCTTCAAACACACTCTTTAAAAGTGAGATGATAGCTATGGTATTACTTCAGTACTTGTACACAACTTATCAGGGCCGTATAGCCATAACTTATTAGTTGTATTCATGCTGTATAACCTACTCTTTTCTGGGTTCAAACCATTTACTTTACTACTGTTTTCTGGCTGTCGAATCGTGCATTTTGTGGTTCAGTTTTTTTTCAAAAATACGTGCTCAAAAAATCGTGCACGTAGCCGTTGCGTCAGTGAGAACTAAAATTTATTGGATTATGCATCATGTCATCAAATTTTTATTGTGCAATAATCATATCCATGCAGCGTTTAGAGAATTTTTTTTTTATTTATTTTTTCACTTTTGTCAATAATTCTCGGTGCAAGTATATTTATAATTTCAGCATTCTTTCTAAAGGAGATAAAAGCATTGATGAAAAAATAAATTCTTTAGCTTTAAAGTAAAGCTTTCGGGTAACCATCTCGATTTTTGCTCGGCAAATATTTTTATGTTTATTTGCTATTTCCATAATTTTGTAAAAGCACTATTGCTAATGTACACAACGCAGACTTATGAAACATTATGAAACGCTTATGTACAGATATTGACATTCGACTAATTTTCACATCATTCAAATTCAAAAACCTTTTCTCATTCAAAGACCCAATCCCTGATTTAATTAAATCTATGGTGGTATATGAATTCAATTGCGCGGGATGTAATTCCCGATACATTGGCGAAACTTCGCGCCTTTTATCCACCAGAATCAGGGAACATACCACAACAGACAAAAATTCTCATATCTACCAACACCTTCTTAAATCTCACTCATGTAAAACCAACTATTCACCCTCTTGCTTCAAAATCATCGACACTGCCGACACCTCATTCACCTTAAAATCAAAGAAGCATTCCACATTAACAAAACTAACCCTGACCTCAATGTTCAAATTTAAATTCAATACAATATTTAGTTTATAATACGCTCGGACGCTCCCCATTAATTTATCTTATTTTCTTTTTATTGTTGTAATTTATGTATCATATTACTTTTATATAAACCTTGTATCACTTATTATTTCACTCATACTGAAGATGGCATCATGAGATGTCGAAACATGTCTATTTTCAAAAAACTTTTCGTTTATATTAAATGCGTATTTGCTATTTAATGAAATATTCAATTTCTGACGGAGAAATCAATAATGTTTTGATTCAACACGACTAAGCAGGACTACATATCTGCAGGCTGAATTAACAGCTATATTGTTTTTGTACTCTCTGGTGGTACATTTCACTGTCTGATGTTTTTTATGCTGATGAAGAAATTATTCTTTCATGTTTTTTTCCTCTGATGATTGATAGCAATAAATGTACGGAAGATAAAAAAAAGAAATCCTAAAATTTGCATTGCAACCACTGCAGCGAGTGCAGTGGTTGCACTCGCTTTAAGGCCTGTTTCAAACGCCGAACTTTACATGAAGCGAACGCATTTAAAACAAAAGATAAAGAGGAAGTTCATCTCATTTTCTTTTGTCTTTAATGCGTTCGGCGCATGTAAATTTGAACGTTTGAAACAGGCCTAACGGATTACATTGTTTACTGAGCACGAAGCAGAACACACTAATTGCAAATATTGGCCATAACAAAGCCGAATCATTAAATTCTATTCACATGCGTTTACGCTTGGGGATCTAGTTGGATCTACTCACAATTAATTCTGCAACATGCAAATTATGCATGTATGATGTTTAGATGGGCTAGAGTTTTTTAGATAAATGCACAGCAGCTAAAATTTGGTTTACGCGTATTTTGCAAACACTACTCGTAAATTATGGCCATCATTTTACACTTGTGATGAAAATACGCTTAGAGCTATAGACGTAAAGTTCCTTGTTTTGGTTTTCTCATGATGACGGAGGTAATCAAATATAACACTTACAACACTTTGTTATTTTATGTTTGTCATTAACGTGTTTCGTTAATGAAATAGATGCCAAAAAATATGTCTTAATTGATAAGCTTTACGGCAAAACAGGGGAAGTTACAGCGTATATTTTATTCACTGTATTCATGAATGATAAATGCAAACAGCTCTGCAAAGTTGCGTCTTGTGGAATTTATATAAAAAGTATTTTAGATCATAAAATTGTACATTTTGATTGTGTAATGTATACTTACATCACCTAGAGATTGGTTATTGTGTTTTTTCCTGACCTTGGTTGTCATATGCTATCTCCTTGTCTTATTATTTTTATTGCAAGTGTTGATAACATGATTTATAAAACAGATAAGTTCGTTAGGTAATCCGACATTTGAAAATTGCAAGTCATGTTTCATGTTTTCCCTTTCAGAGATGCAATTTACTCAACAGTCGAGTTCGCCTTAAATTTAAATGATTTTGATTTTTCTGATTTTTTTGATTGATTTTTGAATCAATTTCATCGAATATCATCACAAATAACTTTTTCCGTTTTTGTGCTTTTACACCCAAATTACACCAAAGATTTCGAAAATTTTAGTTTTTCACTGCACAACAGAAATTACAATGTCAAAAGTTCTTGGGAAACTTCCCAAATACCATTGTTGTTATCGTAACTTCTTCAACATCTCCAGTTGATGCCCTTCTACCCCAAGCTGCCATGAGCTATGAATATCACCGTTCGCAAGCTAGCAAATATTCCATATTTGATCGCTCGTCGCTTTGAGCATCGTTGATTTAGCTGCAATGATAGGGTTGAATAAAACATTAAAAGTCAAAGTGTATCTTAAGCTCAACTAAAAATGATTATTTTTCAAATCGCGGCTGGTCAAGCTGTCATTGTTTATAAAAACTGCGTCATCAACTTTTGACGCATTTAATGCAAATAAGGTCATGAGATGAGTGAGTGCTCGTGCGCGCTTTCACGTGCAAAAAATGGTATTAAATATTTGACTCTGTGTCAGTCGACGCCACACTTCAGTATAAATAGAGGACAACAATTGCTACGTTTGTATTCGCTTATTGAGCGCTCAAGAGGTTATTTTCAGGTATGTTCTTTTATTTTTCTACATGACTGTCTGTTAATTCTGCGTAATTTTTGAGACGGTTCAAATCGATTGCTTGTCCAACTGCCTGATAACTTGTTGGACGACTTCGTACATAACTTTTGAATGTGCTAGATTTCTGAACAAATAATTCAAGGCCTTGAAAGTCCTTGAATTTAGAAAGATGTGCTTGAAATTAAGTACTTGAATTCTATTTTTTAACATTTCGTTGCAAATGTATCTGATAGCGCACTAATTTCAGTCCTAATTCTAAAGTGGAGGGGATCTTAAAGGCCCATTTCCACTTCATTCGCAATTCGCAAATCGCATGCGATCCTTTGTTTTCACTTCGCTTGCGAACGTTCGAAAATCGCATGCGAACCTGAGTGGGCAACCAATCAGAAAAAGACAACAACAAATCATAATGGCGGCGACAGGAAAGATAGAATGAACGCCAGAATTAGTTGAAGCCAGTTGAAGCCTTGATTGAAAATATTCGTTCAAACTAAGTTGTTTGGGATACTAGAAATGCAAATTACAACAACAAAAAAGTATATGACTCAACATGGTTATATATAGCAAATGAGTGTGGTCTGAAAGGAAAAGCATCGAGTATTAAAGCAAAATGGTGCGATTTGCGAATTGCGAATGAAGTGGAGGGGATCTTAACTTGGAATATCAAAGTACACCACCAATATGGTGGATTTAGCTTTGTATAAAGACACAGTATTGCTTCTTAATGGACCGGCTCATCAGGGATAAAGTGTTGTTTTGCATGCATTTATTAATGCCATACTTGTCCTTGAAGGTTTTGAAGTATGTCTTTAAAAGAACTTGAAATGTGCTTGAATTCATTATGCTGTATGTATATTATACGAATTCCGTGTTAATAACACAACGTTGACTATTACATAACCGAGTTTTTATCGAACCTTTTTTAGCTCCATTAAGTGAAAGACTTGCATCATCATGAAGTTGTCGATCGTGGCGCTTTTCTTTGCCGTTTTTGCTGTTGTTTACGCGCAACCATTGAACTCAACGAGCATCGAGTTGAGTGACGAAAGCAGCGAAAGTCCCAATTTTGGAAGCTTGTGGTATTTTTTTAAAAAGATGGTGACTAAACCCGTCAAAGTCGTAAAAAGTTTTTATCACAAATTGTTTAATTCCAATGATATTTGTCATGGTTATGAATGTCCAAAATACACATTGAAAAAGAAGACTGATAATTACGAACTGCGATGCTACCCATCTTATACTTGGGTTGGAACAAGTTACACTGGTGAGTGATGAATAAACAACAGAGAACAAAAACAATCTTTAGACTAACTAAAATATATAAGAAATAAGATAACGTGTGTCAGTGTAGGTAGTGATGAATGAACAACAGAGAACAAGAACAGTCTTTACACTAACTAAAATATATAAGAAATAAGATAACGTGTGTCAGTGTAGGTAGTGATGAATGAACAACAGAGAACAAGAACAGTCTTTACACTAACTAAATTATATAAGAAATAAGATAACGTGTGTCAGTGTAGGTAGTGATGAATGAATAACAGAGAACAAGAACCGTCTTTACACTAACTAAAATATATAAGAAATAAGATAACGTTTGTCAGTGTAGGTAGTGATGAATGAACAACAGAGAACAAGAACAGTCTTAACACAAACTTAAATATATAAGAAATAAGATAACGTTTGTCAGTGTAGGTTGTGATGAATGAACAACAGAGAACAAGAACAGTCTTTACACTAACTAAAATATATAAGAAATAAGATAACGTTTGTCAGTGTAGGTAGTGATGAATGAACAACAGAGAACAAGAACAGTCTTTACACTAACTAAAATATATAAGTAATAAGATAACGTGTGTCAGTGTAGGTAGTGATGAATGAACAACAGAGAACAAGAACAGTCTTTACACTAACTAAATTATATAAGAAATAAGATAACGTGTGTCAGTGTAGGTAGTGATGAATGAATAACAGAGAACAAGAACAGTCTTTACACTAACTAAAATATATAAGAAATAAGATAACGTTTGTCAGTGTAGGTAGTGATGAATGAATAACAGAGAACAAGAACAGTCTTTACACTAACTAAAATATATAAGAAATAAGATAACGTGTGTCAGTGTAGGTAGTGATGAATGAACAACAGAGAACAAGAACAGTCTTTACACTAACTAAAATATATAAGAAATAAGATAACGTGTCAGTGTAGGTAGTGATGAATGAACAACAGAGAACAAGAACAGTCTTTACACTAACTAAAATATATAAGAAATAAGATAACGTTTGTCAGGGTAGGTAGTGATGAATGAACAACAGAGAACAAGAACAGTCTTTACACTAACTAAAATATATAAGAAATAAGATAACGTGTGTCAGTGTAGGTAGTGATGAATGAACAACAGAGAACAAGAACAAACATTACACTGCTTAAAATATATGTTTGTCGCAATGCTAGGTAAGAGGCGCTCCCGAATGACAAGAAGAGATATGTTTATGAGATTGTTCCGCTACATCAGCGGCGCTAATAAAGAAAAAGTAAAAATCGAGATGACCGTTCCCGTGGCAACATCATATGATGCTATGGGTAACAAGACAAAGTTCACAATGCTCTTTTTTGCTCCGGAGAAATACCAAACTAGCACACCTATGCCCACAAATCCTCAAGTCGCCATTGTCAAACTACCAAAAATTTGTGTATATGTCAGGTAAATTTGTCTTCAACACTTAACTTTCCCAATGTTCATCAGTACAAAACGTGAAAACGTGTTCATTTTGTCTGATGATGGTTTTGAAATAAAACCGAAATATTACACTTTTAATTGTCTTGTTTGATAACTTGAAGTTAAGTTTACAAGATGTTTTATATGTTATATCTTACGAAACGTGAACAAAATGAAAAGTAGATGTTTAGCCTGTGCATTTGTTTTTATGGTTATGCATCATATCTTGAAGTTATATGTTAATTTCTTAGGACTTTTAGTTGGTTCATGGGAGATGCAAAGGTGAAAAGAGAAGTTAAGAAACTAGCAGACACACTGACGAAAGATGGTATTACAGACTTCACTAGTCCAAGCATTTCTTACATCTCAGGCGGTTACGACAGTCCATTTACCTGGCCTTTCCTACGTCACAACGAGGTCTGGCTTTTGCAAAAGTGAAAAAAACAACTTGGAATCAGGGGGGAGTTGCTCTGCATTGTTTCAACTCAAGAAATTTCATGAAAATTTAAAAAAACATGTAAAAATTTATCTCATTTTCTTAATAAATGCTAAACAAAACGCTTTGTTGACAAATGTTCTCGTCAGTTTTACACACCTTGAGGATATCTTAAGCTGTACATGACTTTATGCTAGGTTCAGAGCCTCAGAGTTAGGGTAGGAGAAAGTGTATGACATGGTTGTATCTATGAATGGAGTAGTTCAGGAATCTCCTGCCTTATAATGACCTGTATGCCTGACTGTAAACCAATCTCCATAGACAGTCTTTTCGTTAATTTCGGCAATACGCTCTGGAATGATAAAGCTCTTTTGGAATGTAATTGGCAACAAAATTAACGCAAGTTTCATCAAAATTAACTTGTAAACATTGAAATTGTTGTGATTGCTGTAATTGGAAAATCTAAAACGGGAACAAGCTTTGTTTAGGTTTATATTTATATAACACACATTAAATTAAGAAACTTTTACAGGACACATTTTGATGCCCTAACTTTATTTCCATTGAGTTCTAATCGGCTTCTTCTTTATTGTCCCATATTGGTCCCACCAGTGACACCAATGACGTAGGGAGACTTGAGGGCACCGGAGAGAAAAAGGGTCACTCACTTTCTAAAAACGACGTCATCACAACTGTCACTACACCTGAACTGCCAGCCTCCCCCAATGACGTAGGGAGACTTGAGGGCATCGGAGAGAAAAAGGGTCACTCACTTTCTGAAAACGACGTCATCACAATTGTCAGTACACCTGAACTGCCAGCCTCCCCCTATGTTAAAATGGATTGGCGCCCATGAGTGTCACTCACGGTGGGGTGGGGGGGTGGGGACTAATATTGATGTATACATCATATGTCGTATTGAGTTCCTTTAAAATCCATTGTTTTCACCCAAACTAAGATGATTTAAAAATTTTTCAGTCTAGAAATCGCTACATTTTTAGTACAAATGGTAAAAATTTTGCCAAAATTGAATGACAAAATCATTGCTTTCATTATGTGATAAAAAATTATGAATATAATTTAATTCTTCCTAAAGGACGTAGTTTCATTTACAAGGTCACGAAGTGTGTAGATAAAAAACGCACTTATTTTAAATGACCAAGAACCGGGGAAGATAAGGAATTTGGGGGGATGATAATATTCATATATGCATGATATGTAGTTTTGAGTTTCTTTAAAATACATTGTTTTCTAAGGATTGTGACACGCACAGAAGCGTAACTAGAACGTTAATTGGGAGGGGGGGTGGAGGGGTGGTGTATATTCATATATTCAGTTGTGCCCTACTGATTTCTTTTGAAATTCAAATCACTTTAAAAAGAAATTAGTAGGGCTCAACGGAATATATGAATACCCCCAATTAACGTTCTAGTTACGCCTCTGAACACGCATATATGAATATTAGCCTCCCAACTATCCATCCTTCCGCGGTCCCTGATGCCTGATTTATAAGACATTTTGTGCATTAATTTGTGCACAACAGCAACTGTTAAGTAAAGTAGGCTTAAACTTCAAAACGACGAGTATATCTATTCACATTGTATTAAATTATTTGCAAAGCAAATTCCTACAAATAGAACCGTTATTTAAAGGAATTGCAGCTATGTTTCACATTGGAAAGTCAAACATAAATTCTTTTCAATGCATAACGAAAAAAATTGACGGCAAAATTTTGTAAGTATAGTGTGATGGAGATGGATATATTTTAATATGAAAAGAGAGTTTATTGAATTTTATTTTATTAAATTTCGTTGCTCTATGTACCAATAATTCAGACAACAGAAATGAAAACAGACGACAGACGTGTATATTTTACCAATGAGGACTTAACACCAACCTGATCGATATGTAGCTAATATTTTGGGATTGTTGAAACTTCAAAGATCAAAAAAATATTTGAAACTTTACTTTACAAACTTAGCTAACTTAAGTTATACAAATGTTGATACGCATAGTGCATTGACTTATGGGAAATACGCGATCTCCACGGTCATTCGTGGAGAGCGAGTGAGTTGAATAACATAGATTTTTATCAAAGAGACAACTACAGGTCAAAAAAGTTTTGTCTTGCGTTTTTTAAAAATCAGAAAAACTTTTACATGATTATTAAACATACTAAATGCCTTTGAGTATCCCATAAAGTTCTTAAAAGGTTGTTCTACACAGACACAAAAACGTATCCATTATTACAAATTGTTTTGTGAATTTTGTATAAGCCACACTTCATTGTTACGTAGGAAGGGTAGGGTCAGTTCACTGTCATAACTTGCTGAGAAGTAGGCTGCTGCAGGAGAGGCAAAGTCTGTAATACCATCATTTCTTAGTAAATTTGCGAGCTTTTCAACTTCTTCTTTCACCTTTTTATCTCCCATATACCAATTGAAACTCCTAAGAAGTTGAAATACTTTATACAGACATAGCCATGGCAACGGACGAATATACGTCATTCGCTTGTCGTGTGATATGTTGAAAATAAAGATATTGGCTGGCTTAATCACGTGATAAAATATGATTGGCTAACAAAATAAACAAGCAATTGCTGATCAATTTTGTTGAAATTTCAAAGACGAAGTACAAATTGATGTTTGACAATGTTCTTTTCTTTTTGCTCAAATGCGCTAACTGCCTCAACTAGGTCTTTGTGAATATCTTTATTTTCCCATTCAGGGAGGTATTGCGATAAATTTTCGAATATATCCGCCATTTTTCTGTTTTTATAAACATGAAATTTTCTGTGACGTCATTCCATGCGTATGTCCTCTTATAGATCATAGCTCTCGACCAATGAAATTGCTCAAATTTTTCTGGTTATTATATAAACACATATATACACCTGACATAAACATAAATCTTTCAACAGACATAAATTATAATTACCTGACATAAGCACAAATTTTAGGTAGTTTGAAAATAGACACTTTGGGATTTGAGGGTTTAGGTGTGTTATGTTGGTATTTCATTGGAGTAAAGAAGAGCATGGTCCACATTGTCTTGCTGCCCATAGGGATGATTTTTGTTGCTACAGGAACTGTCATCTTGATTTTTGTTTGGTTTGCATTAGCACCGTTTATGTAGTGAAACAATTTTAAAAACATATTTGTTTTAGTCGACCAATACCGCTCCTTACCTAAACAACAATTATCGAAATTGTAGATTGTGTTCACTGTTATTCTTCATTCATCACTACTTACATTGACACACGTTATCTTATTTCTTATATATTTTAGATAGTGTAAAGACTGTTCTCGTTCTCTGTTGTTCATTTATCACTAACCTATGTAACTTGTTCCAACCCAACTATAAGATGGGTAGCATCGCAATTCGTAATCATCAGTTCTTTTCTCTAACGTAAATGTTGGACATTCTAAACCATGACATTTTTCATTGGAAAAAGTTTGTCATAAACATTTTTTATAACTTCTCGGGGATTGCTTGCAATCAATTTAACGTGATGCCAGAGGCTCCCCAAATAGCTTTTCCCGCATTGTGGTATGACTCGTGTTGATATGAGTGCCAAGAGTGAGCAAATGCAACGGTAAAACAAGCAATGAAAATAGCAATGACTGACAATTTCATGATTACCCAATTCTTTCAGCTTTATAGAACTAAAGAAAGAAATAATTGTTGTTATGCAATTTTACGCATCATTACACATTATGTGACGGCACGACGTGCTTAAAAATGAACGTTAACGTTCTTGTATATCATGGAATTTATGCCTTTGCTTTGCTTTTTGATGGGAAACCAAACGGCTTCCCAAAATCAAATGTAATTATACAATCAACAGAATTCTCTATATAATCGATATGTCACAACGTACCTGATATTCAATGAAGATCTTTACTTCTTCAACACTCAACAAGCGAATGCCTGAAGAATGAAAATTTTCCTCTATACATAACCTAATATGGGATAAAATTTCTCACATTTTTTAAAATCAAGCATCATGGGATACTGCATCACTGCACGTGCACGCATGAGCGCACGCGTGAAATCATTCATTGCACAACCTTGTTTGCATAACTAGCGTCGATTTTTCCCTCCTACGCCCTGAAAATTCTATAAAAAGATGTTTTGCGTGATTTTATTGAATATTGGAAGTCAAGAAGTGCGAGAGAGCACAAAGTGAAAATCTTCCCATCATGTTTTTATCTCATTATGTGGATTAACAATTTTTGCAGGAACTTTAAAAATAATCATACCAAGTTATGTATGCGCATTTTGCGTAATTCTATGCAAAACACTATTTTAATGAGGTGCTCGAAAAAGGCATAATTTAATTAATAAACGTAAATTCAAAGATAACTTGATCCATGGATAAACTTCAACATCAATGAAAGACCAAAGATCTCTTAAGACCTTGATCGACCAAGATGAGAAAGCGAAGTAAAACATGCTAAGTTTTGCGGGTGATACAAAAACAAACACAATTAAACAGGGTATTAATTAAATAATGCATACCTAAGTACATTTGATCTGCTTGATATTACTGAAAAATAGCACAGTTGTAATTAATCCCATTCACAAACTGTGCATCTGTCAAGATCAACTGAACTTGGGTCGTCGGTTTTTCTTTTAAAGATACTGGATATTTCATGAACTCAAGGTCAAAAAATTATTTTTTCAATATTAGAATAGGCTATATTATACTTCCTCATTTAGATCTTATAAAAATTCTGCTTCACTGTAATTAGAGAGATCTTTTGTATTGGAAAACCGGGATAGTTTGTAAAACATAGCGTGACTATACAGTACCCAAATAGGTCTTTCATTATACGTTTCTCTCTCAAGTATATTTATTTACTTTACACTATGGTATGATTTTCTTGACGTTATCAAGGAAAATTAAGGAACACAACAACCATATTTATCCTCTATTTTTCACATAACATCTTTTTACTCCCCCCCCTCCCCTCCCCACTAAACATATCACACTCGAAAGGTGGAAAGGTTTCAAAATAAAAAACCTTCCACCTTCTATCCATCCTTTATTCTTTGTGTCACACCAAATGAAGAATTTACGAAATGCACTTAACTTTGTTAATTAGAAGACAAATATAAATGTACTTGATAGGATATTAGAAAATGTCTTTTTAATGCTACAAATTACAAATATTTTTTGAAAGCATCGTGACTCCGTAACTTCGGAAAAATTGTTTTGACGACTTTTACAATCCAAAGACCTTAACGTCTGTATATGTGTCTTGTACATTGGTCTCGTGACCAGAGTCTCGTGATCAAAGTCTTTTGACACTTGTAAGAATGTAGTAAATTTGCGATGCTTTGCCGTTTCACCTCCCCTGTCATTCAGAACTAAATTTCCACTATTCTATGTATAATGTACCAAAAAGTTTCAGACTGTTTTAATTTTTTATGCATAACTTACCAAAGATGCATAAGTTATGCATAACAGATGCACAACTTATCAAAGATGATTTAGACATAACCTGATCAATGTATACTTATTACGTTAATTTCACAGGATTGTCGAAGCTTGAATGATCTAAGAAAACTTCAAACTTTGGTTGCCAAATGTTTTGTCGCCTAACAAACTTAGCTGAGTTATACGAATCATTTAAATATGAAACAAAAAACGAAAATATGACAAACGACGACCCAGGTAAGAAAGGGAACTATTCATGTTTGAGACAGAACTGTGCATATCTGATAGGATTAAAGAGCACGTGACATGCTGTAAATACGTTCGTTAATAGGATTGATGCTCTTACTCATAGGAAATTAGTCAATAGGGTGGGGGTGGTGGTTGGGGTTGAGTAAGTAGCATAAATAGTATGCGTAGAAAACACTAAGTCAAAAAAGTTTTGCTTTGCGTTTAATAAAAATAAAAAAACAACTTTTACATAATTATTCCGACATGCTGTTTTTAAAAATCCCACAAACTTCTTATAAAAGTTACGCCGCATAGACACACACAGAAACTCATCCCCAATTACAAGTTGTTTTCTGAGGTTTGTACAAGCCAGACCTCATTGTGACGTAAGAAAGGCAGAGTAAACATGCTGTCATAACCGCCTGAGAAGAAGGTTTTCTTGGGAGAGGTGAAGTCTGTGATACCATCAGCTGTTAGCAAACTAGCGAGTTTATCAGCTTCTTCTGTCGCCTTCTTGTCGTTCATGTAATAATTAAAACTCCTAAGAATATAAAAAAGTCCAAACATATATTACCATGGCAACCTTAGAATTTAAGTTATTCACGTGTCATGGGATGTGTTCAATAATAGATCAACAATAAACACATGAGGATAGATAGGTTGAAACGTCAAATTTCAATTAATATCTGATATTTGAACGAGGCAAGTCAAGAATGAAGCAATAGGTGATAAATAGCTACATGTGTTGATATCTCGTACTAACATAAGATGAAAGACATAAAAATCATAATTACCTGACATAAACACAAATTTTAGGTAATTTAATAATAGAGACTTTGGGATTTGTGGGTTTAGGTGTGTTATGTTGGTATTTCATTGGGGTAAAGAAGAGCATGGTCCACGTTGACTCAGTGACTCCAGGGACATATTTTGTTGCGACGGGAACGGTCATATCGATCTTCGTGTGGTTTTGATTAGCACCACCGATATAATGAAACAGTCTTAAAAACATATCACTTTGAGTCTTGTAAGTGCGTTCCGTACCTATATACAACAAATTTGAAATACAAATTATGTTCACTTGTATTGTTCAATATTCATTATTACCTATGGCAGTACGCACTGATAGGGACTGTAGATGGTCAACATTTGCAGATGGGGGGGGGGGCTAGTATAAAATATGCATACTTTACTAGTTTCTGTTAAAAGCAAATGTGATTGCGGAAAATAACATATGAAAATATGAATATTACTACACCCCCCTAAATCTCAATCTTCCCAAATATTGAAGCTCCTGCAAAGACTGTTCTTGTTCTCTGTTGCTCATTCATCACTACCTACGCTGACAAACGTTATCTTATTTCTTATATATTTTAGTTAGCGTAAAGACTGTTGTTGTTCTCTGTTGTTCATTCATCACTCACCAGTGTAACTTGTTCCAACCCAAGTATAAGCTGGGTAGCATCGTAATTCGTAATTATCAGTTCTTTTTTCCAGCGTAAATGATGGACATTCTAAGCCATGACAGTGATCATCAGTAAACAAATTGTAATAAATATTTTCTACGATTCTTTTTGGATTGCTTGCAATCAATTTAACGTGATGCCAAAGGTTTCCCAAATGGCTTCTTCCCGCATTATGGCGTGATGCATGATGCTCATGTGATGCATGGTGGTAGGTTTGCCAAGAGTGAGCAAATGCAACGGTAAAGCAAGCAATGAAAATAGCGACGACTGACAATTTCATGATTGCACAAATCTTTGAACTTTACAGCGCTAAAGAAGGAAACCAATTTTGATATGAGAAAGGCTATATGTAACCATACATTACCTACGCAAGTTTATGCATTACTACCAACAGTCTATTTTCACGGTACGATATGCTTAAATAATAAGATTTAGGACTCTTTTCATGAAATTGCTGTTATAGCGTTTTGACCAGCTGTCAATAAAAGGCTTTTCAAAATCAAACGCAATCAAAAGAAGTGTGTGTAGAAACAATTGATGTCATAACGTACCTGAATTTCACTGAAGATCTTTACTTCTTGAACGCTCAACAAGCGAATGCTTCAAGAATGAAAATCTTCCTCTATTTATACCTAATTTTGCATAGAAGAAATTAGATGCTGAAGTAATTTTTGAAATTCTACGCCAGCTGAGTTTTAAATTGACATTCTGTCTGACCGAGTATTTGATTGACGTTTTGAGTTTGATCATATTGAGCAAGTCACTCTGACGAGTGACGAGTACCAAAAAAAAACACGATATTTTTTTGCAAAAATTTACAAGTAAGATTGAAGCAAGGATCCAAGAGAAAGCAGAGAAATAACCAGCAATAGCTTCTGAGGTATACTCCCAGGAAATTTTTTTCTCATTGCAATTTGTGTATTTTTCTTGAAAGTTTGAAACATTAATAGAAATTTTAAAAATAATCATGCCAATTTATATATGCAATTTTTGAGTTATTCTATGTAAAACGCTACTTTTTGAGATGCTCGATAAAGGCATAATTTAATTAATATGATGTAAATTCAAAGATAACTTGATTTATGGATAAAATTCAACATCATTGAAAGACCGAAGATCTCCTAAGACCTTCATCGACCAAGATGAGATACATGCCAAGTTTTACAGGAGGTACTCAGGAAAAAAACAAAATCAAACAAGGCTTAAATAAAGAAAGTTGACTTAAGTACATTTCATCTGCGTGATATTACTGAAATATAGCACCATTGTTATTTACAGCACTCATTTACTGGGCATCTTTCAAGATCTACTTCATTAACTGGAGTGGAGAGTCAAGGTCAAAAATAGATGCGCGGTACGTACATGTGGGTTGCATTATTTATGAATAGCTAGCCAAACAAACCCAAGTGGATAAATGAATATAGTTGTATTCTTGACCTTGGCTTGAAAAAATATAACAAGATGTGTATCACATTTCCCAAAGAACATATTAATCTATTAACACAAATACGAAATCGATCAAAAGCTTGTAAACTTTTACTCAAAACGCATTTTCTTCAATAGAAATCATGATATTGGATGAGATTTTTCATTGTCAAGCCTGGTTTTCACTGACAATATAAGCATTGCAAGAATCGAAAACAAAAGAAAATGCCAAAGAATCCAATTAACAGTCTGACACAATCATCGACATAAGCATACGCACAAGCATAACACATTGACATGAGTGTAAGAGCTAAAGACAATTGAAAAGAAAATCCTTTTTGTTTTGATTCATTGAATCTCAGGAGAACATGCTTGCCTTGTTTTCTAACTTGCGCTTTTGTCTTTAGTTAAAACTAAGGTCTAAAGATTGTTTGTTAAGTCGCATGGCTTTGTTAAAATATATAACGAAATGTAACTCCAGATGTTGATATTTTTCGCACAAACTAAACAATCTTTAAACATGAGCCGGTAACATAGGAGTAAGCCTGCAAGCATTTTAGCCTGTTTCATACGCCGCATTTTACATGAGCCGAATGCAATTAAAACAAAAGATAATGAGGCATTTTATCTCATTTTCTTTCGTCTTTAATGATCCTTCTCATGTAAAATTTGACGTTTGAAACGGGCCTCATGCGTCTAAATAAATCATACAATTGTAGTTTCGGCTCAGACCTAATAGGGTTATTCTAACAGCATGTGTTCAACACAAATCAAAAGAAATTGATTTGCGTGCGAATACGGAGGGGGTGAATAAAAAATAAAAGTGCTTAATAATCTAAATGCACATTGTTTTTAAGCACAAAATATATTGGAACTCGGGGATTTTGATTGTACTGCTGAATTGATCGTAGTCACGATTACAAGCTTCAGAAATCCTGAAGGCAAGCATCTTTTGCATTTTGAAACAAAACATTATACTTTGTGAATATGAACGTGTACAGATTCTTGTCATTTTACTATTAGAAGTTACGTTAAATGCAGACAAGCATGTATGTTTGACAATATACACGCAGGGGCTTTTAAAAAGATAACATTAGAAATTAACCTATTTCAATTTCTATCAGCAAAATTTGCCCAATAATGCACCCGTGGGCTTAGGAAAGCGATCAAGCATTAAAATTTTAACAATTGGCCATTTTCGAGTCGCTTCCTTTTTTTATACACTCAACAGAGTTTGTAACAAAAAGAAAATCTTGTACTATAAGTAAATTATTGTTGAAAAACTTTGCATTTCCCTGTGCAGTTTGTCATTTACTGCATGACAAGAAAGGCATGACGAGTTTCTTTGATAAAGCATCTGTTTTTGCGTCAATTGTAAAATCAGGATACACAAGACGCTCACCGATGAGACATCAATGCAAATGAGCCATTTTACTCGTCAAAGCGTTACTATATAAAGAGCTCTTCTGAGCAACTTGTGTATCACTAGAAGCGTACAGGAGACGAGAGTTCTTCTTTCAACTATTTACGACAGAAGTACTCAGCAGCAACCACAACGAAATGGCAGAAGAAATCGTCCTCATCACCGGCTGTTCTTCAGGTATTGGCTTGGCTTTGGCTGTATTGCTTGCGAAGCAAACCACAAGAACCTTCAAAGTGTACGCATCCATGAGAGATACAACAAAGAAAGACGCGTTGTTGGAGAAAGCTTGTGGTTGCAACAATTTAATTGTAATAAAACTGGACGTGTGCTCACAGAATTCTATAGATGCTGCTGTAAAAGAAATCTTGGAGAAAGAGGGAAGAATTGACATTTTAGGTAAGTTGCCTGCTGAATGAAATTTGTTGTAGTTTTTTGAAAATGTACACTTAGCTGATAATCTTTATTAACTTAAAACCTGTTACGGCAACCTAAAACTGTTCATCCTAACGCTGTTTCGTTGCTTGGAAGTAAGTAATTTTTTAGAAGTTGATTTCTTCAGGCTCAAGTAGTTTCGACGTCTGGACTATGTTTTACGAATATATTATGGTATTCCCAGTTGAACCATAGCTTAACGTAAAGACAAACTGAGATTCTCTTCACCCCAAAATTCGGACCTATTTTCTAGCGTATATTTAGGTTAGCTTACATGGGCGAGTGTCCTAACTAGAAACTGATTTATTTCAGTAAACAACGCTGGCGTAGGGTTAGTTGGTGTTCTTGAAGCTCAACCATGGGACAGAATCGTCAATATGTACGACATTAACGTTTTTGGTCCATTGCGCATGATTCGTGCGTGTGTGCCATTGATGAAAGAGAAGAAAAAAGGTCGTATCATTAACATTAGTGCTGTCGTTGGAATGATTGCCATGCCCTTCACAGTTGCATTTGCTTCGACGAAATATGCCTTAGAAGGAATAACAGAGTCTCTTGCACCCGAGTTGGATGCCTTTAACATCCCGTAAGTACGAATATATTTCTCAAGCTATATATATTATGTGTTCTGTGTAGCTACTGAAGAGCTAAAGTTATTTTATCATGTCTTAACTACAATAGTTTAACTGAAAACATTGCACGTCGACTTTAATTACTTGATAATTGACGCAAATGCTGTGTTATTGTGGTATTCGGTGATAAAGTGTGCTTAAGGGCAAATCTTCTCCTTGACCCCAGCTTGAAATGGCAACAAATTCAAGGGAACAACTTTAAAGAGCGATTGAAGTAAACTGGGCAAAAGAAAGTTCAGTGCTTTTTCCTATTCATATGTTTCTAATCTCGAGCCAATAGGAATGAGCGATTTGTTTATTTCTGAAATAAGTTCGTACAAAAAGAAGTTAGAAGAAGCAGCACATTACGGCTTTTGCATTGTAAAATTTATCCAGCTGCTTGAAATTTGCATATTTCTGTTGCATATAAAATTATAAGTGATAATTTTTGTCCTTCAAGAGGATTTTATACACATCAGCTTAAGAAACACCATTCCCAAGCTCAATAATACTGTGTATAACTACTCAAACTTTACTGTGTATAACTAATCAAACTTTACTGTGTATAACTAATCAAACACTACTGTGTTTAAACTAAATATTATTGTGCTTATATGCTTTCAGAGTAATTGCTGTCGAACTTGGACCTGCAGATACCTCTTTCTCTAACAAAACTGGCTTCGGAACGGATGAATTTCTTGCAAAAGACGCAGCGACCAAAGAAATTTATGACAAAGTCATGAACAACTGTATGAAGGAATTTGCCGAAGAAAAACTGCAAACTGCAGAAGAGTGTGCTGAAGGCATTCTAAAAGCTGTTACTGACGAGACACCGCAATACCATTATTTTCTTTGCAAGAAGTTTGAAGAGGAAGCAAAAGCCAAATACTGTGATATCACAGGGAAAAAACCATTTGAAAACAGCAAGAAACATTTATCTTAGGTTTTAAAATGATTATAAATGAAAAGAAGTCGACGGTCCGGTGGTTTATAACAATGATCTAATTTATTAAGTACTGTCATAGATAGTTTACGTATGTGCTTGCATTCAATGTGTTAAACAATAAAAAAAATACAGAAAAGTCTTTGAAAGCAGTTTTGTCACACCATTCATTTCCATATACTTATTGTGTATGTATGTATTGTATACATTCAGTCTTCCAGCATCTAAACTAGCGGGAATACCTTGCCTTGTGCCATGTGCAACCTCGTAATGTAATGCAACCGTCCATTATGTCGTTTTTTCCTTACATTATCGATTGTGTTAATGTGTTCACTACAGAGCTAGTCATCCTGGTTTCCATGACGAAAATTGGTAATAACAGTCAAAGAGTTCAACACGTCATCAAAGGGTTAGTACCAAAACATTTACCATATGGAAAACCATTGACTCGTTTTGCTGCGGTCATTTTTGTGAATAACTCGTGTGAAACACAATTGTGAAATATGCTACTAACTTGCGACCTTTATGACCTCCACCATGGACAAGGATTCCTAATCTAAAGCCTCTAGATAAACGATTGTGTTATAGATTAACGATTGTGTTAGAGATTAACGATTGTGTTAGAGATTAACGATTGTGTAAGAGTATTAATAATGACAATAATTAATCAGCTGTAATAGAATTTTGGGAACGTCTATTTCAAGATATATTCAATTTGGTTAGGTGAATGGTTTGAACCCGGGAGTATCGTTACATGCGTAAATCGTTCAGGTTAGTTTAGTCCTGAGAAGGACTGTTGGTGTTCATGTCGACTGATGTTTGGACAATGTTAGCGGCATTCATTTTCAGAGTCAAATCAAACAAAAAAATTTTGCTTTAAGTCTTATCAATGAAACTTTTCCAATCAATTGGTTCATAACAGAGCTCTTACGTAATTATTACTATTCGAAATACTTAAAGTAAACATTTGGCTTAAATGTGTGCCAATAAAACCAAACATAGAATAGTAGATTTGTGCAATATTGGGCATTCATATTCTCGTACTATTCAGCTCCTTGACACCTGATTAAATGTTCATGTCCTTCAAGGATAAGTGATATAATGGTACATTTACATGGAATTCCATAACATCTGATATCAGAAAAAATAAATAAGCCCCACAATTTTGAAAGGAAATCGCACGAAAACGTATCTTTATATCTTTATATGGCGATTGATTTTCTTTCGCAAAACCGCGGGAATATGCAAATGTTAGTTCACATTTCTCATTTTTGATTGGTGGAAACGCTCCTCGCTTTTTAACTCGAATTAATAAACATGGCTGACATCGAAGGAGGGAGAGAGTAAAATGCTTTTTTCAATATGACAGAAAGCGTTGATCAATATCTAACTCAACTTAACAACAGCTTGAAGTCGACATCTTCTAATCGAGGCAATGAGGCTGCAGACATAAGCAATGACCTACGTGCTCATTGCAATGAAAGTATTAGACAAACTCAAATAGGTTCGTATCATGGAGTTCGGTCATCAAATCCTCCTCGAAGTTGATGGTTTTTGACGTTTTGTACCGGTGTGCGAAAATATTTAACCGGGGATATTTTATTTCTTTAGGGTACTATTCATCTTTGCTTTTCAATCATGACACTGGAATCATAAATTTTTTAAATGCTGTTGTATCAATCGACGAGGTAGCTATACTATCTTGCACCAATGTGCGTTTTATTTGTAAAAATTTTACTTCATCGTGTCTTAATATGCTTTCCATGAAAAAGAAAGTTACCATTAATATTCAAAGCTTAAAGCTTAAGCAAAGCTACTTTAGCTTTGACTTTTAAGTAATGATTCTTATGGCTACTTATTCACATTGCAATTTTCATACTGTTTTTGATGTCTTTAACTTTGAATTTGTTGTACAGCATTCTTAATGCTTTTTTGTCCATAAGCAATGCATTCCACTCCATTCCATGAAAGAAACTCTCAAAGCCTCACAATTCTTGTTCAGATATGTAATATTTGTTGCAATATATGTCTTTTTTTGTCTACATTCAGTTTGCAAAATGTAAAGAAACACTTCTCTTGCTTATTGCTGATTTCATTTCCAAACTGGGAACAAGAATTTCACCATATGCTACTGGAATGAAGGTAGTAAACATGTTTTCGCATTCTGTTGCTCCAGTTTTGTATGTCATTGCAACATTTAGTCATTTACGTATACAACTGTGCTAATATGTATGTAGTCACCAAGTGTTTTTTAATTTTACATGTTGATAGAAAGTAGGTTTAAGTCATGTGAGTGACATAGAAACTAGTCAGAAGTTAGTACATAAACCAGATGCTGAATATAAGAATCTTGTTTTCTTGATGTTCAAGATTATACAAGAATTAAGACACTGAGTAAGCGATATTTTGTCTTTATGCCAAAGACATCGTCATACCAATAGATTACAAAGTAAGCTGTGAAACATTTATATAGTTTTTTACATGAAGTAAGTAGTGTATGTCACGAACTGAATTATAAGTTTCAAAGAAAATAATCGTGAGCAGATCATGTGAGTTATTATATTAAAATGCAAACTCATATTTTTTGTGCTACTGCAGGAAATATGTGTTAGACTTTTCCAAAAGGATAGAAACAGTCGTGTAAAAAACGAAACATTCAATGTTTTACATCAAGTAAGTTGGACTTGTAGAGTGCGATCAACCATTTCAACATACTTGAGTTTTGATTTATAGTTTTTCAAACATTTACACATCTCTACATGTCATCTATTACTGTTCTATCTTTACAATTATCATAATTTCACAACATAAATGGCGATTGAATACTGAGCACAAGTTTCTGCTTTAAAAAGTTTGTGTACTTTCTACTGTCAATTTTCTCATTGACATGTTGTTTATTTTTTGTAGCTACTTGAGTTGAAATTTGATGCAACAATAGTCGAGAAGCTTGACATAAAAAATCTCATTGAAAAGTATTTATAAACTCGTATCATTCATGATTCTTGACTAAAGTTATTTTGCACTGAAATCTTGTAGATCTAAAACTGCCAAATTTTCCTTTTATTTCTGTTATTATTTGAATGAGGACATTTCAGCTCAGAAGACAAAATTCTCTTTTCCCATTTTCCCAAGGTACTTTTCTGCCTGCCATCGACCGACCAATTACTCGTCAACTGGTAAGATCCGAGTCAATAAGTTAACAAAGCATGGTCAGAATGAGGACAATCATTTAAGTAATGTTAGGGAAACAGGGTGGGAAGGGGTTAATTTACCAAGGGATGCAAGGGTGCCGATTTATGATTTGTGTTTAACAGAGCACACTTTGAAAAAATATCCCTCTATCATCATACTTGAAGAGTAACCGACTTTAAATAAAACAAACATCTCCGAGGTTTGCATAAGCCAGTGCATACATGAAAAACATCTTTTATTTCTTTTATAAAATAACAATAATACGAAAAAAGACAAACATTTTAATTTTTCCTCTAAAATGTATTCATGATGATTTGCAAAGTCTCTCTGACTGATTGATTGTTTTGATTGATTTGATTGGTTGAGCTCAGATGTGTTTTGCACAGGCTAATGCAAACACAGCTCTAGACCAATCAGCGCACGCGTTTCATTTTGTTTATTTTATAATGAATGCTGGCACTGCCAAAGTACACCAAAATTTTATTCAACCTAGAGAACCCTCTCTCCAGTCTTAGAAACTTATCTTGAATCCATTCCTGACTGGATAATTATAATTTTTTTATAGTTAAGTCTGGTATTTACTCCCTGTTGGGTTCATTGGCGGAATTTTTTCCTGAGTTGATGGTGACTCGTGCTGAGAGATTGCTTCAGATATATGTTGGTGTCTTAAAGACTGAAGTAAGTTTCAGTTTTTGACTCATTCATGGCTCCATAAACACGTCGATAATTAAGACCGTTTCACAGTAAAGAATATTTACTGTGTCGTAGTCTCTTAGAGTGACTTTATATGAAAAAATATGCTGTTATAGTTTTTCGTTACCCTTCCTTGAGATACATAGGCGACTGTACTACGTCACGTGTTTCTTTCACAAAAATGGAAGCTCGCTAGTCCAAATGGAAGCTCGCTTTGCAAATACCAAACTGTGTTGTGCACGCTGATTTTGCAACGTTATGAAAAATACATGAAGTATTACTAATTTAAACTGAAATCGACGTATTATAACCATTAACACAAGTACGTAGTTTTACAATGCAACCGCGCATGCTCTATTTCAGAGGATTTCTTTAATGGGTGTTATGTCACAGAGACACGCAAAATAGTTTTCAAATTTTTTTTTTTTGGGGGTGTTGCGAAACCATGTAAAAAAATTAGAAATTTCTGATCTTCTAGATGGTTGGTAATAGATGGATGGTCATTTTATGGTTAATTACCCTTACATTTTCGGGGGCTTTTTGTTCTATACAGGTCATAAATTGTTGTTTTGAAGCATAATTGTAATACAGAGAAAAGAATTGTTTTATCAAATTTGCAACTGAATTGAAATTTCGAAAGGTTATTAAGTTTATTGAGAGGGACTAGCCCCCATAAGTTGAGGATTGGGAAGGGCGTGGTTCCGTCCCCCCGCTCCCCTTTTCTAATTCCCGTGATGTCATCTTATGACGTCATTCACCAGTAAACCCGAGGAAGGATAGAAAAGGATTTCTTGAACGTTGCAGTACACACGACTTTTACCGAATTTGGCTTTTTTGTTTCTTGATAGATGAATAAGTCCAGCAAAGCCGACATGCCCGTGATAGCCGGCTGTCTTCGGGGACTGGTGTCTACTCTCGTAAACTTTACTCAAGCAATTGATGAAGGTGCGTTCGAGTAACGACTGTGATGCAATGCACGAAAATTTTTAATAACGTCTTTTTATGAATTGTTAAAGAGTAAATATTATGTGATCTGCTCTTTGTTGACTGTGAACAGAATTGAAAATGGAAAATAAACATTATGATTTTAGTTTGTGCTTGCAAATGGCGTCTTGTTTAACTGTAACTTTAGGTGAACTAATTTTCTTAATCACAGGTTCTCGATCCGCCAAAGACATTTACTCGTGTGTCAGAAGAGCCATTGACACAAAAGTAGGTTGCAAATAAAAAACCCGCGAGAAAAAACCAGAAAATTGGTCGAAAACAAAATATATTGAATAATAAAAACTTTCTTTTTTGATTACAGGTGCATTACGTCAGATACGAAGTACCGCGAGGTACTTTAAAGTACTTTTTAACACCTCAGATCGATGTGGGACAATCTAAAGGCTTTTTAAAAAATTTCTTCAAACTCTTAGTTCATTATTTTATGATTCTATGTAGCTAGTTTACCTTCTTAATACAACATTTCTGGCTGTGTACAGAGCTCTTTAAAGCAACCGTTGCATGGAAACTGTAATACCTTGCATTTTTTTGGTAATCTTTTTTCAACCATCGAAAGTATTTTCTATAATGAATAGTGTTTATTCCCTTCCCAGTAAATATCTAACTTTCTATTACTTAACTACTTTGTGAGCGAATGTTTAAAATTTTGTATTCTCAATTTTTTTAGCTGGCTTGAATTTTATCGCCAGACACGCGTCACAGTACAAAGAAAATTTAACAAGAGATTACGAAGTATGTGTGTATGAATGTGAAATTTGCTTACATTTGAAAATGGAACGGTGTTAAATAATGTAGAACCGACTTCCAGTTTGTTCATTTTCACATTATAGAAGTAGTGTAAAGCAATTCTGTAGCCTTTTGTTTATTTTCGGTCTGGTTTACCAAATTATTTTCTTCTAACTGTAATAAATCTTCGTCGTGTTCTTTATATCTTCGTGTTTATCATATTTCTTGCTAAAGTTGTTGGTCAATCATCCCACGTGATCTAAAACGGTTTGAAGCCAAAATCAAAAATAAAATCACGAGTCGAAGCCATATTTTATAGATTACAATCTTACCAACTCAATTTCAAAAATACACCTTGATTGTTAGGTAGGTTTAGGGTTGATTTTTAGGTTAGGTTTGGGTTGATTTGATCGTTTAATACTTGTAAATTAAATCAAGTTGATCTGATCAACGTACTGACAAAATAGAAAAAATTGCTATTTTTATTTTGGGCTTTTAAACTGTTTTTCACTTATGTTTTGACTATGGATGGTTGTACCAGGCGCGCTGCCAGAACGATAATTGGGAGGAGCATATTCATATGTGCATGACATGTTATATTAGCTTATTTTGAATTAGCTTATATTATGACCCCCCCCAATTATTCTTTTGGCTGCGTGCCTGGGGCCGGTTGCACGAAGTTTTGATAGTGTTATCCATTGGATGGCAATTTTTTCAAACTTTTATAAAACTTTTTAAAAAGCAAAAAATATAGGATTCGAACTGAACAATCACTGAAATTCAATATTGTTTCGAAGATTACGAAATTTCTTTGTCGTAAGAAAAATATTAACATCTTTTTTACAAGTTTGAAAATTTTTGCTATCCAATGGATAACGCTATCCAGGCTTCGTGCAACCGGCCCCCTGTATTCTACACATGTTGTTTTTTCAATTAATGTATTATTTATGTCTTACAGAACGTTGTGGAAAATAATGACAGATTTCTTTGATAACTTACCAATGAACATTTTTCGTTGCGTTTTTCAGGCTGTTTATGAAACTCTGACATGGTGGTGTTCAAAAAATAACAAGGAAACTCGTAGCATTGCTTTTGCTGCTTTTGAGGCGTTTTTGAAACAGGTTAAAGTGCAAATATCAGTTATGAGAAGGCTCAGCATTAGTGGGGTGGCATTGGCACTAGTCATAGCTCAAGAATTTTCGAAGCATTAAGCGTTTTTCAAAGACTCTACGATTCCCGCCTTGTTTATTCAGAACATCCTAGGAATAACGCCAGCTCCTATGACTAGCTTCGTAAAGTTTCTTCTCTGACTTTTTTTCTTAGGTTGCTGAATGTCTTATGAAGAAAGGAGAGGAAGCTACTGTCAAAGATCAGGAGACATTCAAAGTATGAAGAAAAGTCTTTTGTATTTAAAAAAATATGTCGTTTATTTAAAGTGTCAAAGCTACGAGTATATCTATCGTTCTGCTTAACCAACCATGGTATACTTGATATGTACGTATGTTTGAATTTCAAGTAGTCCTATACTTCTGTGTTTTTTTTTATCTTTTTCTCACTCAACACGAATGGTTTTTACATCGACCTACTGCACGCTAATATCACACGTTTTGAGAGTCTGGGTCGTTATTTTGGTAGTTTATCTATTTGTCATCTTTGGCTTCACTTAACGTGCTAAAAAAGCAATCCTTGAGATATAGAGTTCAGTGTTATAATCCATTGAACTAAAATACATAGAACGCTGCCTTAAGCAAATAATTGAAGCCATATCTTACCTCAGACACGCGCGATTTTACTCCAGACACGCGTGTGTAGTGTTTCGAGATTCTCTCGTGGAGTAATAATTGATTGAATACACACGCGTGTCGGGGGTAAGATCACGGCTTCAAAAAATAATTAGGGTTTTGTATTACAGGTAGCGTTCCATGTATTTTAGTTCAATGGTAATTTCGGAGATTTGTGTCGACAACTAGGCAGCTTTCATTGTCAGCCACATTTCTTTTCTCTTTATGAACTGAAAAAATGAGACTTAAATAAAAGCACAGATTATTTAATTTGATTAAATCTCATTTTATTGTTTTTTCTGCTTTATGTAGTTCTTTATCAGATCTTTCAAAAAGATTATCAGCTCCAGTGACAGCGTTACAAGGGATATTTCCATTGCAATTCGAGGCTATGGCTATTTTGCTAAGGTATTTATACATATAGCAAAACTGTAAACTTGGATGTTTCAAGCTTTCAATGATGATGTTGATTTTAATAATGTTGATGATATTGATGACTTTCATATCGTGTAAAAATATTGATGATATCGATAACATTGGTATCGTGTTTTTGATAAAATGGCGATATGTTTAACAGTTTGTGTGAGAATATTCTTTGTTTGTTTAGCCATGTACTTTGTTTTTACGTGAAGACGAAATAAAAGTCATGTTCGCCATGATGATTCAAAGGAGCGAGCAGATGTATTTTAAGTAAGTTTTTCTTGTTCTTTATTTGCGTGCCCTCTTGTATAGCTATCGTAACTAAAGCTTACCGTTAAGTAAGTTTTTCTTGTTCTTTATTTGTGTGCCCTCTTGTATAGCTATCGTAACTAAAGCTTACCGTTAAGTAAGTTTTTCTTGTTCTTTATTTGCATGTCCTCTTGTATAGCTATCGTAACTAAAGCTTACCGTTAAGTAAGTTTTTCTTGTTCTTTATTTGCGTGTCCTCTTGTATAGCTGTCGTAACTAAAGCTTGCCGTTAAGTAAGTTTTTCTTGTTCTTTATTTGCGTGCCCTCTTGTATAGCTATCGTAACTAAAGCTTACCGTTAAGTAAGTTTTTCTTGTTCTTTATTTGCGTCTCCTCTTGTATAGCTATCGTAACTAAAACTTGCCGTTAAGTACGTTTTTCTTGTTCTTTATTTGCGTGCCTTCTTGTATAGCTATCGTAACTAAAGCTTACCGTTAAGTAAGTTTTTCTTGTTCTTTATTTGCGTGTCCTCTTGTATAGCTATCTTAACTAAAGCTTACCGTTAAGTAAGTTTTTCTTGTTCTTTATTTGCGTGCCCTCTTGTATAGCTATCGTAAATAAAGCTTGCCGTTTCAAAACACTAACTTTTAACCAGTATCCTCTTCCATTTTGGTTGGAAGCAAATATGTTTTCGTCTTTATCATGGATGACAGCTGAAAAAAACGGGAGAGTCTTGTTTGTTTCTAGTGACAGGGAATTAAAAGAAGACAAGTTACAAAATCTACCAAGTTTTCTTGAGGCATTTGGTTTTATTGCTGAAGAAATTGAGGAGGTTGGAATAATCAACAAATGCAACACATTCTCGTCGAACTTATAACCTTCCTTTTTGCTATTTTTTAAGATTCCTTATGCATTTGTTTCATTTCTCGAGCGCTTGGCTGTCGTCCTTATCGAAACGTATCCTCAACTGGGAAAAGGACCTCAGTTTATCTGTTGTAAAGGAATGTTGAAGCTTTTTGAAGCGTTGGCGAAGAACGTGGCCTTGTTGAAATCATTTCTTTCTCAAATAGGTTAGTAGCTACTTATTACTCAAACTGATGGTACTTTTATGGCGGTAGGACACTTTTAATCACTGCGACATTTCTTTCTTTCTTTCAGTTTATCAAGGGTTGATTCGAACGTGCTCTCATCCTGTTCCTTTGGAAGAGGTAAACGCCGCAGTTTGTTGTTTCTGTTGCCTTCTTTTCATGGAATGCATTTTACTTACACTAAAAGTGAAGATTTGAAGTAATTTTGTTGAACAATAAATGGCTTAATGACGTAAAAAATATAATATAAAACAAATTCCGAAGAAACAAGACATCTTGAGATTGCAAAATATGAATCAAAACAAGACGAGAAGTAAACTGTAAATTTTCGACTTTATTTCAAAGTCAACCTCAGACAGAATGAGGATGACTTTGAAATAAAGTCGAAAATTTACAGTTTATTTCTCGTCTTGTTTTGATTCATATTTTGCAATCTCAAGATGTCTTGTTTCTTCGGAATTTGTTTTATATTATACGTAAAAAATGGTCTGTTAAAATCGGCCTTGTTCCTTTTCCTACATACTTTCATCAATATTTATTTTATGTACGAACAGTACCGTAATGTGGTTGATAATTGGGGGGTGGGGGTGGGGTATTCATGTATGTATGTTCTACCTAGGGTGTTGTGGTATATCAAAATATAGATAAATATCGTTTTTTTAAATATGGGTTTATCGATGTTGGTTTTTTCAGTATATATACACCAAAATATCGATATACCGAAAATATCGAAAAACATATTCGGCGTTACGGTATATTTAGTTATTAGAGATTTGTAATTGTTTTTTTTAATGGTTTTTTAATAGCTTTATAGCGGTTTTTAAACGGTTTTGTATACTACTACACAATCTTGACCCAATCACACGTGCGCAGAAATTGTTGGCTAAGTTTCAATTTGATCTAGCTACGAGTCATCGCGAGCATTGCTATAAATAACGAAAAAAAATATCCGAAAAAATAGCGATATTTTTTTCGATATATCGACATCGGTTTTTTTAATAGCGCAACAGCCTCGTTCTGCCGTACTAATTTCCTTTAAAATCAGTTGTTTTAACGGATTATAACATGCATATATGAATAATGCCCTCCCTCCAGTTTTTGAAGCTCGCTACAGCATTGTGTACGAAACAAGAATATAGCCTGTTAATAGATGTTGACAAATGGTAATTGAACATAACTTCTTGGGCTAATCCAGGAGCATCAGGGGGGCGTGGTAAACCATGGGTGTCTGTGTATCCGTTTGGAGTGTAGATGGCCAGTGGCCCTTATATAGGAAAGATGCGCACTCATTTAGTTGTTTGCTTGAAAGTTTATGATGTAAATTCCAGGTTTTTACACGTGTAACAAATGTTATACTAAATTCCAGGTTTTTACACGTGTAACAAAACTTCAACTGATTTTCTCTATCTGACATATTGAACCATATGTTTTTTTACAAACACTCTATTTCAAATTTTTTTTATGAAAGGGTGAAGACTCCACGGAAGAAGAAACAGAATTCTTCGTTCGTAGCATCTCGTATAAAGACTACTTGGAATTGTGGGAATGTCTTCTTGGAGACAGTCAAAATAAGAATACGAGTTGGACATTAGATGCCATAAGAATGAGAGAAGCTATTCATAGATTGATCTACGATGAACTTATTTTGGCCATTTTAAAAATTATCAAGAAACTTGATTTGTCCTCACCTCGTGGCCTGACCAATGATGCAGATGATAAAACAGGAAGTACTAATCCAGATATGTCCCACGTTATCGGAAACACTACCGACTCCATTTTCGATCAACGTGAAGTTTCCAAAGATTTTCAAATTTTTGTCAACTTGGTCGAATTTTCGAGGTACAGACACATGAAGTAACGGTTGGTTGACCAAATATTTCATTTGTGTGGGTAATAGCATCTTTTTGAGTGCAATTACTTATTTTCATCGGGAAATCACAATTGAAAATTATTTCAAGGTAGATTATATTTAAATAACTGAAAGGGAGAGGGACTGTAGTTACGAGAGAAAATTTTAGACTACGTAAGGGAAATGAAGTCTAAATAAGATGAAATAATGTTTTTAGCGAATTTGTGTTTTGGTTTAGTTAGTAGTACTGTTCTAACGACTGAAGTTGCTGCCTCTTTACTTGTCAAAATCTCTTTATGTCTCAGTGGATTCCTGCTTACTTGGCCCATAAAACAGCCGCTAAGTTGTGATTTTTTAAAGAAAAAAGAAATTATTTCATGCTCATTTTCTTTTTCACTGAAGGAAAATCCTTGTTAAAATGAAAATCAACTGGTTTGAAAATTGGATTTACACCTTTGGAAGGGATATTGTTGTGTTGTCTACCAGGTTCGTACGGAATTAGTTAGGACATTCTGTGGATAATACGGAATCAGTTAGTACATTCTGTGGATAATACAGGAATCAGTTGGGACATTCTGTGGATAATACGGAATCAGTTAGTACATTCCTGTGGATAATACGGATCAGTTAGGACATTCTGTGCATAATACGGCATTAGTTAGGGACATTCTGTGGAGTACTAGATTAGTTGGACATTTCTTTTGGGTAGTAGATTGATTGGGACATTCTGTGGGGAAAGTTAGATTAGTTGAGGACATTCTGTGGATACTAGATTGTTAGGACATTCTGTGGAAGTGCACTAGATTAGTTAGGACATTCTGTGGAGTACTAGATTAGTTGGACATTCTGTGGGAGTACTAGATTAGTTGGGACATTCTGTGGAGTACTAGATTAGATTGGGACATTCTGTAGGTACTAGATTAGTTGGGACATTCTGTAGGTACTAGATTAGGACACTGGACATTCTGTGGAGGTTCTAGATTAGTTAAGGACATTCTGTGAAGAGTACTGGTTTAGTTAGGACATTCTGTTGGGAGTACTAGATTAGTTAGGACATTCTGCGGAGTACTAGACTAGTTAGGGACATTCTCTGAGAGTACTAGATTAATTAGGACATTCTGTGGAAAGTACTAGATTAGTTAGGACATTCTCTGGAGAGTACTAGATTAGTTAGGACATTCTGCGGAGTACTAGATTAGGTAGGACATTCTGCGGAGAGTACTAGATTAGTTAGGACATTCTCTGGAGAGTTGTTTGACAAGATAAAATTTGCAAACAAATAGTTTGTTTTGCTATGGTTTGTATGCATGAGCCATGTTTGTATAAATGTAGATCGTCCATTTACTTTATATAAAACATAGTGGGTTTTCAAGGTTTCCACTAGTCAGCGGTCTTTATAAAATGCTCGAGATAGTGATGAAGATATCAAGGAAAATTGGCTATTTTTCCGTGTAAGGTATTCTCAAACTCCTTACACGCTTCAAATGTACGAATAAATTTGCAATAACATGTTCATTTGTTTTCTCCTAAGCGGGGTATGCTTTGAGCGACGTCCGAGAGATTCGTAACGATATGGATGTGGATCAGTTAGACTTTTCCTGACAGAAATTGTTTTATTTTGTTTCATAAGTTTACAAGCGGTGAGCGTTTGTTTGATATAAATTAATGCATTCTACGAATTAGTGTTAGTACCATTAGTATTTAAGTAATTAGTTGCAATTAGTTGTAAGTTAATGTCAGTATCAATTTATTATTATTATTTGGTTGTTTTAAGGTCTAATGTTTTCACTATATTGGTTTGAATTGCTTTTCATGACCAAAAGAATTCAATTGTTTGTTTGCTTGCAGAAGTTCCTGAATAAATGTGTAAAAGAATTTTTGGTTTGTGATGGCTAAAACATTATAAGGTGATTTAATGTATTCCTGTCTTCAGCTGATATTCTCTGCCAAATGAACTGGTCATCAGTCATCTAGAATATTGTCATGCCATCACTAAAAGGTAAATTACTGGTCATCATCATCTAGATATGTCTCTGCCAAATAAGACTGGTCATCAGTCATCTAGATATTGTCATGCCATCACTAAAGGTGAAATTACTGGTCATCAGTCATTTTAGATATTGTATACCATCACTAGGGTAAAATTACTGGTCATCAGTCATCTAGATATTGTCATGCCATCACTAAGGTAATTACTGGTCATCGTCATTTAGATATTGTCTCACTCCAAATGACTGGTCATCAGTCATCTAGATATTGTCATGCCATCACTAAGGTAAAGTACTGGTTAGTCAGATCATTTTTGATATTGTCATGCCATCACTAAAGGTAAATTACTGGTCATCAGTCATCTAGATATTGTCATGCCATCACTAAGGTAAATTACTGGTCATCAGTCATGTAGATATTTTCAGCCATCACTAAAGGTAATTACTGGTCATCAGTCATCTAGATATTGTCATGCCATCACTAAGGTAGAATTACTGGTCATCAGTCATTTAAGATATTGTCATGCCATCACTAAAGGTAAATTACTGGTCATCAGTCATCTAGATATTGTCATGCCATCACTAAAGGTAAATTACTGGTCATCAGTCATTTAGATATTGTCTCTGCCAAATGAACTGGTCATCAGTCATCTAGATATTGTCATGCCATCACTAAAGGTAAATTACTGGTCATCAGTCATTTAGATATTGTCATGCCATCACTAAAGGTAAAATTACTGGTCATCAGTCATCTAGATATTGTCATGCCATCACTAAGGTAAATTACTCGTCATCAGTCATCTAGATATTGTAGATGCCATCACTAAGGTAAATTACTGGTCATCAGTCATCAGATATTGTCATGCCATCACTAAAGGTAAATTACTGGTCATCAGTCATCTAGATGTGTCGTACTTCTCTAAAGGTAAATTACTGGTCATCAGTCATCTAGATATTGTGATGCATCACTAAAAGTGAAATTACTGGTCATCAGTCATCTAGATATTGTGATGCCATCACTAAGGTAAATTACTGGTCATCAGTCATCTAGATATTGTCATGCCATCACTAAAGGTAAATTACTGGTCATCAGTCATCTAGATATTGTCATACCATCACTAAAGGTAAAATTACTGGTCATCAGTCATCTAGATATTGTCATGCCATCACTAAAGGTAAATTACTGGTCATCAGTCATCTAGATATTGTAATGGTCACTGGTTAGTAATTCACTGGTCATCAGTCATCTAGATGTTGCATCACTGGTAAATTACTGGTCATCAGTCATCTAGATATTGTGATGCCATCACTAAAGGTAAATTACTGGTCATCAGTCATCTAGATATTGTCATGCCATCACTAAATGTAAATTACTGGTCATCAGTCATCTAGATATTGTGATGCCATCACTAAAAGGTAAGTACTGGTCGTCAGTCTCTATTGTGATGCCATCACTAAAGGTAAATTACTGGTCATCAGTCATCTAGATATTGTTGAGTGCACCATCACTAAAGGTAAATTACTGGTCATCAGTCATCTAGATATTATGGTGCCATCACTAAAGGTAAATTACTGGTCATCAGTCATCTAGATATTGTCATGCCATCACTAAGGTAAATTACTGGTCATCAGTCATCTAGATATTGTCATGCCATCACTAAATGTAAATTACATCAAGTCATCAGATATTGTCATTACATCGCTAAAGGTAAATTACTAAATCAGTCATCTAGATATTGTGATGCCATCACTAAAGGTAAATTACTGGTCATCAGTCATCTAGATATTGTCATGCCATCGCTAAAGGTAATTACGATTACAATTCATCAGTCATCTAGATATTGTCATGCCATCACTAAAGGTAAATTACTGGTCATCAGTCATCTAGAATATTGTCATGCCATCGCTAAAGGTAAATTACTGGTCATCAGTCATCTAGATATTGTCATGCCATCACTAAAGGTAAATTACTGGTCATCAGTCATCTAGATATTGTCATGCCATCACTAAAGGTAAATTACTGGTCATCAGTCATCTAGATATTGTCATGCCATCACTAAAGGTAAATTACTGGTCATCAGTCATCTAGATATTGTCATGCCATCACTAATGGTAAATTACTGGTCATCAGTCATCTAGACATTGTCATGCCATCACTAAAGGTAAATTACTGCATGAACGTCTAAACATTTGGAAGTCATGGATTCGACAATGAAGGCAACTGCACTTCAGAGGAAACGTGTCCCGGAAATTAGGTACACTGTGGAAAACGTTTCCTGGAGAGAAAGTGGAAAATATTCCCAATCGTTACTGAGACAAACTATAATTTCTCCTGAGTTTAACAGTTGATTTTGCGTAGAGATTTCAACCAATCGGAGTTCAGAGATGTCAGAATAGAAATTCGTTTTTCTGCTTTGGATCGATCGTATTATTCGTTGTTCTTTATAAAACTAGTTGGATTTCATAACTATACTCAGTTATGACCAAAGGCGGTGGAACATTGATAACTGGGGGGGGGGCTGTATTCTTATATTCATATGTTATAATCCATACTACTGAACAGATTTGATAGAAACTAATAAAAGTACATGTATAGATAAAATACCCCCATTCAACATATGAATAATACCCCCCCCAATTATCGCTGTTCCGCCGCCCTTGATTATGACAGATATACGCAGCTATAGTAAAGTTTTTTTTCTAGAAATATTGCAATGATTAATCAAGAAAAGATTTCTAGTTCCACTTCTTTTCCGCGTTTTTTTCTAGATATACTTTAATGATTAATCGAAGAAGGATTTCTAGTTCCTCCTTTTCGCGTTTTTTCAAATATACTTTAACTGATTACTCGAAGGTTTCTAGTTCCCTCCTTTTCCGCGTTTTGTTCTAGATATAACAGCTAGATTAATCGAAGGTTTCGTTCTTTTCATTTTGCTTTAGATATACTTTAATGATTAATCGAAGAAGGATTTCTAGTTCCATTCCTTTTCCGCGTTTTGTTTTAGATATACTTTAATGATTAATCGAAGAAGGATTTCTAGTTCCACTCCTTTTCCGCGTTTGTTCTAGATATACTTTAATGATTAATCGAAGAAAGATTTCTAGTTCCACTCCTTTTCCGCATTTTGCTTTAGATATACTTTAATGATTAATCGAAGAAGGATTTCTAGTTCCATTCCTTTTCCGCGTTTTCAAATCACGATCATACTCTACACTTTACTAGTTATAAGTGTACATCAATTTGCTGGCCTTATCGCATGTTCTATTGCTCAACAATGTTGTTTTTTTTTCGTAGACGGCTTTCAGACTTGGCCTCAGCTATCTTCCTTTGGCAAAGTCAGCGCTCGATGCCTTGGACATGTGGACGTTGCAACTACCAGCGGAAGTTTTGTTTCCTTATTTTAAAGACGTGCTTCCTCAACTTGATGGATATTTGAAAACAACTTCAGAGTTAGGTTCGCTTTTTGTGGAGCACCTTGTTAAACGTAGTGTCATTTTTGCGATTTATATGTTGAAAAGAGATAGGAATGAGTAACGGAACTCAAGTTTCAACATCAGATCACTCCTGATGAAGACACTAGACTGGAGTTTATAAGAACTCAAGTTTCAACATCAGATCACTTCAGATGAAGACACTAGACTGGAGTGTATAAGAACTCAAGTTTCAACATAAGATCACTCCTGATGAAGACACTAGACTGGAGTTTATAAGAACTCAAGTTTCAACATCAGATCACTTCAGATGAAGACACTAGACTGCAGTATATAAGGACTAAAGTTTCAACATCAGATCACTCTGATGAAGACACTAGACTGGAGTATATAAGAACTCGTGTTTCAACATCAGATCACTTCTGATAAAACCATTTGAGTGGAGTGAATACAACGTCTCAAGTTTCAACATTAGATTCCTCATGACAAAATGAGATAACTTCTAAAATTAATTACAGAATCAAAACCATTTTTAGTTATAACGTTATCTTGTAGAATCTTCAGACCGACAATATGTTAGACCTTACTCCAAAACTACCAAAAAATCAAGGACTTATAAAAAGGACAGAATTAACTCAAATACTGAGGTACAGTATGTAAAAAATAACTTCCACTTACCAATTTGACATTTCGTGCGCTAATTATGTGCTTTTCAATTGATCACAGGAAGAAAACAGTCCGCTGAACGAGGTTCGTCGTCGCATACTGATGTTTCTTGGCAGTATAGGAGGAAGGTTCAATTTGGGTTTGCTTGAATCCTGCAGTACATCTGCTGTATTGCCTGGGATTGCATGGGATACAAAGGAATATTTATCTTTCGCCTTGCCGTTTCAGGATTTGAAACCAAATATAAATTTGGGTAAGAAGATGCTATTCACCTCTTATGCAGTAAATATTTTGCTTGAAATGGAATATTTTATTACAGATCCCTTTCTTCCAAAAGTTGTAGAGCTTGCTGTTACCTCCAGTGATCGACAAACTAAAGTTAGTTCTGATGTTGAAACTTGAATGTTATGTTCTCCAGTCTAGTGTCTTCATCTGAAGTGATCTGATGTTAGAACTTGAGTTCTTATATACTCCAGTCTAGTGTCTTCGTCAGAAGTGATCTGATGTTGAAACTTGAGTTCTTATATACTCCAGTCTAGTGTCTTCATCAGAAGTGATCTGATGTTGAAACTTGAGTTCTTATATACTCCAGTCTAGTGTCTTCATCAGAAGTGATCTGATGTTGAAACTTGAGTTCTAATATACTCCAGTCTAATGTCTTCATCAGAAGTGATCTGATGTTGAAACTTGAGTTCTTATATACTCCAGTCTAGTGTCTTCATCAGAAGTGATCTGATGTTGAAACTTGAGTTCTAATATACTCCAGTCTAGTGTCTTCATCAGAAGTGATCTGATGTTGAAACTTGAGTCCTCATATACTCCAGTCTAATGTCTTCATCAGGAGTGATCTGATATTGAAACATGATTTTTTACTGCACTTCAGTAAAGTCTTTTTATCAGGAGAGATCTAATGTGAAATTGCCTCATTGTTACACCAATTTACGCTTGTCATTTTTATATGTGTAAAATGATCTTTTTTACAAGATTGCTGCCTCTGAAGTCCTTCATTCCCTGGTCTTGTTTATGCTTGGTAAAGCTGTCCAGTTACCAAAAATTGCACATAAGGTACGTAGAAAATACCTAATGTCATACGTAAACCTTAGTGTTGTAATTTTTACATAAAGTATCAACATTCCCTCCCCCCTAGAGTCATCTCGAGAAGTTGTGGAAAAGAGTATTTCCTGTCATTTTGCAGCTTGCGTGCGATGTTGAAATGGTAAGATGGCGGGATTTACAACATTTCCTGCGATAATAATCTTTAGTTGGCTCGTACTGGTGATGAGATTTCTGTAACCTGACGATGCATTATTTTTAGGTGTGCCAACAGCTCTTCAAACCTCTGTTGTTCCAGTTGATCCACTGGTTTACTAACAACAAGCAATATGAAAGCCCAGACACAATAATTTTACTGGAGACTTTGTTGGTAAGGTTTCTCTTTGAGATCATGTTGATAAAGTTTCTCTTGAGATCCTGTGTGTAAGGTTTCATTTCGAGATCGTGTTGATAAGGTTTCTCTTGAGATCCTGTGTCCTGTGTGTAAGGTTTCTCTTTGAGATCGTGTTGATAAAGTTTCTCTTTGAGATCCTGTGTGTAAGGTTTCATTTCGAGATCGTGTTGATAAGGTTTCTCTTGAGATCCTGTGTCCTGTGTGTAAGGTTTCTCTTGAGATCGTGTTGATAAAGTTTCTCTTTGAGATCCTGTGTGTAAGGTTTCATTTCGAGATCATGTTGATAAAGTTTCTCTTGAGATCCTGTGTAAGGTTTCATTTCGAGATCGTGTTGATAAGGTTTCTCTTGAGATCCTGTGTCCTGTGTGTAAGGTTTCTCTTTGAGATCGTGTTGATAAAGTTTCTCTTTGAGATCCTGTGTGTAAGGTTTCATTTCGAGATCGTGTTGATAAGGTTTCTTGAGATCCTGTGTGTAAGGTTTCTCTTGAGATCGTGTTGATAAAGTTTCTCTTTGAGATCCTGTGTAAGGTTTCATTTCGAGATCGTGTTGATAAGGTTTCTCTTGAGATCCTGTGTGTAAGGTTTCTCTTGAGATCGTGTTGATAAAGTTTCTCTTTGAGATCCTGTGTGTAAGGTTTCATTTCGAGATCATGTTGATAAAGTTTCTCTTGAGATCCTGTGTGTAAGGTTTCATTTCGAGATCGTGTTGATAAGGTTTCTCTTGAGATCCTGTGTCCTGTGTGTAAGGTTTCTCTTTGAGATCGTGTTGATAAAGTTTCTCTTTGAGATCCTGTGTGTAAGGTTTCATTTCGAGATCGTGTTGATAAGGTTTCTCTTGAGATCCTGTGTGTGTAAGGTTTCTCTTTGAGATCGTGTTGATAACGTTTCTCTTTGAGATCCTGTGTGTAAGGTTTCATTTCGAGATCGTGTTGATAAGGTTTCTCTTGAGATCCTGTGTGTGTAAGGTTTCTCTTTGAGATCGTGTTGATAAAGTTTCTCTTTGAGATCCTGTGTGTAAGGTTTCATTTCGAGATCATGTTGATAAAGTTTCTCTTGAGATCCTGTGTGTAGGTTTCATTTCGAGATCGTGTTGATAAGGTTTCTCTTGAGATCCTGTGTCCTGTGTGTAAGGTTTCTTTGAGTTCGTGTTGATAAAGTTTCTCTTTGAGATCCTGTGTGGGTTTCATTTCGAGATCGTGTTGATTAAGTTTCTCTTGAGATCCTGTGTCCTGTGTGTAAGGTTTCTCTTTGAGATCGTGTTGATAAAGTTTCTCTTTGAGATCCTGTGTGTAAGGTTTCATTTCGAGATCGTGTTGATAAAGTTTCTCTTTGCGATCCTGTTTGTAACTTTTCGATGTGAGATTGTGCGACTGAAAGAAGTGGATCCTTCTGTTGTATTCCTTGTCAATCCACTTCCCACTATTCCTGAGGCATAAAATAAAGTGATTTATTGTAGCCTAAAACATGTCACATCTTCTAATTTTTCTTCAGAATGGTGTTATACATCCAACAGACACATCTCTACGTGATCTCAGTGCTTCATGTCTCGAGGAATTTCTTCGATGGTCCATCAAACAGACGTCTGAAAAGCAGTTGGAAAATAGTCCCATTAATATAAAATCATTGTTAAAGCGACTGGACGCCTTGGCCACTCATCCCAGTGCCAACAAACGGCTTGGAGCTGCATTGGCTTTTAATAATATTTATCGAGTTTTTCGGTTAGTATGAGACGTAATTTTATGGTCTTTGATTCTGTGACATTGCATGCCTAATTATATTTATATGCTGTAATGACGTAGATAACTCCTTATCTAATATGCATGAGTAATGTATATAAGAACCTGTACTTATCTAAGTCGGGGAATTTAAATACAAGACTTATTACATGGTGGTAGCGATTAGGAAAAGTTGGTTCTTATCGAATGGCAGAAGGATTTTCTAGGCCAACACGACTCTCGTTTGAAGGCAACGTTGCTGAGAATTGGCGTCGCTTCAAACAGAACTATGAAATATACATTGTTGCTGCAGGACATAGTCGGAAATCAAAGAAAGAAAAGTCATGCATCCTCTTAAATCTAGCTGGCGAAGATGCGGTTGAAAGATATAGTTCTTTTACCTACAACAAAGAGGAAGACAAGGACGATCCAGAAATTCTAGTGAAGAAATTTGAAGAAATTTGTATGCCGCTTAAGAATTTAACATTCGAAAGACATTTATTTCATACAAGGAAGCAAAGTCCGTCAGAGTCGATTAGTTCCTTTGTTACAGATTTGAAAAACATTGCTCGAAAGTGCGAGTTTGGTGACCTCGAGAGCGAACTTATTAAAGATCGTATTGTGTGTGGGATTAACAGTGATGCAGTAAGAAAGATTCTCCTTCGCGAAACAAGTTTAACTTTAAACAAGGCTCTAAACATATGCAGTGCAAACGAATTGTCGGAACAACAAGTAAAAGATCTTACTAATTATCAAGATGTTGATGAACTGAAGGCTAGGAAGAGTCTGAAAACCTCAAGAGGAAGTTACACAAACTTAAGTCAAACAAAAGAAGATAAACATCGAGGACAAAGATTCGTATTAAAGAACAATTGCATAAACTGTGGAGGAAAACATCTTCCAAAGCAATGCCCAGCTTTTGAAAAAATTTGCCACAAATGTCATAAAAAAAAACCACTTTGCTCGGGTGTGTCTAACGTCTACACAAAAGTCACAAAGAACAGTTCATGAAGTTAGTGATGAAGAATTGTTTATTGGTGGTGTTAATGCAATCACACCTACGCAACAACGCACAAGCTCGAAAGTCGAGTATCGAATGAATATGGAAGCTGTAGAAAAAAGCAATGACGAATGGTATTCTGAACTCAAGTTTGGCAGACATTTGGTGAACGTGAAGGTGGATAAAGGCGCAAAATGTAATGTGCTTTCTAAAAAATTGTTCGACAAAGTCACAGAAGCTGAGCAACAAGTTCACCAGGATATCCAAAAAGTAACGGCATGTCAGAACGTGCTGGGCAGACAGCAAAAGCAATCATAAAGAAAGCAAAATATGATAACACCGATCCTTATTTCTTCAAGTTCCGTAACCCACTCTTTTATGTCTGGCATGAATCTTGACAAAAAATAAAGGACAAGTCCAGGGCTGTACATGTCAACTTTGCTATCGTACTGTAAACTGAACTATTGGAGTCAATTTCCGGTGCTCTAAATTTATTTCTAATATCCCTGGACAATTTGATGCTTTCCTCATTTGGACCTATATAACGAGCCAGTCCAAAGTCGGTAATTTTAATTTTAATTTCAGGCACACTTTTCGGCACAGGTAAAGCTATTAAGATGTTACCAACGTGAAGATCGCGATGAACGATGTCCTTCTCGTGCAATGCTTGAAGGCCTTTCAATATTTGTGGAAAACAACGACGATAAAATTCAGGATTTTTTATAATCTTCGGCCCACCTTCAAAGTGTTCTTTGAACACAAAATTCTCTAAATCTGTCAAACACAATTCGAGTTGAAAATACAGATACCTATGATTAGAATTTATCCAACTGCCGAAAAATTTCACTACATTCTCAGACTTGACTATTATCAAGGTTGCAAGTTCCCTTTCACCAATTGTTTTCGCTTCATTTTTTGCAAATGAATTGATTTTAACGGCATATTTATTCTTATCATAGTCGCTTTCTACGGCAACCACTAAGCCGTAACTTCCTTTGCCAAGTGTCCGAAGATATTTCAATTTTTGAAGCGCTAGCTCTATTTACTTTCGACAAAGTCACAGAAGCTGAGCAACAAGTTCACCAGGATATCCAAAAAGTAACGGCATTTCAGAACGTACTGTGCAGACAGCAAAGGCAATCATAAAGAAAGCAAAATATGATAACACCGTTCCTTATTTAGGACTCCTTAGTTATAGAAATACACCTAGAGATGAAATTGTTGGCAGTCCAGCTCAACGACTAATGGGACGAAGAACCAGGACATTATTACCAATATCAGAGAAGTTACTTGAATTTCAACCATTAAACCCTGTTAATGTTCAAGAAAAATGGGAAATGTATCACAAGAAACAAAAAGAGTTTTATGATCGCAATGCAAAAACACTTGCACCATTAAAAGAAGGAGATAACGTACGTATAAAAACAGAAAAAGGCTTCCAAAAGAAAGGAATCGTGGAAAAATCGTTACTTGAGGCAAGATCGTATTTGGTTACGTCTGATGGTACCTACTATAGAAGGAATAGAAATAATTTATTAAAGATTAATGAAGAATGGAGAAGTCAAGATACAGATAAGTCTTATAGTGAGAACAATAGATCTTATAAAAATTGTAATGAAAGTACTAACAACAGTAATATAAGAACTCGGTATGGACGTCTCATCAAAAAACCTAATAGATATTCTTATTAGATAAAAATAAGTTAAAAAAAACATTTATAGTGTGAAATTATTTAAAAAAAACGAAGAAAAAGAGATGTGACATTGCATGCCTAATTATATTTATGTGCTGTAGGTAACTCCTTATCTAATATGCATGAGTAATGTATATAAGAACCTGTACTTATCTAAGTCGGGGAATTTAAGTACAAGACTTATTACAGATTCTTTGTAACCAAAAGATGCAGCGAGTAGCTGAGGACTAAATTTACGTAAAACATGGAGGATTTTTGGTAGAATAGTCTCTAGACGTTTTAAATGTCAATTGTTCTCCAAAAATAAGAAAGCATTGAAAGTGGTGTTGAAAGCCACAATTTTACGCTCGTTCCCCGAAATTATCTTTTAATTTTTTGCAAAAGTATCTTGTTCTTTTATGATGCGATGAAATTTATAGAACGAACCGTCTGCAAGTAAATTAAATTTGCATGCGCCATGAGATGATAGTCCAGGTAGTGGTATATACGTCGGTGATCTCGACATACTCCCTCCCATACACTTTAACTGTAGTACTAATTGTAAAAGTACTTTACGACTGTAAAAGGGATTTTTACCTGACAAGTCATGTCGTATAAAGAACCATATTACAATTAAGATTGTGCTCAGACAGCTTGATTATTTGCTAAGGATAATCATGATAATCAAAATGACATGCATAATTATATTACAGGAAGAGTCATCTTTGGTTGATATTTTCACGCTCGAAATACTTGTTATTTACTTGGAGAGTTTGGCAATGGCGCATAAAGATGACAAAAGTTTAGGTAACGTGATGATAAATCATGCTAATTGTCATGCTGACCTGTTTGCAGGCAATGAGTTTTGATTTGGTTTTTCAGGCACTCAGGCTGAATGTGTTGACGTCATAAAGCATCTCGAAAGAATCATTTCCGCAAAGTCTTCAATGTTATTGAAACCGCGCAAAGATAGACATGTACCTAGGTAACATGACAATAACTGAAGTGTTTTTGCTCAAGAATTGTTTAAGAATAAGTCTGTTTTTTTATTGATCTTTAATCTCGTTTCTTAATCGCCATTATAGAGCAATAAACTTGAAGTTATTTGAGGAGCTTTGCAGTATGTTTAGGGGTAACAGTGTATTAATGGACACTCTTTTCTCTTGATAATATTTAGAGGGTTTTCGACGGATACTGTCACCCTTGTCCATCTAGTTCCCTGGCTTCTGGGAATGTGTGGACGTCCTGAGACGGAATGTCGTCATCAATGCATGAGACTTGTTTCATTGGTTGCGCCATTACTTCCGGGTATGTCACCATTACTTCCGGGTATGTCGCCATTACTTCCGGGTATGGTTTATTTGTTTGTCTCTTGTATAAGTTTATTCTTCCGTTGTTTTGTAAGTTTAACTCCAGTGGGCATTGAAAGTGTGAGTTGTTATCTAAAAGGACAAATTTACAGTAATACCGCTGACCAATAAACGCATACTCTCTTGTACATTTCTGTCCATCTTTAATTTTTCACAAACCGTATGATCGAGACCTTCTTAGATTCATTTTCATCCATTTTGTGATTTAGGATGCCCTACTACCCAAATGTGGATGAAGAACATTCTAAAATCGGATGGGACGCAGTATTTTATTTCACGGTAAATGTATTCTGTTGGACTGTTGCGATGAAATAAATTATAAATGCTTTATTTCAAATCTAAAATGCTTTCAAAACAATGCTATCGGTCAGGCATCTCTAAAAACGAAAATCTCACCTATCAAGTTGGGGAATTTTGAAATGCAATACCAAGTATGACCTGCAGTGCTACAATTCTTACTTAACCTGAAATTTCCACTGCATTCCTTTGATGGTTCATTGTTAAATTTGTTGAGCGCGAAATTTGAAGTTCTGATTGCTGCGTTTTAGGTTTGAAGGTGGTTTTGGTGGTAAATCTGGTATTCAGAAATATCCATTACTATCCAACATCAGCAATACATTCTCGCTGATTCTCACTAAACTTTGGTTTGATTGTCTTCTTGCGGCCCTTGATTCGTATTGTTGGACATTTAGCGAACGCTTGTTGACCCCGACTTCCATTTTAAAAGGTAAACTCATATGAGATTATTTCCAAGGCAACGTAGTGATTCTAAAAATACTGGAATCATCTGCTATTATTCTAAAGGAGGCTTTGAGTGTTTTTAAGGACAGTCTACTTACTTTAAAAGACACTTTAATTAGTTTAATGGACTGTCGAAATGTTCCAGCCTTTAAAATTATTCTGAAGGAGTGTACAATTCTTCTAAAACACCATGTTTTTTATTTTAAAGGTCACCGTAATTCTTCTAAAAGGACAATGTAAATGTGATTATTTAATGGTTAATTTATATTAAAAGAGTTCAATTAGATTGAAGGCGATGTATACAGTAATATAGCGTATATATATTGACTGTGTAAAAATGGAGCACTGTACCCAGTACTTTCGTTTTAAAGGTGCTATAATTTTTGTAAAGAAATTTGGTAATCATCATTGATAATTGTATTTCCTCGTGTAATGACCATAGATATTGTACTGTATGCTATCCCGTACAAATTACATATATTTTGATCAATGAAGTGTTTATCTCATTTGTAGATCAATCATCCAGTGTGTTGTTCAAATCTTTGCTGTACTTTATTGACTATCTCTCTCCCTTTGGCATCGAGAAGGCAAACGATTGTTTTAATACAAACTTGGACATTAAGAGTACATCCGTATTTTCACCTAGCGAAATACAAGAATACAACGGGTAGTTATGTACTTACTAAAGTGTGTTCATTTAAAAACAGAATTGTTCATGCGTGTGTTTTACTTATAGGGCAAAATGCACCGTTTTGGTTCGGATAATGAGTTTCCTAGCTTTGCTTCTTCAAATAAACTCCGAAGAATGTTTCCAGGTACGTAAGATCATTTTCAACAATTTATAAATTTCCTTTTGCAGTTAAGATTTGCAGTTTAGTTTGAGCCACTAGTCTATTCTATAAAGGATATTAGTATCGACATGTCGCCAATGTCATGGTGTTTTTGATATGTCATGTTAGTTCGTGGTCAGATTTAACAGTTAAGTTTGAAACACTGATTTCTTCTATGTTTGATATTTAAGCCAACAAATAGCGTACATCATTGTGCCTGTACAATGTCAGGTAGGGGCGGATTACTCTGTAGGCTAAGTAGGCAGAAGCCTACAAGCCCGGGCTTTTGAGAGACCCGTTGTATCTAGACATAATTAGTTTTTTAGTTTTTGTCATTCCGGACTGGTTAAATGTTCTTAATTTAGACCATTTATGCTGTTAAAAACTTTACTATCTACTGTTCAAATGCACGATGCTCAGAACTCATGAAGTCGTGGGTTTTCCCGGTTTGAGCTTTAAATTTATTCCTTAATGTTGATACTGTCAGTTACAAAAACAAACTGGGAAATGCAAAGGAAATAACGCAAATGTCATCAAAAGAATGAACATAGTGAGAGGAATAGATATCCAATTTAATGTTGAACAACTTTATCTTAGCCTACAGGCCCCGTCATTATAGTAATCTGCCACTGGTGTCAGGTAGTTTGTAGTAAAGGTTTACAGTTTATTTTACGACCCACTGGTCTTTTCCATAGATGATATTTAGGTCAACACACTATATATATTTGTAAATATATTTACAAACATATAACGATACTCCCGGGTTCAAACCATTTACTTTATTACACTATATATATCATGGTGCTTATATTATGTCAGGTTGTTCCGTCAGAGTTGTGGCAAGGAAGACTGTTTGAAAGTGTCCTGACATGCGTACTGGAACCACAATCTTTGGGATTCAATATGGCTGACCTAGACTTCATGGAAAAACTACCTAAGCAGGTCGTTTCATTTATACAATATTTATCAAAAATTCTAAATAACGATGGAATCGATGTTTGATTTTATGATTAGTTGTTTTTATATGTATTGCATCATATCAGTACTAGTTTGACTTGATCTTTTTTTATATTTTTTCGATGTAGACATTGGAGTTGCTTCACCTTTTTGTCGAAAAATTACCCAGGCCATCTTTGACTCGATTGACGGAAGTATTGACGCACAAAATATCTCTGGGAGGGTTAGTCTTTTACGTAGTCGGACATAATATGACAATCTTGACTAAGACAATCTTGAACCCGACCTTAGAAACTTACAAAGCAAATTTACGCATGTATTAAACATGTGCAGAGCATGTAAAACGCAAACTCGAGAAAGTCAACACGCATTTGTGCCTATGGAACACGTTATTTGCTATTTACAACTTCAAGATGACCATGTAAACACGAATATCATTTATTTAAACACGTTTTCGTCGAAAGTAATACTAAGATTTTATCGTATTAATTTCAGGCGGTGTAACCTATTCGAACTTTTGCCATTACCGTTGTCTGGAAATGAAGGAAATGAACTGGATCATTCACGATTACAATGTCTTGTCTCTGGTTATGGACAACTCCACGTCACTGGCATTTTGATGTCTGCTTTGGAAAAAGAGGTAAAACATATGGCAATCTTTATCCCTGGTAAACCCACACAATCCCACCCTAGTAATCCTACATTATCTTGGTGATCCCACACTATGCACCAGCTAGAGTTAGAGACTTCTCACAAACGTCTCCGAGGTTTGCATAAGCCAGTGCAAACAAGAAAAATATCTTTAATTTCTTTTAAAAAATAACAACAATGCAAAACAAATGAAGTAAAAAAAATGTTTCAGTTGGAAATTCTTATGAATCCACCTTTCTGACGGTAGACGCATGTGTTAAAAATACGAGATAAAATTTCAGAAGTCGGACAATCAAATGGTCGGACATAGTACTGTGGCAATAAAATGGTTGGGTTTAGGAGATGCTTTTGAATTTTGGGGCATTGTGAATCTGATTCCAGTTCGTCCGAACGATTATTTATAAAGGCAGATGACAGAACTGTTCGTAATAAATATTTTGCGTTAGAGAAAAGCATAACGATCGAAGGAAAGCTTGAATACTTTTTCCACGAGGCCCATAGATGCTTTCGCTCATGATGAGGGAGTTTTATTGTATAAGGAGGCTCTCGTTCATCACCAAAAAATTAGAAATTTTCATTGTAAAACTAAAAACACGTTTAGAATTGGTTTGAATTATTAGTCATATAGTATTGAAGTTGTTTGAACCTTTTGAGTATCCTTGGATGTTCTAGTTTCTTTTATGAGAAATATGTGTTCATGGTCGATTTAAAAATTCTCATTGACTGATTGATTGTTTTAATTGATTTGATTGGTTGAGCTCAGATCTGTTTTGCACTGGCTAACGCAAACACTGCTCTAGACCAATCAGCGCACGCGTTTCATTGTTTTTATTAATTTGGACTGATCCCTGTTCATCCCACAGTACGAATTCATTATTTCTTTGAAGAAAAGAATGCTATGACTTGAATTGAATTTATTTAGTGAATAGTTTTTTAAATTCAGCCATCAAAATAATTGTGCTTATGACATTAATTTTTCAGGGAAGATGGGATGCTAAAAATGTGCTGAGAAATTGTTGGATACTGTGTTCAAAGCTGTAGCTGTCATCGATGATCCTCTTTCTAGTGGAATCGTAAACCTTTCTCCTCCTTCCCAGGAATTTGCTATTAAGCTCCTCGATCTGGCTTTTAAACTAGGATTAAAGGTATTCAATCTGGCAGTTCACAAGGTAGCTTTTGGTTGTTAGCTAGAGATTCACTTAACCCCATTTGAATTGGGTTGTTCAATGTGAGATTACAGGTATTCTATAAGGCATTTCTAAAAGTAGCTGGGTTGTTCCATGTGAGATTACAGGTATTCTATAAGGCATTTCTAAAAGTAGCTTTTGGTTGAGCTAAATATTTAGTTAGCTGTTTGAGTTGGCTTTAACTAACATTGTCTAGGGTAATGTATCTAGTAGTAAATATGTCTATTTTCATTACATGGAATTGTAGACGTTTCATCATTTGAATTGAAGAATTTTAATGTTTAAGAGTTAGACTCATTCAAATTTATTTTTTAAGATTGAACGCTTGCTGCAGTGTATTTTTGACGATACCTTGCTCAGTGATCAAAAAGGCACGTCAATTTCTTATTCACTTTAGCACGCTGTCTTCGTCAATGTGCTTTTTATCCGAGATGCGGTTTTAGCCCATGCTGTAAATCTTTTCGTTTTGTTTTTCTTGCAGGGTCATCTACGACTGTTGGAATGGTATTTTACGAAGCATTTCAAAAAAGCGTTCATTTATTCTTCATAAAAAATGCGAGTGTTCATTTTCCGAAAATTGTGGAACATATCGAAGAAAGATTTGAATGGGTAAGTACAGTCATCAAAAGATTAAGTTGTAGTTATTCTTGATGAGGTCACTGGTCATAACTTAAACTTTCAACTTTGAATTTTTATGTTATTGTAATTATACGCCTTGTTAACTGTCGACGTTTAAGAACAATCACTCGCCATTAAAAACATCATGAAATGCCTTGTAAAATAATAAAGATTTCAGTTTTATTACACGCCATGTAAATTGTCAAGTCTTATGTGCAGTTACACGCCATTGATGTCAATTCCATGGTAATCAGCGAATTTGACGTCTGGTTAGGAGGCTTCATCCACTTTCTCCAAGATTTGGTGTATCGCTTGAATCGATAATCTAAAATCACTTCAACCCTTGAGAAGTACGATTTTTGTCATTGCCATTTGACAACATTTTTAAAACGATGTTCATATGCTACGCAAAGCTCAGCCTGTTATAGTAAAATTTAGATCACGTGATTATTGTGAGGGTGTAATATTTTTGTTTTAGGTGTCGTCGACTATGATTGGGGTTTTTGAGAGCACACTGAAAGATAAAGAGATCAAGAAAACGTAATAATTTTTCAGTTAACACGACTTTACTATTTTCTAATGTTTTTGTTAGAAGTCGCTTGCCATGATATTGTAATATGACGTCATTTGATCGTGACGTCCTCAAACTTGGCGTTGTTGTAATGTTGTGTCATTCTTATGTGTAAATGTGAGAAGGAAACTCTTTTCTACATTATAGTTATGGTCGAACAGTTACGGTAGTGTTTCTTGCTCTGTGGGATAAAATGGTATCTTGGTGGACTGTTGATGGTAAAGAGGAGCGTAAGAGATCTATAGTTATCTTGATGAGAAACATGTTGCTTGTTGATTCTAAGGTATACACGAATTTTCCTTTGACTGTTATAGTAGCTTAGTTTTTTCTTTTAGAATAACTACAGGTTGACCATTGTATGTCGTAACGTTTCAAAATCCAGTTTTTACAAAATCATTTATTTTTTTTCAGTGCCTCAGTGAAGTGGAGTCCTCCTGTAAAATAGTTCAGACTTACAACAGGATGTTAAAAGATAAATCTGTCAACTTGACTGTCAAGGTGTGCAAGTGTTTTTGAGTTAATGAAATATCATAATTGTCTCGTTGGATAATGTTCATTTTAAACTTAGACTCAATGTTTGGAGTTACTCCCTTTTTTCACATTGGCTCCTTTAAATGAAAAGCACATGAATGATTTAAGGTACGGACACTTGAAGAATACTCATTGTATACAGAAAGTATTTTCCCGGGATGCTGGAACTTCGAGAATCGGGGGTATTCATACATGTGTGTTGTGCCTGATTGCTTTCTTTTGATATCGTATGTTTTGTACGAGCTGTGACTACGAATATATGAGCACCTACTACTGACTTTCCGTCGTCTTTGGTATTTTCTATTTGCAGATCTTATGTTAGATCTTTAAGTTATTACTAGACGCCTGTTTGATGGTTTTTGTGTATTCGTTGCCATTTTATTTCAAGAGCGTTTCTTGGTTTTAGATGTGCACTTGACACTTTGGTCGTGGATAACTTTCCTCTTACTTCGAGGGAATTTGACGAAAGCAATCAAAAATACAGCATTTATATTGCTGCTTTGGATAAGGTTCGTGATTTCTCTTAGTCATGAGTATCACAGTGAATGAATTGGTGTTTATTTTGTGGATGTCACAGTGCCATGTCAGAATTTTTGTAGTTAATTTTTGTTAGTGTGTGTAAAAACCTCGTAGAGAAATTTTCACCCTCACTCACCCTCCCTCCCTCCCCCCCAAGTAATTCCATGTTTGATCATGTCGTTATGACGATCTGGTTGTTTCTTGTGTATATTACTGACTGAAGAAAAACTTTTAAAGTTGTCGAATCATATTTCTGTTAGATTCTATCATCTTTGGTGACTACTGGAAGTTTGTTGCTGTTAGAATTGCTTATTTCTGTTGTTTGTCGTGAAGAACATCATCGCCACGAGGAATTTATAAACTTGCAACTTAGCAAGTTCATGAAACGGTATTTTATATTAAGTTCTGTTTTCCCCCCATCTTTTCTTTGTAATTTCAAATCTCTCTTTTTCATTCAGACAAAATCTTCAACAAGCACAAAACGCTCTCAATATTTGCTTCAACGTTTTCACCAAAGATCGTGAACATAAAGCGCTCACGCGTCGAGCTGTCATTGATAAAGTTTGTCTTGTGTTGCTACAAGCGACGACGATGTCTGTTTTACGTGAATTCTACGTCCAGAATGTTAAGAAAATCATGGAAATTATCGAAACGAGAATAACAGAGGTACTTATAGGACGCTTGTGGAATCGTTTTGAGAATGGGTAAACTTTGCGGCTGGTATGAATATAATTTCTAAATGAAAATAAAAGAATGACTGCTTCACAATTGTATTGTACAGGATTTAAAGAAATCATGAAGGAAAGTAAATAACTTGATGCAAATTGCTTCTCTCAAAAACTTAAACATTATCACGTTTACGTCATTTGACAATTCAGCTTCTTTTGTTTTTCCAACAGAATGAATCAGGCGCTTTTGGGACTGAGTAGCATTTCTTGGCCACCCTGTACATAAGAAAATCTAAGTACAATTGCTTGCTAAGAAAATAATGTTTTTGACCTCTTTTGAGTGTCTTTGCTTGTTGACATAGCGAAACAACAAGATGACTGTGTATGACTTTCTGCGCCAAAGATAATTTTGTTTTATCTCTGCAGACGTCGGAAAGTGCATTTGAAAGTCAACTTGTATCAAAGTTATGCTGTTTTGAGCTCATGTCGTTGTTATATTCGACACTTGAAAAGTCCGAAGTGAACAGTATGGAATCACGGATAAACAAGAGTTTTTGTAACGTCGTGAAAACTGGAAAAGAATTAACACAGGCGCTTTCAAAGTACGACAGATGAACAAGTTCCGTGTTTTTGTTTCGCTTAGCGTCGTGAGATGTTTTTCTTGAAGAAATGTTTATATTTTGGCTTTGCTTTGTTCGTTAACGATGAGTAGAATAGATTTATCATTTGTTTTTTTTGTCAGTACTGGTAATAGTCCAGTTGAAACAAACTGATTCTAGTCAAATAGGAGCCCATGTATATTTCCAAATCACTTAAAGTCCCTTCTCTGTTTTGTGTGTTTATATATAGTACAACAATATTTCATATTTTCAATAGTTCCAGTCTTCACGCGTTCATGTCAACTGATAGGGAAACTTCGTACGTATTATGACTAGTGCCAGGCCATTTGGCGTTCACATCAACTGGCAGCAGAACTATATTATTAAGACGGTTTACATGTACGTACGAGGATAGAGAGGGGCACGCACCCCCCCTCCCCTAATAACTTGGGTACCTTAATCACCTCAGAGCTCAGTTGACTACTTGTATGTTAAGGTTTAGGGTTGATAACTCTGAATACTCTCCCCCCCTGCGCCAATGAGAGATTACGTCATGTACTAAATAAATGAAGGAGTTTTTTCCTCTATTTTTATATACATGTCATCTTTTTAATCCACAGGAGTGCCCACGCCGCAAGACGCGAAGACATGCGCGGAGAAAGGATTTTACTCTCATTGAGACGAGAGTACCATTGTGCTGCTCATAATACCTTGATATCTGTCATCACTTGCACACAAACTGAACTCAAGTTCTACAATGTATTGCTTTTTAGTGAAAATATAGCCAAGGTACTGCCTGTCGTATGTTATCTCAGCATACATTTTATAGAGATTCATACCTATATACGATATTGAATATTTCTTCTGTTTTTAGGGTCAGTTTTTACTCGACAATCTCGTTGATTGTACAAAGACATTGGTGTTTGAAATGGAGCTCTCAAAACCTATGGATAAACGCGCTCAACTTGCTTCCATTAGACGGGAAGCGAGACCAAAAATGGATACAGACAGCGGCAATGAAGAGGGTAAGCTTGTCTCCCCCCCCTCATCTTAACTTTTCGTGATAACTTTGTGTGTGTGTGGGAAGGGAGGGGGGAGGTGTTCTCGAGATTAGATTAGATTTTGGTAGCAGCTTGTTGCTTTTTATTATGATTGGGAGATTTTTTAAATGGTATCATTAGACACTTAATCACAATTGCTTTTGCTTAATTGTATGGTACATTAGTATTTTCTAAGGGAATTGGCACTTCTCCTCCACCTCATTTAGCCAACGCTTGTACCCTCTTCCCTAAATCCATTCCTCACTTTACCCTAAGGTTAAGTCAGTCCTGAGCTTAACTCTACGTGAACTTAATCACAGTATAGAGAACGTACAGTAGGGCCACTCCATTGAATTTTTTCGTGCCACCCATATCTTATTGCGCATGTGATTACCATAGTGGCAGCCAGTCAATTGCTTTTTTTTATCAATAGGAATGATAAAATGGCTTACGGCAGCCAGTAATCTTATCAAATATACAGCAACCAGTTGCACAGCGAAGTTGCCCTATTGTATATTCCTATACTGTGACTTAGTTTTACCACGAGCTCAACTCAATTATAGTTTGACCTGAGTTAAACTTATTTTCAGTTGACAAAATCTCCATCTTAGAATAACTTAAAATTTCTCTGCTATTTTTTCAGCATCGCCAAGATACCTTGCTTCTCAATATTTGACTGATAGTAGTTTAAGTGAGGAAGTTGCACAGTTCGACTTTTCGACGCCAATTCAGGTAATAAATCGATGATAAAAATTATAGAATGAATCTTTATGATTTAGTCGTATGGATATGATGATATATAGCTGCTTATGTGAAATGTACCGTAAAGTATACCCAGACGGTCAAAAAGAACTTCTTCATTTACTTATATCAAATACATCTTCTTGCATTCTATACTTCGATTTTATTGTAGTTTTTATACATCTTTCATTGTAATATTCCTTCCTGACTTTGTTATATGTTGTTTTCGTTATCCCGACTTAGGCTATTTCACAAGAAATGTCCGTTGCCATACAAAAACAGGAACATACAGACGTTAATCACGAACAAGACAAGTTAACGGTAAGAAACATTCAAAGGTTTTATTTTTTGGAAATCAAGAATCGTCTAAATTGCGCATGGTAGATTGGGATTTTTGGGATCATGAATGTGAACTACTTTGTACGTTGAATACCTTGTGTATCGTGTTGGATCCCCCCTTTTTTTTCAACATGTAAACTTTGGCATTGTATTATTGTTAAAATCTATCTTGTTTTGATCTCGTTCTTTACAGAAAACTGAACAATCTTCTGAATTTTTGGAAATGGACGAATTGAATAGTCATGAGTGTATGGCTTCATTAGTTGCTCTCATGAAACATTTGGTTCAAAGCAAAATATCACCAACTCCAACGAAGGTATTTATACTTACGCCTTGTTTACACTATACCAGATCGAGCGGGTCGATATTTGTCGATTTAAAAACTCTGTGAAGATTTTATGGCAATAACGAAAGCGATTATTCAAATCATCAGACTAGTAAAACTGTGATTACTGTTACAAAACACAAAACGAACTTGTCGTAAAGAAATTATTTGGCTATTCGGTATTTTATGAACGGTTTGTTTCGAAGGTTTTCCTGCCAAATACTTTACAAAGGAACAAAAACTATGAATTTTAAGTACATACTACTTTTGCATGTTTTGTCTTGCCTTCGTTTGAATATGTTGCTCTTTTGACATATGTTGCTCTTTTGCTATTGGTATCGAGTTGAAAGGGAGAAAACGGTGAATAAAATTTTGTCTAATGATGGTGTGAATTTAGCACATGGTAGCTTGTAATGTCGCGTACACCGTGTTCAAAACCTTGAATTTAGACTGTTATTATTCCAACAGTGATCACGTGAACTACGACTTTTAAATCACGTGAAAATTGAATGTGCTTAATCTGTGAGTTGACAATCATACAGGGTGAAGAACCTAAAGAAATGCCTCCATGGATGTCTCATCTAAATCGAAAACTGTCCAATGACTCAAGTCAGCTGAATATTAGATTATTCATCGCTAAACTCATTGTCAACACACCAGAGGTACATAAACTAGTTAGCCTAAACTTTGCCCGAAGGGTGATCTCCTCCCCCCTCCCTCCCTCCTCCCTCCCCCTCCCTCCCCCTCTAATCTCCCACCTCTAATCTCCCACCTCTAATCTCCCACCTCCAATATCAAGAGCAATTAGGGAGCTGGCCCTACAAATCTGGCGATACTGCAAAAAAAATCTAATTATACGTTTTTCATACAATATAATGGACTGCAGCCCTTGCTTAGCTGGAAATTATTTTTGTTTTTAAGGTGTTCCAACCTTATGCGAAGTTCTGGTTGAGTCCATTGATCGAACTTATTTTGTGTCCTGACTTTACGACGCCACAACTAAATTATTTTGTCGTTGATATCGTCATTACGATGTTGTCTTGGTCGAACGTCGCCATTCCTGAGGTACATTATTGAGTATGATCTCGGGCACAATTTTACTGTTTCGGTTAAAGATTTAACTACGAAGAATAAAATATAGCCTGATGTTTCAACATATGTTTATCTGATACATAATATAGGAAATGTAATAACAAAACAGTGGTGAATATAGTAAGCAAGTAGTGTCAGAGTGTTATGTTAACAATATGTGTTGGCAAGAACTTGATATAGTATTGTGCTTTACATGTTTGTGGATGTAGATCGTCCAGGTTGGTTAGTCCTCAGAAGGACTGTTTTTGTTGTTGTTGACTGACGTTTCGACAACCTTAGCGGTAGTCATCTTCTGAGTTAAAGGTAGTCATCATTTGACTCTGAAGATGACTACCGCTAAGATTGTCGAAACGTCAGTCAACAACAACAAAAACAGTCCTTCTCAGGACTCTACCAACCAGGACAATCTACATTTACAAACATATAACGATACTCCCGGGTTCAAACCATTTACTTTATTGTGTTTTGTTACCCTACATTTTACGTTCTCCCCCCATTTTTGAAACATTATATTAATTATGCTGGTATTTTGTAATTTTCAATCATAAAAAAGGAAAATCATTGCGCACTCATCGAATGCCTATTTTTTATGAACGTAAAGTCACAATGTTGAATTCGATTCCATTTCGTATCTTAAAACCATTTTCAATCCTATGTTATTAGAATACTTTTTCTGGCAAACATGTAACGAATCGCCTTCTGGAGTATCTGATCGAGCGATGCAATCATCCAACACGTAGCATATTTAAACATAACTTGGAAATTGTTAAAACATTTTTTGAAGTATGGAAAGAAAGAATCGAAGTTCCTTGCAGGTAACAATTACATTAGACTAAAGTGATTTGTAATGATTTGAGTTTTGAGAACCGTATTCCTCAATGTCCTACTTCATTAACTGGAGCGGCTAAGTGGACTGGGACCTGACGCCAAAAAAAGGGCGGCCAATGGACCTATTTCCGCTGAAATGATCGCTTTGCAGAAAAATTATATTCTCGACCTCCCCCTGATGTCTATAGCTAATTATACAGCATTTTTCAAAAACAAACACGATATCTTTTTTTGGCATTTTATTTAAAATGCAAACACTTCAATCATTCAATTGTTGATTATCAAAAAATAACATGTCGCTTTCACAGGTGAGATATTTGTTTTGTTTGTTCATCAAAAATTGAATAGCATTTGAAATTGAAGCCTGAGCGATAAAATCCGACTGATGTTTTTCTATTTTTGTTTTTAAATATCAACATACTTTTATTATAAAACTCAATGGTCATACCCTTCATGCCCCTTCATACCCCTCATTGTTCACATTTTCTTGTGTACATACATTGCTTACTTTATCCATATACAAAAGACTTAGTTCATTTAGTTGTCTTCAATTTTTCTCCTTAAATCACGTTTACTCTAAAATGTAATTTGCTCTCAATCCGCCATCACTAATTTCATTTGATGTCATCGTCCAGGTTGATACACGAAAAGTTCTCAAAATCCGACCCCCAGACAAAAGATAACTCAGTTGGAATCCAATTAATGGGAATTGTTTTGGCCAACGGGTTAGCTCCTTTTAGACGTGATTGTGGAATTGATGAAAAAAGGTAAGAATTTAAAATATTTTTTCCGTCAAGAAAATGAGAAAGGATTCTCGAAGAGAAAAAGAGAAAGGACATATTATTGTTGACTGACACATTTTTCAAAGCCTTCCATCATGTACACATGAATGTATTTGTACGCAGTAATTGTTGCTCCACGAATTTCCATCTCCCACAAGCACTTCTTACTTTTAAGTTCAACGAAGTACAAGTTTCGTAGCCAGCCACGTATCTAGTCCACAGCATTAGTATTCATTACTTTAGAAATCTATTTTAATTAGGGTTAGTGAATACTAAAACACTTACATCTTCCTCTCCCTTTGGTTTCTTCCATATTCGTGGTTGCCACAGCGCGCTTTTGCTCTCTTTCTCCATCACATCATCTTTTTTCTTTCATTTTTAACTCTAAACTACCTGCATAGACGAATTTAATGAACATGCTTGTTACTTGACTGTCAATTACACGATTGCTCAGTTCCGTATCATTGTTGTGTACTTAGTTTTTATGAAGACTTAGTGAAGAATTTCGCCTTTAAATATAAAGATGTTTATGCTGCTGCAGCAGAGGTCATTGGGATGGCGTTGAAATATCTTTCTGAAAACGGCGAAAAGGTGTTTATTACTTTTGTTCTGTTACAGGATATATGTCTCTTTAAGGAATTTTTACTTGTCTTTTCTAGGAATCCTTTAAAGCATTAATGGAAATACTGTGTAATAAACTTACAAAACTGACAAAAGAGTCGGATAAGTTTATTATTTGTGTGCATCAGCTACAAATCCATTTTCCTTCTGCTGTCGACAGGTAAAATATCAAAGATTGCCGACAATGGGCTAAGCTGTTTAAAAAAGTTCTTGGGCCACTTTAGTCATTTTTAAGGCACTGAATTTGAGTCTATATACACTCCGGTTTTAACATAAGGTAACGTCTGATCGAGACGCTATACTGGAATATATACGTAAGGACCCAAGTTTCGACATCAGATCACTCCAGATGAAGACACAAGACCGGAGTTTGTAAGAACTCATGTTTCAACATCAGATATCTCGTGATAAAGACACTTGACTGGAGTATATAAAAACTCAAGTTTCAACATCAGATCACTCCTGATGAACACTAGACTGGAGTGTATAAGAACTCAAGTTTCAGTATATTAAATCACTCCTGATGAAGACACTAGACTGGAGTATATAAGAACTCAAGTTTCAACATCAGATCACTCCTGATGAAGACACTAGACTTGAGTGTATAAGGACTCAAGTTTCAATATCAGATTACTCCTGATGAAGACATTAGACTGGAGTATATAAAAACTCATGTTTTAACATCAGATCTCTCGTGATGAAGACACTTAACTGGATTCAAGTCTTGACGATGCGTTCTGTTTTTCAGTTTCATCAATAGCATCCTTTTTGTATTGCCAAATGTCCATGGAGAATTTCAAACCCGTTGTTTGGAAATCATCCTTTCGCGAATCAAAGCCATTCCCAACATCTTTCTCGAACTGAAAACTAAAGGATTTATAACCACAATGAATCACAGGTAATTCTATGTTTTGTTTCCTGTATTACTGCACGATCCAGACATTTTAAAGTCATTGACAATGCTAGATTTTATTAAGTATGTTTTAAGGTCTTTTTTAATTCGATTATCAAATAAGGGAAGACGATTTTATAGGAACAAATGCGTTCTGTTCGTGGTTGATAAGATTTTTTTTATCGCAGAGATGAAGGAACACAAATGACTTGTTTGAAAATTGTCCATGGAATGTTGCATGCTCTCAGTGTTACCGATATTCAATCGCTGATGTCATCTGTGACTAGTTTCTCCTCACACAGCAGTGTTGCATGCCGGGATGTTATGTATGACATCCTTATATGGATCTACGACGCCTACAGGTAGACATGACATCATCACGTTGTATTTATTTTGCTGCCTTTAATGAACAAAGTAATAGCAGCGTACTTTTCTTTTAATTACACAAAGTAAAAAGAAACGGGTTGTTGACGTCCTTGGGGAATGTCTTTTGTCGATAAAGTTTCTGCCCTTTTTCCCATAATGAATTGCCTTGAAGAAGGTTTTGCTTGTCTTCCAAATTGTTTGGATTGAATCGGAGCAAATACATACGAATTTGATGAAAAATTATGCAGTTTGATAGCCTATTTGACCTTCTGGAATATATTTTTATATGACATGTTCATTGTTGTGTTATAATTATACTTTACAAAAGATTCTCTTCATCCTTGAGGTTTGAAGAGGCATTTAGAAATGAAGAAGGTTCCGAGGATGTTCTTGCCACTGCTAAAGATTTTTTACTCTTGGGTCTTGCTGATGACAATAAAGATTTAAGGTATTATATGTAAAGTCAGTTTACATCCGTCTGCAGAATTTGACTCTTAGACACAGAATATGGTGTATACAGAAGGGTCACTCGTGCTGGAGCCTTTGATGTTTTTGTCCTCGCGCATGTTGTGCCGCGCATATCGGCAGCCATTATTCCAGCAAGATATTTAGGGTTTTTCACTTTTTACCAACCGCTGAAATGACACGACGTCATTTCTTATATTGAAATATTGTCGATTTAATTGTGAAGAAATGACGTCATGTAATTGCAGTTGTTGGAAACAAGTGAAAAACCTTAAGTGTCTTGCTGGAATGATGGCGGCCGTGAGGACGCTGCGCACACTTGAGTGGTCTTTCTGTATGATTTTTATTCTGTGACTTAGGGATAACTTTTTGTCCCTTTCTGGTACATTTCATATTTTACTGCATTGAATGTAAATTGGAGGTCTTATTGAGGATTAGGTGCTGTGCAAGCATGCTCCTTGATGTAAGAGAATAATGAATGCTCGCCATGTTGGATGAAATTTGCATTGTAAAGAAGGAAAATCCTTTGTTAAAATCATCCAACATGGCGGCTATGACGTAACTTGCATTAGAATTGCAGGTACATTAGAGGTATTATTGACAAATTAGAGGTACAATAGAGGTATATCGAAGGTAAATTGGAGGATAGTCAGAGTTACATTTCAAAAGAATCTTTATGTATATTTCTGTTACTTCCGTTATGTATATCTGGGTTCTTCAAGGTATATTTGTGGATTGTAGGTCAAGTATAGCTACATTTGAGGATCTTTCACGTAGATTCATAATTCGTCTGTTATGTATATCTGGGTTCTTCGAGGTATATTTGTGGATTGTATGTGAAGTATAGCTACATTTGAGGATCTTTCCCGTAGATTCATAATTCGTCTGTTATGTATATATGGGTTGAATTGTTTTTTTGAAATTGACGTTCTTGTCAAACTTGACGTGACACAAATGCTGGCACTTTGTTGTACATATTTTGTTGAATGGTTTTCATTTTTTATGTTTATGATTGTAGGTTAAAAATTCGAAATTTCTGGAGTGATGAAACAAGGCTTCCTAAATCCACTTTGCAAAGACTCGTTCAAGCTTTACGCGCAATGTACTCTCCCAACACGGAATCACATGTAAGAAATCTCTTTCATTGAATTAGGATAGGAGTACCAGTTGATTTTGACTTAAACCGTGTTTCCTCTGCTCACAACCCCCCTCCCCTCTCATTTCTCATATACCGCCTTGTGAAAGATGGAAAAAAGTAACCTCCATTCAAGGGGACTGAATAGAGGAAGTACAGTGTATTGTTGTTCAAATGAATATTTTTTTACCAGTTCACGTAGGCGTAATAGAAGTACGAGTTGATTTTATATATTGATATACTGATGGTTTTGAATTTATTTTATATTTGAGCTCGACAAATCTTAAGCAACCCTGCTCAAGTCAGGTCTAATCATTTTTCACTAGAAGGCTTTCAAATGCAAGTTACCATCTTCTTCGATATGTTAAATTTGTTTATCTTAAAATGGTTGTTCCATTCCTGTTCCATTCCATTATTCCATTCCATTCCATTCCTTCCATTCCATTCCATTCATTCCATTCCTTCCATTCCATTCTTCCATTCTTCATTCCATTCCATTCCCCATTCCATTCTTCCTATTCCATTCATTACTATTCTTTGTATTCTATTTACCATTCCATTCCATTCCATTCCATTCCATTCCATTCCATTCCATTCCATTCCATTCCATTCCATTCCATTTCCTTCCATTCCATTCCATTCCATTCCATTCCTTCCATTCCATTCCATTCCTTTCTTCATTCCATTCCATTTCCATTCCCTATTCCATTCCATTCCTTCATTCCATTCCATTCCATTATTCCTTCATTCTATTCTCTGATTCATTCCATTCCATTCCATTCCATTCCATTCCATTTATTCCATTCTTCCATTCCATTCCATTCCATTCCATTCCATTCCATTCCATTCCATTATTTATTCCATTCCATTTCATTCCATTCCATTCCATTCCATTCTTTCTTTCATTCCATTCCATTCCATTCCATTCCATTCCTTCCATTCCATTCCATTCCATTCCATTCCATTCCATTCCATTCCATTCCATTCCATTCCATTCCATTCCATTCCATTCCTTCATTCCATTCCATTCCATTCCATTCCATTCCATTCATTCCATTCCATTCCATTCCATTCCATTCATTCCATTCCATTCCATTCCATTCCTTCTTCCATTTATTCCATTCCATTCCATTCCATTCCATTCCATTCCATTCCATTCCATTCCATTCCATTCCATTCCATTCCATTCCATTCCATTCCACTATTTACATTCCATTATTCCTTCGTTATTTATTGTTTGCGTTATTTACTGTTGCACGTTATTTACTGTTGTACGTTATTTACTGTTGCACGTTATTTACTGTTGCGTTATTTACTGTTGCACGTTATTTACTGTTGCACGTTATTTACTGTTGTACGTTATTTACTGTTGCACGTTATTTACTGTTGTACGTTATTTGCTGTTGCACGTTATTTCGTGTGTGGTTTTTATTTAAACACTTGGATTGTAAGGTGGGCGGGGGGGAGGGCTTGAAAAGCTTGAACAAGCTAGAAACGTTGTCCTCTCCCCCGTCATAGCCAGTTTTGATGGGGGGAAATATCAATCGTTTGCTTATTAAAAACAATATGTAAACAAAAAGCATGTTTGAATTTGCACACGACAATCTCACTATCTCCTCTTGTGTTGATGGTTTTGTATTTTTTTCAGGATTATCACATCGACTTTTCTTGGCAGCAAAGAAACTCGACAATGACAACTTTATTTAGCGCTACTCAAATGCCATCCTCCTCACAAGGATCTTTTGGCTCGATTTCTATGGACGTCGTAGACGGGAAACAACTTCGAGCTACACAAAATCCGCAGTTCAGTATGACACAGAGTGATGGCGCGACTGGAGCTTCTCTACAGTCATATGATTGGCTGAGTCCCACTAACGCTGTAAGTTGGTGAATTTAAGCTCTTTTAGCAATGATTTAGAACCCAATCCCCTAGATATCTAACTACTGTTTCAAGGTGAGGTAAGGACTCCATCTAAAAAAGGTGGAAAAAGCAAAAATTTTAACCTAAAATAAGACCAAATCTAGACTATCAACTCTGTTCATGTTTTCAATGAAGAAGAAGCAGTTTATAGTCGTAAAATATCGTCAGTTTTGCCGCCTTTCAAGACGAATAGAGAATTTTGGCTAAGCAGGCATCCAGTAAATTAAGTGCTTTGTCATTGTAGTGTAGACTTTTAGGATTGCCGAAGAGTATTTTAATAAAAGCAATACATCAGACATATTGGCTACAAGCGCTTATTAATGTTTTTGTAACAAGTTTCACTACATATATATTTGATATGGTTTATATACTTATTTAGTTACCATCACAATCTCATTCGACTGTGTTTTATAATGAAAGCCAATCTTCAAATTTATTGTTCAAATCAAGTCGTCGAAATCGAGTTTATAAATCGTTGCGATTGAACACTGCTGAAAAACAGTCAACTTCTTCAAACGAGAGTAAGTCAATCTTTGTTGAAGATTCAACGTCTGGTTTTCTATATGTAGCCAGCGTTCTTTGTGTGCATTAGGCAGTTAAGACCTTGTTACTACACATGTAATGTCCCTTTGAGATGTAAGCTTTTTGTAGTGTGAAAGACTTTTCATTTTTATTTGTCTCTGAAGGTCTATGTCCGTTTTGTTCTTATTATACGTTGTGTTGTATTGAATTCAACAGATTCCTTGCAATCTGAGAACATTTTGAGTCTAAAGAGGCGATTTTTAAAAGACAAACAAGGACGCGATGTATACTTCGCTAAAAGAGAGCTCGAGCTACAAAAAATACGAAAGGTAACTCCAGTTTGATGTATAGATCCTTGGCTCTTTAGCCTTCAGACATGGCGTGGCTCAGATTATCGATGATTTTGTCCATCCTTATGATTCTTTCGTCATCTAGGAATCGATGGAGCAACAGAAAAAAGCACGTGAAAGTCGCGTGTTGATGTATCGCAAGTACAGAAAGGGCGATCTTCCTGATGTTCAAATCAAGCATTCGGATATAATAACTCCTCTCCAGGCCCTTGCTCAGGTAAAACGTCATCCAATCAAATACATTTTCAACAGCTTTTGTAAACTTCGCGTATTGCCTGAGGCATCAGATGCGGTAGTTAAGACCCCTCGCTTTTTTTCAATAGAAACAATATCCCACCGGCCTTGTAAACATGTCAATAAAGTATTTTTAGTAAGCGGAATTTTGTATATTTGATTTAAAAATAGTTGTAAAGATCGCAAATACCATAGTGAATGGTAAAAGTAATATAATAAGTTGATAGTTCTTAAAAGAACTGTTTTAAGTAAAGAGCACTTACCCAATAGTTCTAAAATAAATGTTATGAAATTAAACGACACGATGCATTGTGGCAGACTACTCCTCAGGTGTCAACGTCTGCTAAATGAAAATTTACAATCTACCGATATTTATAATGCCAAGAAAGGGTGTACGTCATCTCCAAAAGGGGAGATGATGCTCAAAACAGGGATAAATTAAAAACATAATCCTTTTGTCGGCAGAGGCCGGGATTAACTTATATATTTGCTATCTTTAGAACTATTTTCAGATTAGTCACCACGGCAAAGTCTCTATTTTATTATTTTGATTTATTTTGAGGTAGATATATACTCTACCTAATTTTATAGTACGTGTGATGCCTCTTGCGTGATGAATGTTTTAGTGAAAAAAATTAGCTTGAAATGCTTAGAAATATCCCATATTCATCTCTTTAATGCAAGACCTAAACTCGTTTATTTTTAGTGTGACAGCAACATCGCAAAGTTGTTATTCTCCTCGATAGTTGGAGGAATTCTTGCGCAGATTGACGAAACATTGACCGATACGCAGGAAGAAGGTACACTTAGGGATATCCAGGATGCGTTGGATTACATGATGTCGTCATCTGTACAGTATTTCCCGCCTTTTATATCTAGCATACAGGTAAGTAAACCAAAACACCTTCCCGTGAATTAATTTTAACTCAAATGTCTGAATTCATCGGCGCTAACCAGCTTCAGTTCAAGCGTTCACCGCTGTAATACATTTCTTAAGCTCCAAGTTGAATTCGTCGCTAGGCTACGTTCAGTAGCGAATCTAGTGTTTGTCAAAAAAATTAAAGCTGCTCAATTTTAAGCTCAGAATACCTTCATAACAAAACTATCGGTTTAGAATAAAGTTTTACCAATCAAATTACCTGTAAGGTATTTAAAAATGTAAATATATCCAATAGTGAGCGGCTCTAGATCTCCCACTGGCTAAGTTTCTATTATACTCGCACTCTTTTATTAAGCTATACTTTTATTGAAAGGGCTCTGTTATATACCTCTGTCAAACCTCATCATATTATATGTATTAAAACAATTACAAAATAACTATGGAGACATGTCAGTTTATTAGCTTGGTTTTTGATCAGTAGACATACATAATTTGCACATGGAATTTACACATGGAATTTACACTTACAATTTTTACAATATTTACACTTATTTGTATGTAACGGGTTGTTTGTCAATCTGAGCCATATAATTTAAATCGTTTGCACTCGACGTCTCGTGTTTACTTTTGTTTGCTGTAAGCCGTGTTTTCTCAACGAAAGAGATGGAACTGAGTTGCAGATTGGCAATAAAATGAAGCGATATTTTAAACAATGAATGATAGTCCTAAAATGAAAAACTTTAGCTGTAAACCGTGTTTTCTCAGCGAAAGAGACGGAACTGAGCTGCAGATTGGCAATAAAATGAAGCGATGTTTTGAACAATGAATGATAGTCCCAAAATGAAAAATCTTAGCCACTGATTTGAATACGCTGAAATATTGTGTGGTCCTATTTTTGTTTTTAAACATCATAGTTTGCAAATCTAACCGTTAGTTCGCTGTAGATGTAAAGTTGAATTATCAAGTTGTAATAAGTCTGTCAAAGGTTATTGCTTTTTCGTGTTAACAGAACGTTTGCTATAACGAAGAGAAGTTGTCACTCGATGCTGGCAAAATAAGTTCGGCGTCTATCGCCAGTCTTCAACAATTTGTTGGTGAGCTCTGCTTTTAGCTGGAGTTATATTCTTTAAGCCTGCTTGCGGGCTGGTATCAAGGTTAAAATGAACTGAATAATTCCTTCGTAATATAGGTATAATGTTGTTGGAAAAACAGATAATACATACATCGGAAAAGAGTTGTGGCGAGTGTCCAAGCAAGCGTCAGAAGACTGGTAACAAGCTCTCATCTGAATGCAAAACAGACTGGATTGAGTTATCAAAGTAAGAGCCAAGTTTCTTGTCGACTGTGTAATGTGGTTTATGGTAATGGCTAAAAAACCAGGCTTTAATTCTTTTCTGTTTGTTGAACAGACTCTACAAGTCTATTGAGGACTTTGATGTGCTTCGTGGGATATTTAGCAGCCACATAGGTACACAGGAGATCACGAAAGAAGCACTTGAAGCTGAAGGAAGAGGAGATTATAAAAACGCGCAGAAACTCTATTCTCAAGTAATGTTTGAATTACAGTTTAATTGTAATTATTTTTGTTAGACTTTGAAGCTTTAGGTTGGAAATTATTCGTTATTTTATCATTTCCTCCAGTAACTGAGGAGTATTAGTTGTGTAAAAATGAGTCGAAAATGTTTTATTGCTAAATTGAATGACGTGACTTCAGTTGAAATTTTCATTCGTTCCCAGGCTTCAAACTCAAATCATGGAGACGATATTTTACAAGAAGAAATAGATTTATGGGACGACTCCATATTAGAGGTATGGAATATTTTTCTTTTCCTACTAAATCTTCCTATAAGCTCCGTTAAGTTTGATTGCCTGTTTCAATCAATCTCTTTGACGTGTAATCCAAATTTCAAATCAACGAATGTTTCACAGAAGATTTTTGAGGAATATTTTATCACTTTTATTCATTTCATTTCCGCCAGAAAAAATCTTCGTGTTTTTTACTGATTTATAGCAACAAATTTAAAGTGAACTAAAAATGAGTTTTTAGTTGGAAATATTCTCCTTTTTTTCAATATTGGAATAAACATTATTACGACTTCACATTGCCTAATTGGCTATGAGAAATCGTAGTTTTTGTCGACAATCAGCGATAAACTGTCTCACTGTTCCACCAAAATATATTCATCAGCACATGTATTCATGTGTTTGAATTGTTCCACCTAAATATATTCATCAGCACATGCATTCGTGTGTTTGGATTGTTCCACCAAAATATATTCATCAGCACATGTATTCATGTGTTTGAATTGTTCCACCAAAATATATTCATCAGCACATGCATTCGTGTGTTTGAATTGTTCCACCAAAATATATTCATCAGCACATGTATTCATGTGTTTGAATTGTTCCACCAAAATATATTCATCAGCACATGCATTCGTGTGTTTGGATTGTTCCACCAAAATATATTCATCAGCACATGTATTCATGTGTTTGTTCATAAAATGTTCGTACGAGGTGGAAATTGATCATTTTTAAACGATCATTTTGCTCTGTGATGTGATAACGATGTTATTTGCACAATGAATAAAGTTAAAGTAAATTGTTTGAACCCGGGAGTATCGTGACATGTTTGTGGATGATTCTGAAGATGACTACCGCTAAGGTTGTCGAAACGTCAGTCTACATCAATACCAACAGTCTTCTCAGGACTTTACCAACCTGGACGATCAACATCCACAAACATGAAAAAAGTTAAACATCTCTAGAAAAAACTAATACATGTCAATTCTACTGAAGAGGTTATAAAGTCATTTTGTATGTTCTTTGCAACAATGAAGAAAACTCGCGATAAAATTTCGTGTCATAAACGCTTTGAGAAATTCAGTACATCTTTGAAGACATCTGTCGCCTATCTTCGAATTTCGTTTTTGTAGTTGACTTTTAAAAAAATTTTACTATTTTGGGACAATTTTTTATTTTCTATCACGTTCATTTAGTGTTGTAAACATCTTGCATCATGGGAGGATATAGAACAACATTGCTTGGTGAACATCGAAGAAAATGGCCGTCACGACTTTGAACAACTGTGGAATGACGAGTACTTTAAGGTATTTTTTAGTATTTAAAGGTACATTGTGTTTTTGATTAATTGAAAGTAATACACTTAACCTTTCGTTAGCATTTTAACACTTTCAAATTCATGCCTTAATCGACAGATTTCTTCGTCATATTTGAAACTGACAGAGCAGGACTCAAGCAAAATACTGTTTGAAGTAACTTTATATAGAACTTTAAACGATTTCATTGCACAAATGTTCAACAGAAAAATGATGGATAATTTATTACATGATTGTTGAATTGTCATCGAAATATAAAATGTTAAACCTTTATTACCACGTTTTTCAGTTTTTTTTGCTGCATTAAACTTTGAAGAATCAACGTAAAGATTGTTTTTCTCCATGTCTAGGAACATTACCTTCCTTATTATCTTCGCTCCAAGACAAAACAACTTTGCGTTGGAAAACAGGATGAAGCTTTTCAAGATTTTATTTTCGTTTCGCTTAAAGAGGAGCATCGCAGATCTCATCTTGAGGTGGTCAAATACGTTACTGATATTTCGCTGAGTGTGTGCGGTTTAATCATTTGTGTTTACTTCGGCATTCAATTGTCTTTGTTGAGATATTCACTGGGTGGCCGGTGGAAGATAAATATTTTTTTTAGGGGGGGGGCTTTATACATGTATTTGTATTTTATATTTTGTAACACAACTGATTTCAATAGAAATCAATTAGTAGAACATGCATAAATGAATGTAGTACCCCCTTCCCAATTATCAATGTTCCTCTCCCTATGGTAATCCATTGATTGTATATGTATATTGAGTATAATGATGTACTCCGTTGAGTATTTGGGGATATTCATTGGAGTCTACATCGAGATACTCCGTGAAGTATATTGTCATGATGAGTATATAGGGACACTCATTTTGGACAATTAGGATATTGATTGTTAAATGCTTTCTAGAATAACTTCAGCGATCACCTGGCATTATTTTTCATCCTTGAAGAGGATTACGACCGGGCCCGATACTACACGAACAATTGTCTTCATACGTTTTTACAGGTACGATTGCTTTGTTGATTTTGGGTCATTTCTGGTTTATCAACTTTTGCAATATGTTTAGAACATTTTTATTACTATAGAATTGGTCCGGTTTGGATTCAATGATGAGTTTTAGTCGTTCTGCTCAGCTGCAATCTCTTCAAGCTGTCACTGAAATGCAAGAATTTCTTGACTTTGTTGTTAACGAAGGTAATGTACATCAGATCACTCCTGATAAAGACACTAGACTTGAGTATATAAGAACTCAATTTTCAACATCAGATCACTTCTGATGAAGACACTAGACTTGAGTATATAAGAACTCGAGTTTCAACATCAGATCACTTCTGATGAAGACACTAGACTGGAGTGTATAAGAACTCAAGTTTCAACATCAGATCACTTCAGATGAAGACACTAGACTGGAGTATATAAGAACTCAAGTTTCAACATCAGATCACTTCTGATGAAGACACTAGACTGGAGTATATAAGAACTCAATTTTCAACATCAGATCACTTCTGATGAAGACACTAGACTGGAGTATATAAGAACTCAAGTTTCAACATCAGATCACTTCTGATGAAGACACTAGACTGGAGTATATAAGAACTCAATTTTCAACATCAGATCACTTCTGATGAAGACACTAGACTTGAGTATATAAGAACTCAAGTTTCAACATCAGATCACTTCTGATGAAGACACTAGACTGGAGTATATAAGAACTCAAGTTTCAACATCAGATCACTTCTGATGAAGACACTAGACTGGAGTATATAAGAACTCAATTTTCAACATCAGATCACTTCTGATGAAGACACTAGACTTGAGTACATAAGGAGTTAAATGCTAGTTCTGATAGAGTTGTTTAAAGATACAAATTTTGACGACATATATTCTAATTTTGTTCAGTTTTTTCCTCAATATAGATAACTTTATGTCAACGGAAAAGACCATTTCTCTTTTAAATCATTGGTCTTCACGGGAACCCGACCCGAAACTTCATTCTGTGGATATTTGGGACGATGTTATGACAAATAGGTACACATGAGGATCCCTATATGCAGCTCTTGTGAAAAAACACTCGTAATTCAGAGATTGTTTGAGTACATAACACGCTTGTTTATTTCTTGTTTGTAGATCAGTTTATCTTGAAAAGATTTTCTTGACGTTCAACAAATATTGTCCAACTCACAACAGGTATATACACTCGTTGCAAGTTGTAAACTTGTTAATGCTTCAGTTACGGTTACTTGGTTACAAAGTTTAGTGAGTATGCGCAGTAACGCTCAAGAAGTAGCGAAGGCAACACAAACCTTTACTCCTACTATGCAATTTTATGCAAAATTATTATTTATATTTAAAAGAAGCAATAAACTAGTTGTTTTGAACGAGAAATTGTTGCACAGTAAGAGTAGAAAATTGGCTGCTTTTACTACACATGGTCAATATCATTTAAAACATGTTCGTCATTGCTTCACTGAAAATAAGTCATATCTTTCTCATGGCCAATAACTTATATTTTGCTGTACATTTGGTGCTCTATATACACTTTGAATCAAGAACCAGTTGTGTTCAACATAATTTTCAATATTCGTAAGGAAGTTTTCGATCTTGATTTCTTAAAGTGATATTATTTTTGTTGTATAATATGCAGTTTTATCTGGCCCGTTTTCATCAGCTTCGTTTTATGAAAACGTTCCCATAATTCTTAGCGAAGGGTCCATGGAAATTGACGACAATCCCATGAACATGGAAAATTTGGAGAAAATGTTTCTTAAAAAACGTGTGTTGTTCAGCTTGAAGCTATCGGAAGTTGCTACAGGACAGGTGATATGAACTAATATTTTATAAGATATGTTTGTCGAAATCAAATTTCTTTATCGTGAAACTTGGAGACATATACTCCAGTCTAGTGTCTTCATCTGGAGTGATCTGATGTTGAAACTTGAGTTCTTATATACTCCAGTCCAGTGTCTTCATCAGGAGTGATCTGATGTTGAAACTTGAGTTCTTATATACTCCAGTCTAGTGTCTTCATCAGGAGTGATCTGATGTTGAAACTCGAGTCCTTATATACTACAGTTCAGTGTCTTCATCAGGAGTGATCTGATGTTGAAACTTGAGTTCTTATACACTCCAGTCTAATGTCTTCATCAGGAGTGATCTGATGTTGAAACTTGAGTCCTTATATACTCCTGTCTAGTGTCTTCATCTGGAGTGATCTGATGTTGAAACTTTAGTTCTTATATACTCCAGTCTAGTGTCTTCATCAGGAGTGATCTGATGTTGAAACTTCACTTCTTATATACTCCAGTCTAGTGTCTTCATCAGGAGTGATCTGATGTTGAAACTTTAGTTCTTATATACTCCAGTTTAATGTCTTCATCTGGTGTGATCTGATGTTGAAACTCGAGTCCTTGTTTACTCCAGTCTAGTGTCTTCCTCAGAAGTGATCTGATGTTGAAACTCGAGTTCTTACCCAGTCTTTTGTCTTCCTCAGAGTGATCTGATGTTGAAACTCGAGTTCTTATATACTCCAGTCTTATCTTCATCAGGAGTGATCTGATGTTGAAACTTGAGTTCTTATATACTCCAGTCTAGTGTCTTCATCAGGAGTGATCTGATGTTGAAACTTGAGTTCTTATATACTCCAGTCTAGTGTCTTCATCAGGAGTGATCTGATGTTGAAACTTGAGTTCTTATATACTTCTGTCTAGTGTCTTCATCAGGAGTGATCTGATGTTGAAACTTGAGTTCTTATATACTCCAGTCTAGTGTCTTCCTCAGAAGTGATCTGATGTTGAAACTCGAGTTCTTATATACTCCAGTCTTTTATCTTCATCAGGAGTGATCTGATGTTGAAACTTGAGTTCTTATATACTCCAGTCTAGTGTCTTCATCAGGAGTGATCTGATGTTGAAACTTGAGTTCTTATATACTCCTGTCTAGTGTCTTCATCAGGAGTGATCTGATGTTGAAACTTGAGTTCTTATATACTTCAGTCTAGTGTCTTCATCAGGAGTGATCTGATGTTGAAACTTGAGTTCTTATATACTCCAGTCTAGTGTCTTCATCAGGAGTGATCTGATGTTGAAACTTTAGTTCTTATATACTCCAGTCTAATGTCTTCATCAGGAGTGATCTGATGTTGAAACTTGAGTTCTTATATACTCCAGTCTTGTATCTTCATCAGGAGTGATCTGATGTTGAAACTTGAGTTCTTATATACTCCTGTCTAGTGTCTTCATCAGGAGTGATCTGATGTTGAAACTTGAGTTCTTATATACTTCAGTCTAGTGTCTTCATCAGGAGTCTGATGTTGAAACTTGAGTTCTTATATACTCCAGTCTAGTGTCTTCATCAGGAGTGATCTGATGTTGAAACTTTAGTTCTTGTATACTCCAGTCTAATGTCTTCATCAGGAGTGATCTGATGTTGAAACTTGAGTTCTTATATACTCCAGTCTTGTATTTTCATCAGGAGTGATCTGATGTTGAAACTTTAGTTCTTGTATACTCCAGTCTAATGTCTTCATCAGGAGTTAATTGATGATGAGCCGAAGTTGAGATCCTTTGAAGATGTGGAATTAATGTTCTTTTTTATTACTTTCTATTTTAGCTTAATTTTCCAGTTGCAGAAAAACATTTGAAAACTTCTCTAAAATTGATCAGAAATCGCCTCCAGAATGAGCAAGAGCTCGCGATAACCTGGACTCACACCTACAGTGATCTGAACTGTAGGAAATGCCTTGTTTTATCTCCTTCTGAATCCGTTGGCACTGCTTTAACTGCTCTCAACGAACTCGGCAAGACAACATTTTTATACTTTTGGTTGTTATTCGAAATTTTTTGACACCTAATGATTACTCTTTTGCTGCCCGGGGGTTGGGCAAGAACGTAGCCATAATGTATGACTATAAGCCACAATGTATTCCTTTGCTCCTTTAAACGTATGATCATGTTGTTTTGGTAACCCCCTCCTACCTCCATTGTACTTTGAGATACATTGTTGTAATTTATTTTTTGTTATAGGCGATTTTATATTTTAACCTTTCAGACAAAGTCAAAGACAACTCATTTTTTCTACGTAATCTATCCATTGGTGTTAAACATCATCTCTTATGGAGCCGTAATCTGGATGCCATAACAAATGCTTTGAGATCAGTTGGTATGTAATGCTTACTTTCCGTTGAAGTCTACTGATGACGTCATATTATAGTGGTGATGCATTGCAATGATTGGCTATGTTGTATTTCCAATCCTAGAATGGGAGTCTTTAGACAACAACATCAAACTAAAATTGTTCAATCTTTTTTCTGGCGCACCCGGAGAGGAATTGAATACGGTATATAAATTTTTATCGGAATGCATAATTTGGGGATGGGGGGGGAGAGAACCAATATAAATGTTTAATAGATCTCATGTCCTGAAATGTTTGCAAACTATTCGAGAGGGTATCCAGCGTGAGTACTATGTCAAACTATAATTGCATAAAAAGTTTGTGTAACTTCCTTACTGGGGATCAATCAAGGTTGAGTACGACCGCCATTAGTGCGGTTAACCTTCTTGTCGCTGATGAAAATTTGGACTACTTAAGCTGCTAGGAGAATGATAAACATAACTGGTAGACAGTAATAGTTAGAGGAAGATAATTTACTGTGATGACACTTGACAAACATAACTGGTAGACAGTGATACTTAGAGGAAGATAATTTACTGTGATGACACTTGACAAACATAACTGGTAGACAGTGATAGTTAGAGGAGGATAATTTACTGTGATGACACTTGACAAACATAACTAGTAGACAGTGATAGTTAGAGGAAGATAATTTACTGTGATGACACTTGACAAACATAACTGGTAGACATTGATAGTTAGAGGAAGATAATTTACTGTGATGACACTTGACAAACATAACTGGTAGGCAGTGATAGTTAGAGGAAGATAATTTACTGATAAACATAACTGGTAGACAGTAATAGTTAGACGAAGATAATTTACTGTGATGACACTTGACAAACATAACTGGTAGACAGTGATAGTTAGAGGAAGATAATTTACTGTGATGACACTTGACAAGAGCAAGAGGAAAGAAGAAGATTGTAGTTATTGGTGAAACAAAACTTTTGCAGAATTCGCAAACTGCCATACTTTCAATGATAAATCTAACATGAAATTTGTGACTCAATATGATGTATAAAAAGCATACACTTAAATATAGTTCTGACCAGAAATACCGTCTGTTGTCTTATTTTCCTTTTATTCTATCGATTACAGGTGATTGGACAGCTTACAACGAAATCGTTCACTGCTTTACAACATTCTGTTAAAACTGCACAAACGAATGAAAACCATATAAAAACAGTGGATTCTAGGTAAGAAACATCGGATATCAAATTGCAAGTCTTGTTGATGCAGGAGCAGTTCTACTTCATAAAGATTTTATTTCTTTACTGCTTTAGAAAAATTCTTGTGCGTAGCTTGATGAAAATGGCGAAATTCTGTGACAGAATACTTCGTGAGAAGCATGAAGGTTAGATAGTTCTTTTATTTTGAATTTGAGTTTGAACTGAGACTTCCATGTTTTCCCTTTTTCGTAGAAAATGGAGGCTCATCGCCAGTTGACACAAAGGTACGGTCTTCTGTCGTTTAGTATATTCTATTATTTCTCCCTGCATCTTCATGTTGTGAATTAAATGCATGCAAATTGCGTGTTTCGAAGTTTGAACACCATAGTTTACTCAGTACGGGATCAAAAACAAATTAAATGCATGCAAATTTTGTGTTTCCAAGTATGAACACTTTAATTTACTCAGTTCAGTATCAAAAACAGTCATATGTATATATGTGCAGTTGTTAATGATGCACGTATTTGCAAGAAGCATTTTATCATTGAGTGTGAAGATATCTATAATTAAATACCATTGTATATTTTTTGGGAACGATAATGGATTTCTGGGTTTAATACGCTGTTAAAAACGTATCACCAGTTACCAGGCCAGAATTTTAAAGACTCTACTACTATAACATTTTACTGTAATCTCAACTGTCGAGTTTTATAAAACACGCGACTGAATTTCTAAAGCAATATTTCAACTTTATTTCAATGTTAATGTCAAGTTGCGTGTGAAATTCTTTGCCAATACAACTAGTTGAATTAAAATCGAAATATTTCTTGAAAAATATGTTTTTTTCATACAACTAAAATCTTAGTTTACATTCTGCATGTACTTTGGAATAACCTACGTTGCTGTACTCTCATCTGTTATAGAATTTCCCTGGAATTATCATAAAATACGTACTCACCTCTATGGCTTATGAATCAACTGAAGCTCGACAAATGTTTCCAAGACTTTTACAACTGGTGGAAATGTATCCCGGAAGTGACGTCGATGCTTTCATAAAAAAGGTTGAGTGTATAACTAGTCTCTATATCATGCGTTGTCAACGTCAAATATTTTTCATGTGTTGATTCTTTGCGTAAAAACAGAGTGCCGAAGTACCATGTTGGATGTTCATTGGCTGGATCAACCAAATGGTGGCACTACTGGATAAAAAGGAATCGCATGCTGTTCATGGGATACTTAGGGAACTTGCAAAGCACTACCCGCAGGTTAGAGTACATAATGATTACACGGATGTTGCAATATGAACTGGCGCGTTTGGAAGTACAAATTACAAAAAAGAATGTGTTTTTATGATTCCTGATATCCACTGTACATAGGAAGTGCTCTTTTCTTGCCACTTAAGCATAGTTTGTGATGTATTAACGATAGTTTATCTCCTAACGTTTTAAACACATAGTGATATTACCAAGTTGCATCATATAAATTTCTCTTCGTTCAGTTTATGGCAGAGAAAGGACTTCTTGTAGCATATTCTTTATTCTCACTAAATTTAAATTTCACTTTAGCTCTTTTCGATTTTTAAGGCGATTCTTTATCCGTTAAAAATAAGCAGTGAGCAGTTTGAGTTTGATGAATCAAGCGAAGGACAAGGAAACAAAGAATTTGTTCAAATGTAGGTTAAAACGCGTGAAGACAAGAGCCTTTCCTTCATCTCGTTACTCAAATCCACACGGAACATCTTCTTTTATCTACATCAATCCTATCATTTGTCTTTCTATGCATAAGGTTGAAGGCCACTCAAATCCACACGGAACATCTTCTTTTATCTACATCAATCCTATCATTTGTCTTTCTATACATAAGGTTGAAGGCCACTCAAATCCACACGGAACATCTTCTTTTATCGACATCAATCCTATCATTTGTCTTTCTATGCATAAGGTTGAAGGCCACTCAAATCCACACGGAACATCTTCTTTATCTACATCAATCCTATCATTTGTCTTTCTATACATAAGGTTGAAGGCCACTCAAATCCACACGGAACATCTTCTTTTATCTACATCAATCCTATCATTTGTCTTTCTATCCATAAGGTTGAAGGCCACTCAAATCCACACGGAACATCTTCTTTTAACTACATCAATCCTATCATTTGTCTTTCTATCCATAAGGTTGAAGGCCACTCAAATCCACACGGAACATCTTCTTTTATCTACATCAATCCTATCATTTGTCTTTCTATCCATAAGGTTGAAGGCCAGTGTTGATTTTCCGCTTGTTGATGATTTGATATTTGCTTTGGAACAATTGACAAATCCTGAAATGGTTTTTAAGGTATTGAACTAAAATGAAGCATTTCAATTCATGTTTATTTTACTTCAAAGTGTCTATGCCGAATTAAATGAATCTTGTTTTGATAAATTGCACATATTTTTTTAATATTTTCGTTCTGCTTGATGTATTTCAACATAAATTCCAACCTGTTACAAATAGTAAGAGGATATAGAGATAACTCGTTACTAATTGTCATTGGGTATTGTGTGTTTCTGTGAAAGATAATCTCCTTTCTTTTGCAGGATTGGATGGACGAAATTAAAGTTTTGATAACGTTGAAGAAAAGCGAAATAAAAATCTGTGAATCGTTCAAACAAATGTACAAAAAGTTACTAGATGTGGACAAACAAGGAAAAAACACAGACGGTTTTGAGATGGGCAAAATTCGTCAGAATTTTTCACGAGTAATTTATATTAAATTTAAAGCATGGATATTTTCTACACAATTCCTTTAAGCTGAAGCATAAATTCCTTACACTTCATATGATTTCCATGTATTCCTTACAGTATTTTTCAAGTAAAGTTCTGAAGACCTGCGGAAACGATGGATCAAAGCTCCTTTCCTTAAATGTTAATGTCAGTTGAAAGATGTTATTATTAGAGTAATTCCCAGTCCTTACGCACTACTTGCAAACAGTTATATTTACATCCTCCAAACGTATATCCCCCATTTTCCCGCCCTTCATGAACATGTGATAAACGACGCACTTTTGAAGCAAGAATAAGAGAATGATTATGTTTATGTTGTTTTAGAATCTTAACAAATCACTTAATGACCTTTTCAATGAAATGAAGTCAAAAAAGCTATCAAACGGAAACCTTAAAGATTACTCACCATGGTTATCGTTGTACAGAACACGTTATGAGTCATATCAACTAGAAATACCAGGTTCCCTTCCGCTGACGTAACCAGTCTGCAAGTTTCAGTTCTGCTATGTAAATTTCTGAATGTTACCATTATTCATTTTTTTTAAAATATATTGTTTTTACTGTGAGCGAAGAGAAGTTTTACATAGCAAGACAAAAATAAACGGACTGGTTTCACCATTCGTCGTTTTATGGAATTTATGTTGCATTTGTGGAAAATATAGCTTGAAGTATCCTTAGGAATTTATTTTTAAATTTCACATTGTCATCCCCAGTCTCCACGGTATGATATGATCCCTCGGTTTCCCCATATGTCACCTACTATCAAACAATAAATTTGTGATGGGAATTTTTTTATTCCAATTCACATTATCGACACCGGATTCTTCAGTATTCATTTATGTCTGGTTTTCCTATGTACATCTATGGTCGATTATTCATATTTTTTAGATGGCTTCAATGATTACTTAAAAGTGAAAAGGCTGCTTTCTAACTTGACGTTTGATAACATAGGAATTTTGATGTAGACCATTGAACTAAAACGTTATAGTTCTGTTATGTACAAAAAGGTTTTGTGTAGCTTTGATGAAGATGATAGACTCGTGAAAAAATGTTATCTGTGATGTCATTGGTTAGAGAAGCTCAAAGTCACGTGATTCAATGAACGGCCAGTACGTTTCCTAAAATTGTTGTGTTTCCTTGCTTATAGGTCAGTACACTGGCGATATGAAACCATTACCTGATTATCACGTGACGGTTGCAGGTTTTAATGAAAAGGTACTTTAATGTGCAATTTTTATCTGATTTATTGCAAACGTTTGAATGTTAGAACTTTACATTTGTCTCTGAGGAATTTCCAAACGAAAAACAGAAATACGAAAAGTTGTGCGATTGCCTTTGAAAATTTTCGCCTTATAGGTGCGAAAACTTTCTTCGTTACGAGCTCCAAAGTGCATCACTGTTCTTGGGAACGATGAAAAGGAATATAAGTTTTTGGTAAAAGGAGGTGAAGATCTACGCTTGGATCAAAGAATACAGCAGGTTTGATGTCATTTGTCATTTTCTTGATTTTATTTGGCGGATAGTATGGCACTGGGCAGCTATTTTTTAGAGTAGTGTGTTTTCAGAATACTGAAGCATTCTTTCTGCTTTGAAATACAGACTTTTCTTTTAGTTAAGGCGGAGTTGCTACAAGAGAAAGTTTCTTGATAAAATTTGTTTGACTCTACATGGAATTTCTAATACTTTATCTTATGAACTATTGACTGCCCATATCTTATTATTGTATCATTCATTTTGAACGCAAATCTTAAAGTGACGTGTTCTTTTCTCGTTTGTTTCCAATTTCTTCAGCTATTTTCTCATATGAACGAGATCATGGCCGAAGATCCATCTTGTCATCAAAGAAATTTACGCTTAAAGACTTACAAAGTTATACCAATGACGTCAAGGTAATTACATCCGGGGGGGCTCCATATTCGGGCCCTGCTACATAAACTCAGGTTTTAGTTAAAAGACATCAAGCTTCTGTTAAATCAAGCTTTTTAACTCCGGAAAAAAGTGGGAACAAATTTTTCTTTTTTGATTTCATTTTTTTTCGAATGAATTAAAGAACATGTCGCGCTATGCCTGATAATATTTTAATGATGAAGCTGGCAATCACAGTTGCTCTATGACAGCTAGTGGTTAAAATTTCTTATTATTAAGCTTATGAGGATAGCTCACAGATAATCCCTGGTAGAGTATATCATTTCTTAATAATTATAATCTCCCACTCCCAGCCAAAAAAACTCGCTGAGACTTAGTTGATGAAGGAGAACATGACCAATATCATAGCGCCAGATGTAACTGTCAGCCATATGTCCTCGTGGCGGTACAATTATTGATGGGTTTGCCAAACATGTTTCTACCGACTTTCGCTTGCAAAGATTTGGCTAAAAGACTTCTACTTAGGCGAAAAAATATGTTTGTCTTTTAGAATTGCTGCTTTAAAAAAAATTTGTCACTTTGAACTATGTTGTTGTCAATACAATAAGGCGTCAAGTTGATCTGTAATGAATAGGATACTATATTTCGGCAGAAGTTTTAAGTTTTTTATCGACAATAACCTCGTCTTCTTGCTTTATTTTTGTCATGATTGAAGATGTATTTAGTTGGCGTTTACTGCAGCTACTGTACACAGCTGTAATTGTTTTCACAAGAATTAACTGCTTGGTCTGATAAGTCATCTGTGATCTGTATAATTGTGTGGAAAATCATATAAACTTTCCTATCTTATACTTTTACTCGGGTTTTGGTATTTGCTTAAGTTAACAGTCGGCATATCGCCGTTAGAGGCATTGTATAATGAATCATCCCGTTCACCTTTTATAGACTTGGTGTTATAGAATGGCTGGAAAACACTAGAGTTTTTAAAGAGTTTATCTCTGATGGATTGTTGGAAGACAGGAAAAACGCATTGACGTAGGAGTTATGATGAGCTAGTATGTAAGAGGTGGGTATTTTTATCAATTCTTGATCCTTTTCATTGTAGGAAGACCATGGAAGTGCATAACAAATGGTTGCAGTCTTCATTTCCTGTGAACAAGAAAAATGCTGAACTATACCTTCATTATCATGTAATGTATAAGTAAGTTTTGTTTGATGTTTTTTAAAATCTAGCATATGAGATATAAATCTTTTTGAACCGAGAAATGTTTGTAAATATCACATTTTCTTTAGAATAAATAGTTTGGACTTTAGCGTCTCTTTTTTAGTGCAATGTTTCAAAGCATTTCGTATCGGTGTTTTCATCGCTTGAAAATGAATATATATTTTCTGTTTGAGTTTTCCATTGCATCATCACACTATAAATAAAGGATTATCTTTACTAGTTCTCAATATAAATGTTAAAGTTATGTCATGTTTCATATTGACATTGAATTTATAGAAAGTGATTTTTACTGGATCTTAGGAAGGACAGTGTAGAACTTATAGAGCTATCAAAGATAAATAAAGCTATTTTTGTTTGCATTTCCTAGGAACAGTTAACAAGAATTTATTTTTTAAATTCTTGAAATTGTATCGAGATTTATTTATTTCATAATGCGATTAACTAGCGTCTTATCTGTATGGAGAAGTTGCAGAGCAGTTCCGCGTTTATCTTTCCTAGCGCTAATCCAAACTTTTTGTCGATTTAATTTTTTTACGTGCAGAAAAGCGTCCAGAAAAGATATAATACGGAAATTTGAAGATCTTCAAAGTATGATTCCTGAAAATTCCCTGAGGTACGATGTCCTTCATTAACAATTACACAAATTTCGTGTTTCACAGTAAAATTCCGCGCGCGTACTTATGGGCGTACTACCTGGATCTTTCATTTTTACTCACTGAACTAAATTACATGGAACGCTACCTGTAATACAAAACCCTAGTAATGTTTTGAAGCCGTGATTTTACCCCAGACACGCGAGATCATACCCCTGACACGCGTGTGTAGTCAATCAATTTTCCACTCCTCCAGAGAATCTCGTAACACTACACGCGCGTGTCTGGGGTAAAATCTCGCGTGTCACTGATCTTACCAAACTATACTTTTTTAAATATAGACGAAGTTTTATGCAGCTAGCATCATCCCCTGCGGCATTTCTTATGCTGCGATCACACTTTATACGCACCTACGCTTGTATGATAACATGTCAATATGTTCTGGGTATTGGTGACCGACATTTGTCAAACGTAATGATTGACTTGAACAATGGCGGTGCTGTTGGGATTGATTTTGGTCATTCCTTTGGTTCGGCTACACAGGTAGATATAATGGACAGAATATAAGTGGGCGTCCTGCCAAAATTTTAAAGCCAGCGGTTTCACTAGTTCCAATCCTTTTGCACAATATAAAAAGAGAATTAATTACATCAGTTTACTAAAATACGGGACTTTAGTTGAAAATTGGCCATGACTACTTCAAAGGTAGCATTTCAGTTATATATTATGTTTAATGGGTTGAGATGTTTTCAGCTAAAAACTACATTTTTCAGACTTAACATTTTCTCACTTGATGGAGACTTGTAACGAAGTTTACACCTTGATTTTTATGCATTTTTTTCTCTGAAATTTGCATATTTTCTAAATGGAAGTGTAGAAATTTGGATATCGCCATATTTGTTAATAAACATGAGCATGCAATGCATTGTGGTCACTATTTATGTTCATAAATATGAACATTTAAGGTAACAGTACTATCTTTTATATGTTGAAAAAATTTTACTTGAAGTAATCTTTTTTAGTTTCTACCATTACCGGAGCTAATTCCATTTCGACTTACTCGTCAAATATGGCAGCTCATGATCCCGCATCGAGTAAAAGGGCAGTTGCAAAGCACCATGGTATACACGATGAGAGCTCTAAGGAATAATCACGAGATTTTGTTAAACACGATGGACGTGTTTATAAAGGAACCGTCTCTGGATTGGCAGGTTTGACTTGTTTTGTTGAATAAACGGCAGGTTTGACTTGTTCTGTTGAACAATTGGCAGGTTTGACTTGTTTTGCTGAACAATTGTCAGGTTTGACTTGTTTTGTTGAGCAATTGTCACGTTTGTTTTGTCAAGTTAGCAGCAGGTTTGACTTGTTTTGTTAAGTAAACGGCAGGTTTTGACTTCTTTTGTTGAACAATTAGCAGGTTTGACTTGTTGGTCAATCGACATGTTTGACTTGTATTGTTGAACGACAGGCAGGTTTCACTTATTTGTTTAACAAATGGAAAGTTTGGACTGTTACACAATTTTTATGTATTTATTACTTATTTGCTGTATTGTTAGAATGTACAAACAGCTAATTTATAAAACCAAATACTACACGCCAGTTCTAAGACCATAATTTTTCCTTGTTCTTTCCCTATATCGTGTGTAATGCACAAATCATCAGTTAGATTTGATTTAGATGAATATTTTTTCAGTCAAATCTGCAAAATTTCATGTACTAAATGGAGAATATTGTTTATGATGCTAATGCTTATAGTTTTCATTGAACTTCGTAGTAGCGAAATTTTTGGTTAACTTAGTGTGAATATCGTATAAAATTTCAAATGTTCTTTACAAAGCAATGAAATAGCAAACGTCGATGATGGTTGAATGTGATTGGTTGATAATTTTCAAAAATACCATTGAGAAACGTTTCGTTTTACATTTTTAGAATTTTGCCAGGAAACAGGCCGAAAAACAAAATCATAATCTGGGTATGATACATTTTCATTTTTTCTATTTATAGCAGTTGTTGGTGTTGTTTTGAAACGTGTTTTTTTTCTTTCTAGATGATATGCATTGCCACAAGTGGTATCCAAGGGAGAAAATTAAGTTAGCGAAAAGAAAACTGGAGGGAGATAGTCCTGTTGAAATTATGAAGTAAGTTCGAATTAATTGTTTTTCATTACAAATGGCTGCAGAACTTTGTGCTGATAATTGCCTTATAAGAAAGCATGGTTAACATTTGGAATTACACTGAATTTCTTTTTCTCTTATCATTCATAACTCGAGGAGGGCGATGTGTTTTTATCTCAATTCGTTTGAACATTGTCAACCACAATGCAACGCGCGCTCAATTAATCTCTGCGGCCATTTTCTTGGTTCAATTAATAGACAAACGCTTCATCAGTTTGTAATCCGTGGATATTCTATGCATCTTTTGTGGATGTATAAAAATTTGTGTTGTATTTGGATAAAAAAATTATTTTCAGTAGCTTCCTAGTGATATTTTTCATGAACGTATCTGTTTGGGTGGACAAATAACTATTCAAAAGTATGGCAAGCTCAACGGTTGAAAACATGCCTAAAAGAGGAAGACCAAAACTTGATATTCAAATAAATACTTGGTACTTGGAATCTCACACTTTTAGCTATTGTCGAAGTTGTGCTAAAAGTCTAAGAAGAAGTTTAACGTGTGATGGAACAAATTATCATTTTTAGCACGAATGTAAACAAATAGGCGCGCGTTGCATTGTAGTTGACAATGATTCTTTCAGTTTATATAAACAGTATTGCAATAAGTTTAATTGTACGTGCAAAGAGATTTTGACAAGAAATGTAGGTTGCAAGCAATACCCTTGCTTTATTATAACGAACCTGGCCCGACTTGCTATACATTTCAGCTTTACGTACGTAGTTATAATGTCTTCACGGAACATGATTTTTTGTGTTTCTTGTGTAGAGTCGATCTTCGATTAGGTCATGAGAAAACAGATCATTATAAGGAACTGGTGTCTATTCTCACAGGTGAGGAGCAATTTAACGAACGCGCACGAATGTATGACGGGTCTGTGGAGAGTCAGGTCAATTGGCTTATCGACCAGGCCACCGACCCGAATATTTTAGGGCGAACTTACCACGGATGGGAGCCGTGGGTTTGAAATAATATGTAAACAGTAGTATGGATTTTTCGAGTTACGTTACATTTTTATCAATGGAGGTTCAAGGCCAATGATATACTCGAGTACTGCGCATGCGTTAATGACAAGTCTGTTTTAGTTTTTTTTTGGTAGTCTAGTGAAAGAAATCTGCGACAAAATCAACATAAAAATAACAAACAATCCTTTTATTTCAATACTGAATGAAGCCTTAAATCTATAAGTACATCTCGCTCATATTGTACGTACGTATGTATTTACACATTGATTTTTAATCATTGAATGTGTGAATGAATGGATGTTTATAGCTGCGTGTGTCTTCAGTCAAACTTCTTCTCCATGATTCAAGAGTAAGCAGAATTTGTAATTTCATACATAATTGCAACATTACTGTCCATTTTCTTTATCAAAATTATTCAATTCGTTGTACAATCTCGATAATTTCTTGTTTGAGCTTGGACATTATTACAAAGTAAGGTTTCTCACAAACAAAAATATATTTCTGCTCCTTGTCTGTGGTAAACCCTCTTGGTTGGAAGTGCTTCATTTCATATTTTTGATAGCAAGCATAAATTTTTACTTCACAACAATGTCTTGGTCTACTTCTGGATTTTCATGAGGTGGAATCTCTTCTTTACAATCTGTTAAACTGGCATCTACTTTCGGCTTTTCATTACCCTCAACATTGTTCAAAGTTAATTTGAATTCTCCAGTATCACTACCACTCTCAACATCATTCACACCTGATTCAAATTCTTCTTTGCTACAATCACCCTCAACATTGTTCAAACGTAATTTCAATTCTCCAGTATCACTACCACTCTCAACTTCGTTCACACCTGATTCAAATTCTTCTTTGCTACAATCACCCTCAACATTGTTCAAACTTAATTTCAATTCTCCAGTATCACTACCACTCTCAACTTCGTTCACACCTGATTCAAATTCTTCTTTGCTACAATCACCCTCAACATTGTTCAAACTTAACTTCAACTCTCTAGTATCATTATCACTTTCAACATTGCTCAAACTTGATTCAAATTCTTCCTTGCTACTATCACTTTCTACATTTTTCACACAAAATTCATGTTCTCCAGTGGTGCTATCACTGCGCACGGATTCAAAACTGCTTTGGGGAGTAATATACGTCTGAGAATTTATCAAAGTTTCTGCTTTTTCATCTCTTTCTTGCCAATCATTTTGATAGATGGTTTTCCCTCGCCTTGGTCGATCACTATAGATACAGGTTTCAGTGTAATGACACGAGCATTCAATGACCGGTAGGGTTGCACTATCCCACGCACCAGGGCCAGATAAAAGACCTCTGAGGGTACAAGGGATTCCAGCTAGTCTTCGAAATTGATACAGCAAGCTTCTGGCTTTCTTCAGCACATTGTTGCCGTCCATTTCCATCGCTAGATTGTTAAAATAGCTCAATATTTCGTCGACGCGCATTGATCTCTGCCATACTGGATCGCCATACTCGACGATTATGGCCACAGCAATAAATATATGAAAGAACTCGGTCTGATATTGAGACCAGCATGCCTCCCACATGCGCATCACGTGCCAGTCATGAAACTCGCGTTTGAAACCAAGTAAAAGCCAACGATGACAAAACAGAAGGTCCATGCCATCGTCTGCTAACAGCAAATGTGCGTAGAACTTAGTAGCCATCAAACGCAAAAGTTCTTTCAAGTACAGCTGAAAATGAGTAAAAACAAAAGAATGCATAGGAAAATTGTCTACATCATGTTTTTTGAAGAAAATAATCAGATCAATGGCTTTATTTTAGGGCTTTAAGCTTTATAATGAAATATTCCGTGAAGTCTGTTCTTTTTTCAGTTCCTATTAAAGACAGAGAAGTAAATAAGTCTGGGACTAAAGATATTTTCTACCAACGCCAGCATTCTTAGCTAAATGATCCAAAATATTTTCAATTGAACGACAGGAAAGAAACAACATATTCAACTTACCAACTGGTAGTCCATTGAATCATCTTTTGGAGTCGTGATCAACATACTGCGTTCCAATAAACCAACAAAACACCAGAATGCGTCAACTTCATCTTGAAGTGTTGATAATAAGGATGCCACTAAGTCTGACATTCCTTGACTGTAGCCAACGTCAGGCTGGTAGTATGCGTAGTTGAGCAAAATCTTCCTGAAAGTTTTTCAAAATGTATAAAGTCATTTCTTTTTTCTTGGCGAAACTTCAACAGGATTATGTTAGATATTTTGGCGAAATCTTGGTAAGATAGAAAGGTCACTGTGAAAACTTAAAGACTACTGGAAGATTTAATGACGGTAAGATCGTAGGGGAAATGGGTAGACGTTCGGTCAGAAAGTAGAGATCATCGGGAGATTTTACAGATCACGATAGGATCTTAAAGGTTATGGAATATGGAAGATCTTAAAGATCAATGTGCAATCTTATTATACAGATCACGACAAGATCTTTCAGATCATGGGAGGTCTTAAACATCATGATGAGATCATAGAAAGTTCACCATGAGATGATAGGACATAGAGATCACGACAAGATCTTTCAGATCATGGGAGGTCTTAAACATCATGATGAGATCATAGAAAGTTCACCATGAGATGATAGGACATAGAGATCACGACAAGATCTTTCAGATCATGGGAGATCTTTAACATCATGATGAGATCTTAGAAAGTTCACCATGAGATGTTAGGACCTAGAGATCACGACAACATCTTAAATGTCATTGAGATGATACGGAAATCTTAAAAATCGTGGTGAGATTTTTACGTTTGGACTCTGATTCCCAACAATGAAGCCGAGTTAGACTCAAGCAAAAAATATCCCATTAAAGAAAGGGTAAATTTAACACAACGTGACATTCATGCATTGCCCATCCATCAAAAACTTTGCCAACTCCCAGTAGAGTAATGTACAATGAATGCGACAACGCAAAAGAGGAATATTTCAAGTCAAGGTTGCAATGCACAACAGTGCAGCCCGTGATGAGTTTTGTGTAATTTAACCCTTTCCTTGTCGTCAGGACTTCTGACTCCCATACACAAAGCTGACTGAAAGTCGTGTGAAAAAATATGCTGGTAAAGTAGAGGTAAAAGATCATGGGGAAGAGATCTTTAAGATAATGGAGGGATCTTGATGATTGTTGTAGGTATATTATGTATTGACAAACTATCATCTGTCATCACAGTATCATAGTAAGATTTTGAAAATATGAACTTTTGCAAATCTTGGCCACAAATCAGGGTACTATCATATCAAGATTATCTTTTGACAACATCATGATAAATTGTAACAAGATCTGCATATAATCCTATTTCATTCCTAAAAATCCCTATGTGACAAGCAATGTATACGTACCTCATAATTTCAAGATTTGGATTGTCAGTCCCAGCAAAATAGGGATGTGATCTATCGGTTCTGACAACATCTTTATCCACAGTACATTGAACATCAAGCCAGAACTTATCATATTCAACCTTAGGCATATTTAACCTGAAACATGATACATATCAAGCCTATTTTATCAAGAAATTCCACAAACAAGGTTAACTTTATGTTTCTTCATATCCTTACCTTCTTTCTTCAATATCCTGGTATTCTTTCATTTTCTGTTCTCTGATATTCTTACGTTCCCATGCTCTTGAATGAAATGGATAAAAATGAAGAAGAAATGGCCATATTTCTTTTCGAACGTCTGGAAACACTCCACCATAGTAGACTTCCTATATCATAAACAAATAATAGCATTGCTGGGACAGCTTTGTTTGCTTCGACACACATATCACCCACATACACCTCACCCTCGGTCTTAACCCCTTAGTGAAATATAATGGGGGGGGGGAACATGCAGTAAAATGTGTCTAATCATACTTTAAATTTTTGAACAGAGGGGTTTCAAGAATAGTATGATTAAATAACTCAAGTTTGGATGACTAAAAATAACTCAATTAATATGTAGTATAATTGAAAAGTGTTGTTATTGTGCTAACATTGCGAGAAAGGACTACAAACAGTTTGCTATTCCCATCTGCTCATAAAGAAATGGTAAAAACCAAACTTTATATGAGAATCTTTGTAACAAGTTTAAAGCTCAACAAGCACTTCAGATCGCAATAAGCTATAAACTAATTACTATTGAGAAACAATGATAGATTAATCTGAATAATGTATGCTTAAATACAACACTATTACATTTATATTAAGACTTTTTAATTATATTATATAATATTACAGCGATCTTGATTGCAGAAAATTTTATGACAATATGAAATGTTTCAGTAAAGCAGACAAACACCAATGTAGAGTGTCTAAAATACCAACCAACTAAAATATCAAATAAATGCAAATTCAGGTTCAGCAAAAGGTCACAAACAAGTGTCAATTTCCTGCTGCATTAGCCCCGACAGTTATTGTTTTAAGTTAAGACACGTCACTATTACCTTTCGAAAATTTGACACATCTTCAAGTTGACCTGATTTGTTCAGGAAACATTTCCATCTAGCTTTTGTCATGGGACAGTATCGACTTTCTTCGAAACTTTGATTAGGAAAAATAGTGTACAGCGGAATGATCGAAAATGCTTTCTTTCTCGCTCGCTCTTCGGGCGGTAATTTTATAGTCCTGCATAAGTTCCAATTTTCGAAGATTTCCACCAAATGTATCATTCCGTCCAAATGAAAATGGAAAACTTTATAATGATTTTCGTGATTGCCGACGACAAAATGTCCCGAAGTCTGATCCTCATTAAAAAAGCATTTTAGGAATCTCATTTCTGTTAAATCGATATGAAAAACTGTTGGTTTCGAGTCGTCGCTTTTGTTTACAATCACCGCATCTTGAATCTCGTCGTCTGTCACTAAACTTTCTTGCAGGAGTTCATTTGAAATCCAATGTAATATCAATCTTGTGTACTCGTTATTAATTGTACAAGCCTTTAATGTGAGATATCCCGGTACATGTACACGATTAAAAATACAAACATTGTTCTTGCAAAAGATCACTTCGCCTTGATTAAAGTCATCGAAATCTTCGTAAAATCGCGACAAACGACTCTTTTCTAAGTTTTCTTGCTGTTTCGACTTAATACCACCCATCAGTGACAACAATATGTGACTTGTAGTAGTTTCCATGTTTTCAAAGTCTTTTTGCTTTATACATAAAAGATTCTTCCTTAATTCGATATGGAAATATTTTACATAAAATAATGCTGTTCCTTTATTTGTTTGAATTTGTAATGGCTTATATCCCGTGATTGTCACGCGCGCGTGGGCTTTCCACTCACTCGTTTCCAGGCTCTGCTGTGTTTGGTTTTCATTTCCGTTGCGCACTTGTCGCCCAACAACACACCATTGTACGTCTGACACTTTGTTGTTCCCAACAATTAAAGTTAAGTTCTTCACATTCCACAATCATGTAATTCTATATTGCATCATTTGATCTACAATAAGCTTGCGTGATCGAAAGCCTGCATCATTCAGCTGTGACACTGGCAGAGATAAGGTAAGCGATTGTCGTTTAAATGATGATTTTGAAACTACGATTCCATGTAGTAACAATCTACGTGCGCTAACAATTTGATAATTTACAGATAACGCGTTTACAATGATGAGTAAAATCCAATGCTTCACGGCTTGCTTGCTGTATTTGGCAATTTTCCTACACAACGACGCATTGCCACTTAACGGAAATGGGGAACCTGTGTTTTGTCGTGGGTTGGAATGTCCTGAATACAAAGTGACGTTGAAAAGCAAAGATTTTGAAGAAAGATGCTACGAGGAATACAAATGGGCAAGCACCGTTGTATCAGGTATCAAATAAATGTAGCAAACACGACGTGCTGTATATAATGTAGCAAAAAGTTGCGTTTGACCTAACCACATCCATATATGGGCATATCACGCCATTTTCCCGACGGCGCTACGCGTATGGCATTGCGACATGCAATGTTTGCTAAATTTCTCTGTTCTTCCACTTGGGAAAAACAGGTGCTCACGACGCATGTGTTTGACGCGTGACCAGGAAAGAAATGGGAACGAGATTACTCCACGAAAATTGTCGACATCAATAATTGTATATCTGTAACTCCACTAACATGACGATCTAAATCTACAAAAATACAACGATACTCCTGCGCTCAAACAATTCACTTTATTTTCAATGATATTGCGTCCAATAATGTTATTCAATGTCCGACTTTACATTACATTCTTTTATACGACTGGATATGGTTATTCAGACTGAATGCTTTGGATTTCGAGTTCATTTTTATACCGAGTTACTCCTTTCAATCCTACTTTACCTTACATTCTTTTATACGACTGGATACGGTTATTCAGACTGAATGCTTTGGATTTCGAGTTCATTTTTATACCGAGTTACTCCTTTCAATCCTTGCTTCCACAAGTCTGCGCAAATCCACCAATTCGTTGGTGGAGTACTGCAAATGTACTTTGTTAATGATATGTTCATCATGACAGACCCTACTCTCTAACTCTTGGTGGTGTCAAACCTGCTTACCGTTCATTGGCTGTTGACCTTGGTGATGAATAAGCTCATTTTATTATGTTTCTTTAGGTGTCGATTACGCGAAAGCGTCAACTACAGGATTCCTACGACTTTTCTCTTACATTCAAGGAGCCAACAAGGAGAAAGTTAAAATAGAAATGACTGTTCCAGTTGCAGTAGAGATCGATGCAGGTCCAGGTCCTTTCTGCGCTTCCAATTTCACCGTAAACTTCTTTGTTCCTTTTAAATATCAGAGCAACCCCCCTGAACCGACTGGGAATGTTTACATAAGAACTCTCCCAAGACACTGTCAGTTTGTGACGTCATTCCCAGGTTACATGAACACAACGCTCATTCAGAAAAATACTGCAAAACTAATCAAAGCGTTGGAGGCCGCTGGCCTCGGTGATGCTTACGCCACTAGCTCCTATTTCACGGCAGGATATGATAGTCCGTTCGAGCCTCTGAATCGTCATAATGAGATATGGTTCATAGCAAAAAATACAAATGTTTTGTTTTGAATGGATGACATGAAGTTTAAACTGAATATATGCCATGGCTTATGATAGCTATGAGGCGATTGATTATTATGTATCATTGGGAATAAATTTGGGTTTTTAGCTTAATTTATATAAATAATCGTTGTTTTTACTCACAAGCAATTTTATAATGAAATACAAAAACAAATTGAAATTGAATGAAAGAGATTTTATTGAAAAAATTTTATGGGCCTCATTACCTAGAACAAATTCTCCCGGTAAAAAGCGAATTGTTTCGACACACGAGTTTAGTTTTTTAAAGCGATTTCGCGGTCCAAGGTTGGACAGGGTCCAAGTTTGGGGCCTTGCCATTTCAAGTGTCTTACGACTCCTGAAATCTATCCCCACAAAATTGGAAAATTTTTGACTTCGATCTCTAAAACACATTTTTTGCATCTAAGATGAACTCTGTGTTGTAATCTGTTGTGTAAAACATTGAAAGATTTTTATATCGCCATGAACAACAAATTACGAAAAATGCATTTTAGAACTAGTACAGATGCTGTTGCTAGTTGAGTTGAGTGCGTTAAAAACAGTTATTCACAAAGCGCTTACACAATTCTGAGCCCTTTTTTGTTTTTAAATATTTTTTTATTTCCTGTTGGCCTCCTTTGAGCTTCTTTGACTTTTTCGATTGTCACTCATACAAAATATGCGGGAATCGAAGTGGCGGGTCTAGGGTACCTCAAAATAAATTGTAGCTGCTCAGTTTTAAATTCAAAGTACTTTAAAAAAAACGCTATTGGTTTTGAATTTCTAAAGAATAAAATTTTACCACTGAACTTATTTCTTTGATGTTTAGAAATGTAAATATATTGCAAATGGCGCTGCAGTAGCTAATTAGTTTTGAGGTACCCTAAATCCGCTCTAATTATCGAACGATTCCTTTATTTTCAGACTTATTTGATATTTTCTGAGTGCGTGTAATAAGAGGCCCATATTTATTTCGTTGTGCCCAACTGATTTCTTTTGAAAGCTAATTCACTCTGTGAAAAAACTTAACCTGTCGAAGTTCCTGCAGTTTCACGAAATTATATTGCGCCTCGACTTGTAAAACGGCATATTTAAGACGCGAGTTTTTCAGTAATGTTGGTCTTATTATTTCTTGCTTATGCCGTCGGTTGTTCTTTCTCCGAAAGTTAAGTTTCATTTTCTCATTTAAATTGAATTATTTGGTTTAGTTGTTCATTTTTTGGTCAAAAATAAAATAAATGTTGTGGGGAACTTTTGAGACCTTACGATATGCAAGGTTTTAGCAGCGTACGTCTGAAAAGTAAATGGTTTGAACCCGGAAGTATCGTGTCATGTTTGTAGATGTAGATTGTCCAGGTTGGTATAGTCCTAAGAAGGACTGTTTTTGTTGTTGTTGACTGACGTTTCGACAACCTTAACGGTAGTCATCTTCAGAGTCAAAAAAAAAATGACTGTGATGTAAAAACTTTGATCGCGATTCTTATATCGAGGGAAACAATAACTAGTAATCTTTTTTTCTTTTTCTCCATCTATCTTTGTGACTGTAATTTGGAGAAAATCAAGTTCAACAATATTGCCATGACTGTCTACATCGAACACATTCATACATAAAAAGAATAATCCCTGCAAGTGAAATAGACAAAAAATAGTCGACTATATAAGATACATACAACTTTTTACCATCAGACCTCAGCATTTTAAGGTCTTGTATTACACCCCCGGCAGACCTGCGAACTCACCCGATTTTATTGGCTGTCACCGAAAACTTTAGAAAAATTTTCTGAACGCCAAATTTTCGATCACTGTCAAAGTTCATTTTTCTCACTGTTTCATTGGTTGAGATGGCCTCACGTGAGAGCAAAGAAGCTCTTTCTTCATCACGTTCATCATCAGTTGAAAATACAAACAATATGGCCGACCGCGATCAACATCTGACCTCAATAACAAAAGCGCGGGAACTTTTTCAAAGTACAACATTGAGTGTTATTTTTATCTTATTTATTTGTATATTCTTTGGTGAAAGTAAATATCAGTTTTGTTAAAGGTGTAACAAATGTCAGTTTATAAAGAGCAATAAGTTTGGATAATTATTCTAAAATAGGGGGAAATGGATTGTAGTAATTTACACACTAAAAACTGACGTTCTTTGAACTTAAATATTTTGCTATCTAGGACAAATTAAAAAAATCCCACTGCAAAATTGAAGAGAAATACTCACTTTATCGTATGCAATCGTTATTTCGTCAGAAAACACATTAACGATGCAACAACTTCGTTAGTTGTGCTTCTTTTGTTTACATTTTCGTGTGTTAACGCTTTCTAATTGGCCCAAACATGAAAAAAGCGCTAATTGGTTTAATTAACATCATTGGAACTTGTTTCGACAAAGCAAATTGAAACTGAAAACTCAAAAGACAAGGGGTCTCTAGCACGTGAAGTAATGGCGCTTTTTTCTCACTATTCCATGGGTCCTTATGTGGCTTCCAGTTTAGCGAAATGGTTTCATTCTGCGCCACATGAAGACCTAGATTTCTCAGAAACCACCACCATATTTTCTCCGGGCGATAAATTGTACAGAGAGGTATGATATAAAATATAATCTTCGTTGTAGCTTTGTTGAGTAAACACGCGTGCTTGTCAGGTGGATAAATTTTCGTGTGTTTGTTGTTGACGAAATATCGCTGTTTTAACGAGCAATGCAAAACTGAAATGGCAACTGTTTAATTGTTAAGTTTGTGTAAAAAGAATATGAATAACTTGTGGGAGAATTTTGTAGAGGGAATGCCAGAATGGTACATGTATGAAAAAAACGTAGATATAGGAATTTATTTCATTTGAATGTTATTGTTTAAATCATAGTGATGAGAGTTGTCTCTAAGCTGATGATCTGATTTCAGCGACCGCAAAAGTAGGCATTTGTTCATCCTGGTTTAATTTACGCAAATCACGCGTTTTGTTTGTTTTAAAACTTGTGTATTACGCATATGAATTGCACATGATCAGATTTGGGATTCGGGATGATCAGATTTGGGATTCGGGATGATCAGATTTGGTTATTTTAGGATTCAGTTTTAAATCCAAAAGTTAGAGCCCAAACTATGAAGTAAATTGTAATAATAAATCATTGAGTCCTTAAAAATTTAAAAAATTACTTTGCATAAAATTGCCTGCGAAATTTTCAAAACAAGGTTGATCTGAGTACTGCGCTTGAAAAATGGGAAATTTGTCATCCTAGTTTACATTTATTTAAAGTAAATTAGCACAAATATCAAAAAAAACCTTTTTTAATTGAAGTATAATTTATATAAAATGAGTAATATCATTAAATGCAACTGACACGTTCAAAAACTAAACTATAAATTTGTTCTTAAATTTGTTCTACAAATGTTTCGTTCATTTTGTTAATTTCCTCAGGCGCTTTTTGTCATCGCATTGTGTATAGCTTGTGTTGGTGCTGTGAAGCTCATTTTGATGGTGTTGTACTACACCTGCTGTTTCTGTATAAGCCGAACAAGGAAGAGAAAAAAGCAAAAGGATTTTTGCTGCTGTAAAAAACGAGCTTTACAAGTGGAAATCTTTATCTTAGCGCTTATTTGCAGGTAAAGAAAGCTAATTAAACAAGATTGTGTGCCAAAAATTTCTACTATGTATTAACTATCTGTAGTGGGTAATACAAAATTAAGACATTCAACCTCTGAGTCTTGACCATCTTGACCGTGTAATCTGTTTAGATAGTTAAGCACATGTGCAAATTACAATATATTTGAAAGGAGGAAAATTTCATGTTTTTGAGCCTAGAAATAAGTGACATGAAGCGCCGAAAATGACGTAAAAACGCAGTTTTACTATTTAAATCTTTTCTTTGATGATTCTGACGAGGTCATCAAACTATAAACCTATGCAGAATATGTTACTTTTCGAGCTGATTTTGGCAAATATTTGCTATTAAAGTGTTTTTTGTTGAATAAAAGCCGAGTTTTCAATGTATCTATTCAATTGTACGTCACATCCGGTACAGATTCTTGTCCAAGCAGGCCAAGAAGATGAAATTTTCGTCCAATTAAGTATTTTGAATTTGCAAATGTTAATAAAATTCATTGGACTACCTAAACCTTGACCCTGATATGGACACTCTAACGTCTATGGATAATTTTTCAGTGCTGCAATTGTAATTGGATTTACCTTCAATGGAAAAACCAGTGATGGAGTTCATCAGTTCCGCAAATCTGTCAATGATTTGCGAAGTGATATTTCTATTGCCGCCAACAAAGTAAGTCGTTGAAGTAACATAAGTTATCTCAATTTAGTATGACAGTATTTGACTCAAGGTCAAATTTATATGTCTAGGGAAACAAGATGGTCTCTACTTTGTCTGAAACTATCGATTATATAAATGAGCTGAAGAGTTATCCTTACCATTATCCAGCCGCCGAGAAAGCTTTCATTGACTGTACAACCTTGCATAAAAATCTCCTGTCTGTCGATCAGCTGTTGCCGATGACTGTTGTTAATGAAAGTTGTACTGTTGGCAAAAAGTTTCACCATTTTGATAATTTTAGGTAAAAAATTTAGTCATCTAACAAATCTTCATATTTTAAAGTTTATGGCTTAAGTATAAAGATCTCTTGATTCTTATGTCATAGTGAGAATGGTACATAAGAAATCAATGTACTTGATCTTTTTATACTTATGTCATAGTGAAGATGGTACATAAGAAATCAATGTGCTTGATCTCCTTATACTTATGTCATAGTGAAGATGGTACATAAGAAACCAATGTACTTGATCTCCTTATACTTATGTCATAGTGAGAATGGTACATAAGAAATCAATGTACTTGATCTCCTTATACTTATGTCATAGTGAGAATGGTACATAAGAAATCAATGTACTTGATCTCCTTATACTTATGTCATAGTAAGGATGGTACATAAGAAATCAATGTACTTGATCTCCTTATACTTGTGTCATAGTGAGGATGGTACATAAGAAATCAATGTTCTTGATCTACTTGTACTTATGTCATAGTGAAGATGGTACATAAGAAATCAATGTACTTGATCTCTTTATACTTATGTCATAGTGAAGATGGTACATAAGAAATCAATGTACTTGATGTCCTTATATTTATGTCATAGTGAAGATGGTACATAAGAAATCAATGTACTTGATCTCCTTATACTTATGTCATAGTGAGGATGGTACATAAGAAATCAATGTACTTGATCTCCTTATACTTATGTCATAGTGAGGATGGTACATAAGAAATCAATGTACTTGATCTCCTTATACTTATGTCATAGTAAGGATGGTACATAAGAAATCAATGTACTTGATCTCCTTATACTTATGTCATAGTGAGGATGGTACAAAAGAAATCAATGTTCTTGATCTCTTTATACTTATGTCATAGTGAGGATGGTACATAAGGAATCAATGTACTTGATGTCCTTATATTTATGTCATAGTGAAGATGGTATATAAGAAATCAATGTACTTGATCTCTTTATACTTATGTCATAGTGAAGATGGTACATAAGGAATCAATGTACTTGATGTCCTTATATTTATGTCATAGTGAAGATGGTATATAAGAAATCAATGTACTTGATCTCCTTATACTTATGTCATAGTGAGGATGGTACATAAGAAATCAATGTACTTGATCTCCTTATACTTATGTCATAGTGAGAATGGTACATAAGAAATCAATGTACTTGATCTCCTTATACTTATGTCATAGTGAGGATGGTACATAAGAAATCAATGTACTTGATCTCCTTATACTTATGTCATAGTGAGGATGGTACATAAGAAATCAATGTACTTGATCTCCTTATACTTATGTCATAGTGAGGATGGTACATAAGAAATCAATGTACTTGATCTCCTTATACTTATGTCATAGTAAGGATGGTACATAAGAAATCAATGTACTTGATCTCCTTATACTTATGTCATAGTGAGGATGGTACATAAGAAATCAATGTACTTGATCTCCTTATACTTATGTCATAGTGAGGATGGTACAAAAGAAATCAATGTTCTTGATCTCTTTATACTTATGTCATAGTGAAGATGGTACATAAGGAATCAATGTACTTGATGTCCTTATATTCATGTCATAGTGAAGATGGTACATAAGAAATCAATGTACTTGATCTCCTTATACTTATGTCATAGTGAGGATGGTACATAAGAAATCAATGTACTTGATCTCCTTATACTTATGTCATAGTGAAGATGGTACATAAGAAATCAATGTACTTGATCTCCTTATACTTATGTCATAAGGATGGTACATAAGAAATCAATGTACTTGATCTCCTTATACTTATGTCATAGTGAGGATGGTACATAAGAAATCAATGTACTTGATCTCTTTATACTTATGTCATAGTGAAGATGGTACATAAGAAATCAATGTACTTGATGTCCTTATATTCATGTCATAGTGAAGATGGTACATAAGAAATCAATGTACTTGATCTCCTTATACTTATGTCATAGTGAGGATGGTACATAAGAAATCAATGTACTTGATCTTCTTATATTTATGTCATAGTGAAGATGGTACATAAGAAATCAATGTACTTTATCTCCTTATACCTATGTCATAGTGAGGATGGTACATAAGAAATCAATGTACTTGATCTCCTTATACTTATGTCATAGTGAGGATGGTACATAAGAAATCAATGTACTTGATCTCCTTATATTTATGTCATAGTGAGGAAGGTACATCAGAAATCAATGTACTAGATCTCCAAAACATAAATTAGACAATATACTGATTATTTTAGATGGTTGACAACAGTGGTGTTGTTGTCTTGGTCTATACTTTTGTGCATCTTCTTGTTCTGGCTTAGTTGTCACGTCAACGGTTGCATTATTTTCTTGTAAGTATGTGAAAACACAATTTTTTGATTAACCCAACTTTTTCATGTAAATCTTATCATCAATGTTTCAGGGCATCAATATTTTGTCTTATGTCAGTTTTGTTTTTCTGGTCTGCTACTGGTGTAAATGTTGGCATAGCAACGGTACTGTGTTTAACCAGAGAGTTGTTTGTTCTACACAATAGATTGTTTTTCATTTGGTTGCATTAAGATTTTAAGAAGTTGTGCAAGTGATGTTTTTAGTCATGTTGAGATGGGACTTTATCTCCTTTTTTGAGTTGGCTTTTTTCCTTTATAGGGAATTGGTGATTTTTGTGTTCATCCGAAGGAATCTGTTGAAACAATCAGTGGAGCCAACCAATGTAAGATCTTTATTGAGTACATATATTTTCATGTTTATTCAGTACAGTGGAACTGGGGGTTCCAACTGGTACGTCGGGGGTGATTGGTGACTGCACCTCAACATTTCAAATACCTAAGTCTTTATATATGTAACTTGAAAATGTCAATGATGTCAAACTATGCATAATAAATGTAAGTGACATTTGGGGGTGTTACCCCCTCCCCCAAAGTACAAATCTGCTGGCACCACCTGGAATCCTGAAGATTTGATAACCATCGGCCTAAAATGTTTACATTTGTCTTTATGTCCGCACTTCTCAATGTTTTGCCAAAAAGTTTCATTCTTCATTTATGTGTTAGGGAAAAATGAGATGCGGTATATTCCTGAATCTTTCTAGTTTCAATTGCATTATGCAGTTTCAAAAAACTGAGTTTGTTAGGATCGTGTGGGATTCAGAATAAATTAATGAAATTATAGCATCATGTTTTGCTCAAGTTTAAATTCAAAATGTCTTCAAATCAATCATAGTTGTTTTTGTGATTTTCCAAAAATTTATTTGCTGTTATCGAGTTTTTACATGTTTGTAAATGTAGATCGTCCAGGTTGGTATAGTCCTGAGAAGGACTGTTTTTGTTGTTGTTGACTGACGTTTCGACAACCTTAGCGGTAGTCATCTTCAGAGTCAAAAAGAGTTCATTCGATCTACATTTACAAACATGTAACGATACTCCCGGGTTCAAACCATTTACTTTATCGAGTTTTTATTGATAAAATTTCTACATTATTAGGTTAAACTATCGTTTGTTTGTTTACAAGATCAGTTTGTTGTTTTCATTTGAATGAGCACAAGTATTATCAGCAACGTGTGCACGGGATGGCCTCCGTAAAATGTTTTCCTCCCTATACAAATCACTCGTCTTGTTGAAAGCGCGTTATTATACGAATTTATGTAATATCGTTTTGCTTGCTTCCATCATCGCGATGAATACTTTAAAGAATAAATTACACCATTTATGTAAAATTAAACTCAATTCCCACAGGTACAATAACGTCAAGAATGATTTGTTTAGGGGGGAGGGATTTTTTTGTGATACCCTGTATATTACATATCTTGATTTAACTTCTCCCAGCAAAACATGCGCACTAATGCACGAGTGGATTAGCATTGTGACGAGGAATTGAAATTTTTTCTATGCGTCAATTTCTAAAAGTTTTTTTATACATCCTGTAGCTATTGTTTAGCTTATCGTCTCATCAAAACTTCTTGATATGAATCTAATTTCTTTCGTTGCAGTGGTCGTCTCCTACTACATGGACTGTAACAACTCAACCAATCCATTTGAAGGGGTAATAATTTGGTCAAAGAAACTTTAGTTGAACTATAATATTTTGTTTGGTCTTTTCTTTCATTGACTAATTCAAGCAAATAAACTCCTTCGTTAAATAAACATCGTGAACATTATTGTCACCTTTGTTTTTATTCAAAGCATTTATTTACGATTGTCAGTGACGGCATTTCAAGAACCCCGCGTTGAAAAACAAATATAAGTCAATCTAAACCTGTCAGGGAATATGGTAGTATTCCAAAGTATTCCATTTGACTCTGAAGATGACTGCCGCTAAGGTTGTCGAAACGTCAGTCAACAACAACAAAAACAGTCCTTCTCAGGACTCTACTAACCTGGACGATCTACATCTACAAACATGTAACGATACTCTCTGATTCAAACCACTATTTATTACCAGAGAGTAATTATGTATTTATTTTCGTAAAGACTATAAAATGCCCTTACACCATAGTATTACGTATAAAGTCAGTACTAGTGACTTTATACCTAGTCAACTGGTATCCATTTCTTAGTCAACTGGTATCCATTTTGTTCTTCTTCGCCACATCTATTAAATATTTGATGTTCCATTGTAAATAATCGACGTCGAACGGTTTCGTTTTTAGAATTTCATGATGTCAACCGTTTTTTCCAGTATTTGCGCCGCAAACAACGGAGAATTTCTCATGTTGAACGGCGTCTCCTACCTTGTCTTCCGAGGAACAATTTGTCTTCAAATGTTTCATTGTGTAGATATCTACATCTACAAACTTTTATTTTTAATGTTGACAATAAACACTCCCGTCTGTTTACTGATAAAAATGGCGTTTAAAACATGAATTTTTCAATGCGGTATGCATTAGAGGAAGGCGTTTCGGTATGGTAGCATTCCAAAGTATTCCAAAAACGGAAATATTTCATCCTAGGATTTAATACACAACGCATTAGATTCGGCAGGGTTGTCTCCGTTGTGTTTGTACTACGTTAACTATGTCTGTGTTGGTGTTGAATGTTATAGTGCCATGTGTATTTTTAACTTTTAAATGGTTGTGTTTTTCTCTCTATAGAACCTGAGTGATGTCAGGTACATTTTACAACACGTGATCTACTTGATTGGTAACATTCCTGATTCGTCTTTACATGTAAAGGTTGGTGCTTTGATAACGTTGATACATCTTTAGTGCGATTTAGTTGGTCAGCGGTTTTCCTAGTTCGAAAATGCCGACATACCTATCCATCATGGCATTCGTTAAATTGTTACAACAAACTGCATCAGTTGTGTATAATTTTAATAAAAAACTTCATTTTTAGAATCTTAAATCGTCCATTTTGAGTAATGAAAAATTTCGATGTTTTTAGAATCTGAAATCGTCCATTTTGAATAATCTGATTGATGTATCGTACAATTTTCCTCTGTATGAAGCAAGTTTTACTTGTTTCAAGATTCATCAGGTATTTTGCCATCTCCTAAATCTAAATTTTCTGACTGCTAATGTGATTTGTACTAGTAAAAAACTTCGGATATATTATCAGTCTAACAGCAATTTTTAGTTTGTCACACTAAAAATTACGTCACCGACGGAAATTTTCAATATTTTGTTGATGGCGGAGCATTGAGAATTAGTAGGCTCTCGGCCAATCACAATTGAGATTGCATTATTATAGATTGAATTGTACCACCATCACCCCATCTCCCCCCCTCCGACGCTCCTGGATGATTCATTATTACACTGCAGAATAAAATATGCAGTTTAACTACTTCAGCTAACGTTAGCTCCACCTATAGTTCATTTCTTAGAATGTTCGTTGGATTTAGAAATAAATCTAGATTTTTTTTTATTTTCCATCCAGAAATACATGAACGCAATGGAAGGCATTTGTGAGAAATCTTTGTAAGTACCAACGGATGATTATAAATGAAAATTATGTTTTCTAGTGTGCTACTGTTTTGCATCTTGCTAATGGAATACTTCCATTCATGGCGCACGATATGACTGGTTTTAAAGAATATTTGTCAATACAGAGACAGCCGTGTTGTTTATCTAACCGCTACACTTTACCATGAAGCGTTTTCATGTCTATTCCACACAACGAGTGGAACTCAAAATCGGCCATCAATTTAACAAAAAGCGAACCAGTGGAAAGCAAACTTCCTGTGAAAACAGTTTTGTGTTCTCTCAATGAAAAACAACGAATGGTGCTAAATTTGTCAAAAATGAATAATTTGTGGTTGTTATATATTCTTATGCCCGTTTCAAACCTCGCATTTTACACGCGCCGAATGCATTGAAAAAGGAGAAAGTTCCTCATTATCTTGTGTTTTAAATGCATTCGGCTCATGTAAAATGCGACGTTTGAAGCAGGCCTTACTGTCATATGCAATACCACTTGCTTAAAAGGATCGCAAATTAATTATTGTTGTCGTTGTTCTTGATTTAAGCCATCTGCTGGTAAACCACAAACGTGAAAAAAGACTGAAAATGCGACAGTAATTGCAGTGAAAAAGTTTTTATAGGCTCAGGCAAAGTTTGTACACTACATTAACTTTGTAATGGCAAAAATGCTAAAGCATAATTTAAGTCTATAAAAAACCGAACAAAAATCATGTCATGCGCAAATGTAATGCTGCGCAAATAGGTCCTTTATAAGTTGCGCCGGAATAAGTCACATTAAACTAAAACCGAACAAAAATCATGTCATGTGCAAATGTAATGCTGCGCAAATAGGTCCTTTATAAGTTGCGCCGGAATAAGTCACATTAAACTAAAACCGAACGATTATAAATGTCACGCCAATTTTAAAACAAATTACTTCCATAAACTTGGTTTTCAAATGGAAAGCAATACTGCAAGAGGAAGTCTTTGCGTTGAACATTGTACGAGCAATGTTCAATTGTTTAATTTATATTTATAGAAACAGCCTTGGGATTTTAACAATATGTCTTGTTGTTCTTGCGTTTGTATCTGGTCTGTTGACGTGTTGTACTTGCTCCATGTGGGATCATCGTAAAGACCGTCCCGTCATGTTCAGGTGCGCGTTTTATAGCCATAAATCAATTCAGCTGTAACATAATCAGTCAGCTGGCATCTGCCTATATTTATATTCAGGGTTTGTTATTGGTTTAAAGCAGGGGTCTCCAAACTACGGCCCGCGGGCCAGATGCGGCCCGTTAGGCCTCTCAATCCGGCCCGCAGTGACACTTAAGAAAAAAAGTAATAATATTAAACAAAATAAACTTTGTGCAGAAAGTTCACGTTATGACTCAAGCCAACTAGCAAGAGTGGCTTACATCAATTTTTGACCCAACTTCCTACTTCCGTTTCAAGCGCATTGCAAAATTTAAAAAGCTGAAGGATAAAGTGGAAATTTTTTATATTTCAATGCTTCATAATGGCCGATAAAAGAAAAAAAAGTAGATGATGAATGTCGGCGATTTTAAGAAGAGTGAAGTGTAAAATACTTCTTCATCGCTCTTTGACCAGCGGTATACGGTTCGTCGGCCCTCAACATGCTGGATGAAAGTTCATGTGGCCCTCTGCCTGTAAAGTTTGGAGACCACTGGTTTAAAGTACAATAAAATACAATACAGGGGCCGGTTGCACGAAGCCTGGATAGCGTAATCCATTGGATAGTGAAAATTCTCAAACTTGTAAAAAAGGTGTTTATATTTTTCTTACGACAAAGAAGTTTCGTAACCTTGAAAACAATTTTTTATTTCAGTGATTGCACAGTTAAAGTCGCATATTTATAAGAGATTTTATGAACGTTGAGAAAAATTTTCTATCCAGTGGATAACGCTATCCAGGTTTCGTGCAACAGACCCCAGTACAGTAATGAATGATTAATCTAAAGAAAGAGTTTTAAATATACATTGCTATTGTCTGATTGACCCGTTTTTAGGGCCTGTTTATATGGAGCCGAGTTACCCGGCCAGGCGATTATCTCGGCAGCGCCGAGTTCTCGTCTGTTCTATAAATCCTGTGATTAACTCGTATGACTGTTTATATGACATCCGGAGTAACTCGTCTAGCCAGATAACTCGTCTTGCTGAGTTCTTGGGGTAACTCGTCTAGCCAGATAACTCGTCTTGCTGAGTTCTCGGAGTAACTCGTCTAGCCAGATAACTCGTCTTGCTGAGTTCTCGGAGTAACTCGTCTAGCCAGATAACTCGTCTTGCTGAGTTCTCGGAGTAACTCGTCTAGCCAGATAACTCGTCTTGCTGAGTTCTCGGAGTAACTCGTCTAGCCAGATAACTCGTCTTGCTGAGTTCTAGAAGTAACTCGTCTAGCCAGATAACTCGTCTTGCTGAGTTCTCGGAGTAACTCGTCTAGCCAGATAACTCGTCTTGCTGAGTTCTCGGAGTAACTCGTCTAGCCAGATAACTCGTCTTGCTGAGTTCTCGGAGTAACTCGTCTAGCCAGGTAACTCGTCTTGCTGAGTTCTCGGAGTAACTCGTCTAGCCAGATAACTCGTCTTGCTGAGTTCTCGGAGTAACTCGTCTAGCCAGATAACTCATCTTGCTGAGTTCTCGGAGTAACTCGTCTAGCCAGATAACTCGTCTTGCTGAGTTCTCGGAGTAACTCGTCTAGCCACATAACTCGTCTTGCTGAGTTCTCGGAGTAACTCGTCTGGCCAGATAACTCGTCTTGCTGAGTTCTCGGAGTAACTCGTCTAGCCAGATAACTCGTCTCGCCTTTTTTATCAATAAACTCACTGATGGAAATATCAAATTTGGCCCTTTCATGTCAATTGAAATCACGACTGTTCTATATTTCACGACTATCTCTATAAGAGAAATTTTGGCTTTTTGTGCATATTTTTGCATTAATTGCATGAGATAAATGCATTAATTATGCACCACGAAGAGTTGGTATATTTGATAATTAATAGTTATTATGCAAGATTAATATCATCGAAAAGTGAATAATTAGGTTGTTTCATTTAGTGATAAAGAAGATTCACCCGAGAGTGTCAAAGAAGCGGCTTTGTGGTGGCCTCGTGATGTTGATTACGAGTTAGTATTTAAAATATTTATTTATAGCTTTGCGAAATGTTCGTAACCTAATTTACCTACACTATTCCAGTCTTCCTCACTGCAAAAGCAGAAGATATTGAAATGAACACTGGCCTATGTGGTCGATTGCACAAAGCCTGGATAGCGTTATCCATTGGATAGTAAATTTTTCAAACTTGTAAAAGATGTGTTTATACTTTCGTTACAGCAAAGAAATTTTGTAATCTTAGTAGCAATATTTCATTTAAGTAACTGCTAAGTTCAAACCTTATATTATTCATTTTAAAAAGTTTTTTAACCGTTTAAAGCATTTTGCTATCCAATGGATAACGCTATCAATACCTCGTACAACCTACTCCTGGTATTTACACGGCATGAATAAATTGCGGGCTGCCTACTTTATTAGCCCAGCATCATGCTTAATGTTTTTAGAATGTTTTGTGTGTAGCTATCAGGTAATGGCTTATTTGTTTTGAGTTCAATACAGCAAACTATGGATTTTTAGCTATCCGAAAAAACCCAATTCACTATTAACTTTTGAAAATAGTTCTAAAGATAGCAAATACCATAGTGAATGGTAAAAGTAATATAATAAGTTGATAGTTCTTAAATGAACTGTTTTAAGTAAAGAGCACTAACCCAATAGTTCTAAAATAAATGTTATGAAATTAAACGACACGATGCATTGCGGCAGACTACTCCTCAGGTGTCAACGTCTGCTAAATGAAAATATAAAATCTACCGATATTTATAATGCCAATAAAGTGTGTGCGTCATCTCCAAAAGGGGAGATGACGCTAAAAACAAGGATAAATTAAAAACATAATCCTTATGTCGGCAGAGGACCGGGATTGGTTAACTTAATTAAAACAGACTCCATGACGCGTAACTGAAAGAATGAAGGAAATGAAATATTTGAATGAATGATTTGAGATCATCCTCAATCAACTCCTCTGATGACAGTCTAAGTGTTCGCTTTATTAAACACTTTACTAAAGAAATCTTTTCTCTGTGTGAAGAAAAAGAGTCAAAGCGTGTGTACAAACCCGTAAAAGTTGCCTTGCGATGAATGCTTGTGAGGAATTGACCATTGCGTTTATGGACAAGAACACCCAAAAACGCTAACTGACAAATTGATTCATGTTCAGACGTATAGTTTAAAGAAGGGTGAAGAGAACAGAGTTTATGTTAAAATAATTGCCGATTTTTGTTGTTACGAGAAAGGGAAAAGGTGTCGTCAACGTAACGTTTATATCAAAGCACTTCCGGAGGTTCAGAAGAGACAAACATCTTACACTCATAATAGCCTACAAAAAGATTGGCAAGTACTGGTCCAAGAGGAGAACCCATAGCCACCCCATCAATTTGTTTGTACATGATATATTTGAAACTAGACTCAACTCCTCTAGTGGCCGCTAACATTAATTCTCTAAAAGCCTCCTCGGACATGTGTGATACAGCAATGTCCGAGTGAAAAAGATCATCTACACAGATTTCGATGGTTTCTTCTAAGGGCACATATGTAAAAAAGACTGGTTACATCAAAACTATTGGGTTAGTGCTCTTCAAGAACTATCAGTTCTTTTAAGAAATATCAACTTATTATGTTACTTTTACCATTCACTATGGTATTTGCTATCTTTAGAACTATTTTCAGATTTGTCACCACGACAAAGTCTCTATTTTATTATGAACTTTTATTATATGGCAAGCGTCACTTCCGGCTAAATGGCGCGCTTTGATTGGCTCAGAAACATTTTTGCCGGTCCATTATTTTCCCGTAATCGACCACGGTCCAAAACGTGTAATTTTACAGTCAAATGTAAACAAACTTCGTAATGCAAACCGTAAAACGTAAAAACGAAACAAAAAACCATTTACGAATGTGACTCGAAAGAAAAAACACATGGAAAGCATTTAACTATCCAGACGATACAATTTGAAACGATTTATTTTTTATGGACGAAAACTTGAAAAAGCGAAAGCCAACCCGTAAAAACGGCAAGGACGAGAAAGAAAGCAAGCTTCGTTTCAGGTCAAATAATGCCATAAAATAAACCTTTTAATAACCTCGCTCTCTCGGTCTTTACTGAGAAATATCGGACCTCTGTCTTTTTGTACAAACCTTGCACTACGGGTTATTTCTCCGTAAAGACCTCGCGCTCGGTTAGTAAGGGCTTATTATTTTGTATGAATGTTTTATGCAGTGCGGTGTTTTGAAATTAAATGAAGATTTGATCTTCGCACTTTTGCTGGACAATTGCCGTACAATCGCTAAGACGATTGCTTAAATTGTCCAGCAAAAGTGCGAAGATCAAATCTTCATTTAAGCTTATTATTTTGTTGTTGTTTTTTTTTTGTACAGATCTGATGAAATATATGATGAACCGCAAAGGGAAGACACTCAAAACAATGAAAGAACGCCTTTAATGATTTCATCAGTTTACAGAAGTGTAAGATGAAGTATCCTTCATTAGCTTTCGTCACCAAAATACGCACAACTAGCACAATAATCAGTGTAGCCATACTTTCTCAGAGTATATTACACAGTTCCTAAAAATGAAAATATTTCCACTTAATCTCAAAAACGGCCCTCGGTCTACGGCCTCGGGCCGTTTTTAAGACCTCGTGACTCTCATCTGGTGAATATAAGTAGAGGAAATATTGAATATTAAATGAAGTATTTCAAATTTCCTTTGTTTACTTCTTAGGTACATGAACAAGAGACTCCAACTCATCCTCAGAATAACGTAAATGCGATACACGTCAACTACCACGGCCATGGTGGAGCGCCTTCATATAATTGTAACGTCGAAGGGAGCAGTAGTTTTTAGAACTTTTTCATGTCACGTGACGTTTTAGAATTTAGTTTGACCAGAGAAGGTTATATCTGTATACGTTGCTAAGAGATGAAGCATTGTGGGTATGGGAGGTGATCTTGACTTCCAATTACATGACAATGATTTCCAAGAATTGGCAACTCTTGGTAATAAGTCAGTCACAGTCCACGGACCGCGCACTATTGATAAATGAGGGGGCTGGGGCAATATTCATAAGTTCATGTTCTACTTTAATAATTATCAATTGTGGTTAAAAATCACGAATATATGAATATGTACCCCCTTCCCCTCATGTATCGATTTTGCGCAGCATCTGCAGTGAACTGTTATATCAACTGAAATAATAATTCCATAAAACGCTCTTTGATTAGATGGGCGCTCTGCAAACGCCTGGGAACATCTGCAGTACTGATAAAATATAACAATTTGGATGAGATACATGATACAACGTTCAAATTCATATATAGGTCAGTGAGACAACTCGGGAAAGAGTGATTTTCACACTGAATCAAACACAACCAGTTTCATCCAGGTTTACCGAGTTGCGTTATTGTTTATTCTTAAATTTAGTCCTGCTTTGTACAATGTTCTGTGTTCACTTTTTGCAAATTATCTATAAAAATAAAGAATAATGTGTGCAAACCGGGGTACGTGACAACTCGGCCCATGTGATTACTGCCCGCTAGTTGAACTGCGGGAGCCTTGCAGGCCAAAATATCAAACTTCCTTAAATTCGGGTCACGCTCATCATGTTGAATTTGTTGATGCTTCACTGCAGTTCTTAGAATATCAGAAATAGAAAGAGAAAGCGTTTGTAGAAATTGATACATAAGTGTAGCACGTGGAGACGGTTGTGAAGCCTACAAATAATGGCGCTCTTTTCTGATTATTCCATGGGTCCTTATGTGGCTTCCAGTTTAGCGAAATGGTTTCATTCTGCTCCACATGAAGACCTAGATCTCTCGGATACAACGACCATATTTTCTCCGGGTGAAAAATCGTACAGAGAGGTAAGATGTACAAATCATATTCTTTGTTGTCTAGTTTAAGCTGTAACTTTGTCGAGTAAGGTGCTTGCATTCTTGTCATTTGAATGAATTTTCTTGAATGTGTATCCATGGAAATACCGTTTTTGTGAGGAGCAATAAACACTGAAATTATTGAATGTCCTGCAAATTAAAAATTTCAAGCTGGAATATTATTATATATTGCATTAACTATTGAATGAGAAATTCACGCAAATCCCAAATAAACAAAATAGAGTTGGCAATGGCCAAACATGTGATATTCATGCAGTATATCTTTTAATTTCCACAGGCGCTTTTTGTCATTGCACTATTCATAGCATGTTTTGGTGCATTGATTTTCCTTTTGATGGTGGCTTACTACATTTGCTGTTTCCGTGTCTGCATCTCAAGAAAGACAAGAAGGCAAAATGAGTCTTTCTGCTGCTCAAAACCTGCTCTACAGTTTCAAGTCTTTATTTTTGGGCTTATTTGCAGGTAAATACAGCCAAAATAGCTTGTGTTTTATGTTTTAAAAATGGCTGTTATGTACTAAAATATATCATCATCAACATACATTGAAAATATACAACCTTTGACCTATGCGCAAGTTTCTGATTGGTTAAAATAGATTTAGTACAAAGAATCATTTAGCCAGCACACCTAAGTATAACATAACAGACTCTATCGTTAATTTTTCAGTGCTGCTATTGTCTGTGGATTTTGGTTCAATGGAAAGACCAGTGATGGCGTTGACCAATTTAGAAATTCTGTTGATGATTTGCAAAGTGATATCTCTACTGCTGCCAACCAAGTAAGTTCATTGAAACCACATAATTCAACTGAATGTTGACAATTTAATTTTTACCAAGAATTTTTTTTGTTCAGTGGTGAATACAGCAAGGATTTTTTAGGGAGGTGCTTGGCTTAGTCATCAGCAAAATCTATAATTATTTATGAACGCACTCATTATTAAAAGTTGATAATAGTTCCTATTTTGGTCTACAAAATAAACATTATTGACAATTGATAAACTTTATTGATATTAAGGCTTTTTCCATTAAAAGTAGGATGGATTCAGGTGAGCACCCCTTCCCTCCCACCCGATAAGTTCACGCTGTTTTGTTATTTTAATAAATGATAATGTTTATGACCACACATCTAGGGAGACAAGATGTTAGGTACTATCAGTCGCACTCTTAATTATATATATGACCTGGAGAATTATGATTATCAAGTTGCTGTGACAGCTTACAATAACTGTACAATCTTGCAAGAAGATCTTCTATATGTCAATCAACTGTTACCTGTCGATGTTATGCATGCAAGCAGTGATGTTGGCAAGAAAGTTCACCATTTTGATAATATTAGGTAAAAATTTAGTGATCTAATTAATCTTTGTATTTTAATGTCATAGCAAGAATGGTATGTGTAAGAAATCAATGTACTTGATCTCCTTGTACTTATGTCATAGTGAGGATGGTACATAAGAAATCAATGTACTTGATCTCCTTATACTTATGTCATAGTGAGGATGGTACATAAGAAATCAATGTACTTGATCTCCTTATACTTATGTCATAGTGAGGATGGTACATAAGAAATCAATGTACTTGATCTCCTTATATTTATGTCATAGTGAAGATGGTACATAAGAAATCAATGTACTTGATCTCCTTATACTTATGTCATAGTGAAGATGGTACATAAGAAATCAATGTACTTGATCTCTTTATACTTATGTCATATTGAGGATGGTACATAAGAAATCAATGTACTTGATCTCTTTATACTTATGTCATAGTGAGGATGGTACATAAGAAATCAATGTACTTGATCTCTTTATACTTATGTCATAGTGAGGATGGTACATAAGAAATCAATGTACTTGATCTCCTTATACTTATGTCATAGTGAAGATGGTACATAAGAAATCAATGTACTTGATCTCTTTATACTTATGTCATAGTGAGGATGGTACATAAGAAATCAATGTACTTGATCTCTTTATACTTATGTCATAGTGAGGATGGTACATAAGAAATCAATGTACTTGATCTCCTTATACTTAGGTCATAGTGAGAATGGTACATAAGAAATCAATGTACTTGATCTCCATATATTTATGTCATAGTGAGAATGGTACATAAGAAATCAATGTACTTGATCTCCTTATACTTATGTCATAGTGAGGATGGTACATAAGAAATTAATGTACTTGATCTCTTTATACTTATGTCATAGTGAGGATGATACATAAGAAATCAATGTACTTGATGTCCTTATACTTATGTCATAGTGAGGATGGTACATAAGAAATCAATGTACTTGATCTCCTTATACTTATGTCATAGTGAGGATGGTACATAAGAAATCAATGTACTTGATCTCCTTATACTTATGTCATAGTGAGAATGGTACATAAGAAATCACTGTACTTGATCTCCATTTATTTATGTCATAGTGAGAATGGTACATAAGAAATCAATGTACTTGATCTCCTTATACTTATGTCATAGTGAGGATGGTACATAAGAAATCAATGTACTTGATCTACTTATACTTATGTCATAGTGAGGATGGTACATAAGAAATCAATGTACTTGATCTACTTATACTTATGTCATAGTGAGGATGGTACATAAGAAATCAATGTACTTGATCTACTTATACTTTTGTCATAGTGAGGATGGTACATAAGAAATCAATGTACTTGATCTCCTTATACTTATGTCATAGTGAAGATGGTACATAAGAAATCAATGTACTTGATCTACTTATACTTATGTCATAGTGAGGATGGTACATAAGAAATCAATGTACTTGATTTACTTATACTTATGTCATAGTGAGAATGGTACGTAAGAAATCAATGTACTTGATCTCCTTATACTTATGTCAGAGTGAGAATGGTACATAAGAAATCATTGTACTTGATCTACTTATACTTATGTCATAGTGAGGATGGTACATTAGAAATCAATGTACTTGATCTCCAAAACATAAATTACACAATATATATGATTATTTTAGATGGTTGATAACAGTGGTGTTGTTGTCTTGGTCTATACTTCTTTGTATCTTCTTATTTTGGCTTAGTTGTCAAGTCAACGGTTGCATTATTTTCTTGTAAGTATGTGAAAACACAATTTTTTGATCAACCCAACTTTTAACTCAACTTATCAACCATGCTTTAGGGCATCAATATTTTGTCTTTTGTCTGTTCTGTTGATGTGGACTGCGACTGGTGCAAATGTTGGCATAGCAACGGTTTGTGTTCAACCAAAGAGTTGTTAGTATTATTGGCATCATGTTGCATAATACATTACGAAACATTGGGTTGCATTAAAATTTTATGAACTTGTAAAAAAAGTTTTGTTTTTAGCATAGATGGATTTTTACAGGGTTGTGCTAAAAAAATTTTTGGCGGTGAGTGAGTAAGAAAGGGACATACAACAAAGTAAGGGAGTTAGGATTCTTGTGACAGTTAAGTACTATAGCCACCAAAGTTAGTATGCAAAGTTGAAACATTACCCAGAAAAACTCAATTCAAACATACTACTGATTTTTTTTGCTAAGAATTGAGGGAGTGTGTTTGAATGTTTTTTATTTAAGAGTTGAACAATTTCTTCTAGGGGGGTGTGAAATGTGATATTTGTTCACACCTTTGCATCCCTCCCCCCTGAGAAAATTAACCATGGTTGTTAGTCGTGTGGAGATGGCACTTTTTAAATTGGCTTTTTTCTCAATAGGGAGCAGGTGATTTTTGTGTTCATCCAAAGGAATCTGTTGAAACAATCAGTGGAGCCAACAAATGTAAGATCTTTATCAAGTACATATATATCCATAAATATCCATGTTTATTCAATAATATATATGTATTTTATAATAAAACATTAAAACGTTTTCACTGATTGGTCTATAGCTGAGTTTTCACTGATTGGTCCATAGCTGAGTATTCACTGATTCGTCTATAGCTGAGTTTTCACTGATTGGTCTATAGCTGAGGTTTCACTGATTGGTCTATAGCTGAGTTTTCACTGATTGGTCTATAGCTGAGTATTCACTGATTGGTCTATAGCTGAGTTTTCACTGATTGGTCTATAGCTGAGGTTTCACTGATTGGTCTATAGCTGAGGTTTCACTGATTGGTCTATAGCTGAGTTTTCACTGATTGGTCTATAGCTGAGTATTCACTGATTGGTCTATAGCTGAGTTTTCACTGATTGGTCTATAGCTGAGTTTTCACTGATTGGTCTATAGCTGAGTTTTCACTGATTGGTCTATAGCTGAGTATTCACTGATTGGTCTATAGCTGAGTTTTCACTGATTGGTCTATAGCTGAGTTTTCACTGATTGGTCTATAGCTGAGTTTTCACTGATTGGTCTATAGCTAAGTTTTCACTGATTGGTCTATAGCTGAGTTTTCACTGATTGGTCTATAGCTGAGTTTTCACTGATTGGTCTATAGCTAAGTTTTCACTGATTGGTCTATAGCTGAGTTTTCACTGATTGGTCTATAGCTGAGTTTTCACTGATTGGTCTATAGCTGAGTTTTCATTAGCCTGCGCTAATGTTGTAAACGAGTCTGAGCTCAGTCAGTTAACTCAATGAATTTAAATTTAAAAGAAATAATTAAGACAGGTACAAAAGATGTCTTTTGTGTTTGCACTGGCTTATGTAAACCTAAGAGACGTTTGTAATAGTGCGGAGGCCGGAGCTCCGGCTATTTTTGCCTCCTGGAGCCGGAGTTTTTTCATCTCCGTCAAAACTCCAGCAGCAGTTGTTTGTGCTGCAAAATATTGTCAGACTTCAGTAAGTCTCATCAAAACATTATTGTATGAACGAACGATAAGTATCGGCTAAAATTAAAAAACTTGCATGAAAATAAAACATTTTATGCATGACACAACATGACGCTAGATTGCGTTCACACATGCCAATTTATGATTGGAAGTCGGAGTGCGGAGCCTTAGTTTTGCACTGATTTGCTCTCGAGTCTGTATAAATTGAATGAAATTATAGAATTATATTTGTTCAAATATAAGTTTAAAATGTGTTCATAAAATAGTTCTTGGTTTATGAATTTCAAAAAATCGGTAAATTTATTGCTGTTACATTGTTTTTTTGATATAATCCTTGACCAAACTGCAATTTCATAAAATGTAAAATACTGAAACACAATCCGAAATAGAACTTCTGGTAACTCAAGTTGAACTCAAGTTGAACTCAAGTTGAACTCAAGTTGAACTCAAACTTGAGTGTACAAGATCTTCTTTTTGTGTTTTATTTTGTTGATATATAATTTGTACGTTATTAAACTAAGTTCATATGTTTCCAACATCAATTACTTTTGTAATTTTCTTTCATTTTTTTTCCATTCAAGAAACACAAAAATATTTGCTAAACCGAATCCAATAATCCGGTCGGATTTCCTTCTATAGCTTGATCCATTAAAACTGCCCGATATGAATAAAATTTCTTTCGTTACAGTGGTCGTCTCCTACTACATGGACTGCAGTGGTGCGTTCGATCCATTTGACGGGGTAATAATTTGATCAAAAAAACTTTTGTAGAATCCTAAAATTTTGTTTGGACTTCACTTTCAGTACCTAATTCAAGCAAATTAACTCATTGAAAAAACGCTGTGGATTTTTTTGTCATAGTGTTTGTCGAAAGCATTTACAACTGTGTGCGATTCAATTCTTTATCATAGACGCATATTCTCCCCAAAAGGGTTTTTTGGGGGGTGTCCTACGTTCTGTAGAACTACACCTAGCTATTTAATGTACATCCCTTCTAATGGTGATGTTTAATCTGAATAGGTATTTAAAAAAAAATATTTCTCCAAATGGAATTTGTTGACATTGATGATCAAGGCGCCATATCTGTTGTCAAATTTTCATCTTGTTTTGGTTATGTTTGTTTTTTCTCTATATATAGAACTTGAGTGATGTCAAGAACAGTTTACATAACGTGATCAACTTGATTAAAAAAATTCCTGATTCGCCTTCTTATGTACAGGTTACTGCTTAGAGACATCTTTTTTATAGTGTAGTTGTACTGGACAGCGGTTTTCCTATTTCAATGAATGTAATATGCTGTTGAGAATATAGTGCAGATAAATGATTTATTAACTACCTTCTAAAGGTGAAGCAAGGACGCCATCTTGAACAGTGGCAAAAAGAAAAACTCTCAGTCAAATGAGAAAGTTTTAAAACCAACCCTATGAAACATTTTGAAAACCGAACTTAGACGAAACAATCATATCCGTTACTTTATGTCGACGTAGAGGCAGATTTTAGTCGTAAAATATCGTCTAAAAATTTTGCCACCTTTCAAGATGGCGGTCTGCATCACTTGTCACAATGGAATTGCGTCATGTATCTTGCATTGTGTGCAGGCAGACCTAGCCGAGACATCATTTGTACATATAGCTGCCATCTGTAAGCTTTATTTTTAAAGTTATATATGTTTTTAGGAACGTAAAATGGCCATTTTGAGTAATCTTTTTGTTGTATCGAAGACTCTCATTCTATATGAAGCTCGTTTTACTTGCTTGAGGATTCATCAGGTATTTTTTCAATTAGAAAATTGTTGTCTCGTTTATATAAATTTTCTAAGTGCTGTTGTTGTGCTACTACGAAAGTATAGTTATATTTTTGGTCTACAAAATGCTGTGCTTGTCTTTAAAGTTTTTAATTCAGTAAAATGTTGTTGGTTCGTAGTGAAGCCAGCCGACTTAAAGATGGTTCTTTAATAATTACATAGCAGGACTAAATCTTCTGGCTGGTGACGCTTTACTGCCCGCGGTCGTTTTCCTACAATTCTTGCGAGCTTAAGAAACAAATCTGAAATCTGTCTTATTATTTTTTATCTAGAAATACATGAACGCGATGGAAGGCATCTGTGAGAAATCTTTGTAAGTACAAGAAAGATTGATTACTGAGGGAGGGGAGGGTAATATTCGTGTGCATTTGATGCCATATTAATTCTTTTGAAATCCATTGTTGTCTACGGATGAACACATGCATACATTTATGTCCCCTCCCTTCATTTATCGATTATCCATAGTACAGAGTGCTATTGATGAAAATATGTTCATAATGTGCTACCTCACTGTGACACTTACCTTACAGTAAAATTTCAGCCCGTCTTTGCCACAGCGGCAACCTTTATATTGTTTAGATACAACTCATAAATTTGGTTTTCAAATGGAAGGCAATGCTGCTATATTAAGCCGAAGTAATTGTGTTGGATTGTGTATTGGCCAAGTTGAATTGTTTAATTTTATTTACAGAAACAGCCTTGGTTTTGTAATAATTTGTCTTGTTGTTCTTGCGTTTGTATCTGGTCTGTTGACGTGTTGTACTTGCTCCTTGTGTGATCATCGTAAAGACCGTCCCGTCATGTTCAGGTGCGCGTTTTATAGCCAAAAATATTCATGCAGTTGTACTATAATGGGAAAATCATTATTTGTATGCAATGCATTTTGTGTTGTAATGCTATTTGAAATCACGAGTTTTTTTATGTTGAATGACATAAACTTTGAAAAGATTGAAGAAGTTGCATGAGTTTAATATAAAATTATGTTTGATGCAATGACGAATTAAGTATATTTAATAATTAATTATGCACTATTAATATTAAAGAAATAAAAGATGTTTACTGTGTTTCCACAGGCTTATGCAAACCAAGGAGACCTTTGGGAGAACTCGAGAGCAGATCAGTGCAAGCCGAAGGTCGAGAGTTCTCACAAACGTCTCTGACGTTTGCGCATGCCTGTGCAAACACGAAAAACATTTTGTATTATAAAATAATGCGAAATAGAAAAATTCGAAACATTAATGTTTTTGTATTTCCTCTTACATGTACAGTAGAACCTGTACCAAGCGACACCGTATTAAGCAGTCACTCTGTTTTTTAAGCGGTCATATGGCAAAGTCTCGAAAATTTCATAGTATAAATACTATTAAAGTGACCTTTATTAAACGGTCACCTCTATTAAGCGGACGCGGTCACCTTTTCCAATGTCCCAAACTTAATTTTTCATTGTTTTGAAACTGTATTAAACGGTCAGGTAAGTAAATACACCCCATAATAAAATATATAATTCAACATTTTTTCTGGAACATGTCATTTATATTGTATACATGTCTTTATATTGTATTTATCTTCCATAATGACTTAAAAGAGCCAACAATATTTTCTGTTTGTGTGGACGATTTACAACAGTAATTAAAACTTTTCTCATGTCCCTTCAGCCATTGACAAGAAAACATATCTCCAAGAAAGGGACATACGCACGGAATTTATAAGTTTTAACCACCTTCTCTGTTGACACGCTTGCCATTGATTATTTTTCAGGAGTTTGAGCCGTGACATTTTTATGTATACTATTTTTAATTTCTAGTTCAAACTATGAAAAAATTGCTTTATATAGTGTTGTTAATTGGCATGTATGTTAAGGAACATTACCGATTTGTTCAACTTTAGCGGTATGAAATATTACACGTAGCCCGTCTGGTACGGTGGCTCACAAGGGCCACCACACAAAATAAAAATATTAATACACACACAAAATACATTATACACACACAAAATAAAAATACACACACAAAATAAAAATCCACACACAAAATAAAAATCCACACGCAAAATACATTATACACACACAAAATACATTATACACACACAAAATAAAAAAACACACACAAAATAAAAATACACACACAAAATATGATTGCGGGCGCTTGCAGTGTCGGATTGTCGGACTATCATATTATCAGTTTGTAATTGTTGTAAATTGTCATGTTATGTTGTGTAGTGTGTGAATATACCGTATGATAAATTGTAAAATGTTTGTCATATATTACTAGACAAATAGGAAAATACGTATATAGTTATTAAACTGTGGTTTCAGTGGAAATCCTGTACGTAAATTCAAAATACTTAGGAGCACTTTTCTACCCAATGTTACGTACAGGATTTGATTTCCAGTTTAATATATACGTATTTTCCTATTTGTCTAGTAATATATGACAAACATTTTACAATTTATCATACATATACACTACACTCATGACAATTTACAACAATTACAAACTGATAATATGATAGTCCGACAATCCGACACTGCAAGCGCCCGCAATCATATTTTGTGTGTATTTTTATTTTGTGTGTATTTTATTTTGTGTGTGTATTTTATTTTGTGTGTTTATTTTTATTTTGTGTGTGTATTTTTATTTTGTGTGTGTATAATGTATTTTGTGTGTGTATTTTTATTTTGTGTGTGTATAATGTATTTTGTGTGTGTATTTTTATTTTGTGTGTGTATTAATATTTTTATTTTGTGTGGTGGCCCTTGTGAGCCACCGTAGTCTGGTGATTATCCTAAATACCTGTATTAAACGGTCACACGAGAAATCCCCAAGGGTGACCGTTTATTACAGTTTCTACTGTAATCATGATTGATCTGTAAATTCTCTTTTATTGATTGATTGATTGATTGATTGATTGATTGATTGGTTGGTTGGTTGATTGATTGATTGATTGATTGGTTGGTTGATTGATTGATTGATTGATTTGATTGGTTGAGCTCAGATCGTTTTTCTCGAGCTAATGCAAAAACTGCTATAGACCAATGACTGCGCCCGTTTCATCGTTTTCAATTTATGATCAAAACATTTCTTATAGAGATATACAAGAGTCACCTGATATATCACGTGATACCGTGGGAAATGCTGTTTTGTGGTTGCCCCATGATGTCGATCATGAGTTAGTATAAATAATACATTAAACATCGACAGTAAAGTGTATTGTTGTAGCGAGAACAGTCTTTACATCGACAGTAAAGTATATTGTTGTAGCGAGAACAGTGTTTACATCGACAGTAAAGTATATTGTTGTAGCGAGAACAGTCTTTACATCGACAGTAAAGTATATTGTTGTAGCGAGAACAGTCTTTACATCGACAGTAAAGTATATTGTTGTAGCAAGAACAGTGTTTACATCGACAGTAAAGTATATTGTTGTAGCGAGAACAGTCTTTACATCGACAGTAAAGTATATTGTTGTAGCAAGAACAGTGTTTACATCGACAGTAAAGTATATTGTTGTAGCGAGAACAGTGTTTACATCGACAGTAAAGTATATTGCTGTAGCAAGAACAGTCTTTACATCGACAGTAAAGTATATTGTTGTAGCAAGAACAGTGTTTACATCGACAGTAAAGTATATTGTTGGAACAGTGTTTACATCGACAGTAAAGTATATTGTTGTAGCAAGAACAGTGTTTACATCGACAGTAAAGTATATTGTTGTAGCGAGAACAGTGTTTACATCGACAGTAAAGTATATTGTTGTAGCGAGAACAGTGTTTACATCGACAGTAAAGTATATTGTTGTAGCGAGAACAGTGTTTACATCGACAGTAAAGTATATTGTTGTAGCGAGAACAGTGTTTACATCGACAGTAAAGTATATTGTTGTAGCGAGAACAGTGTTTACATCGACAGTAAAGTGTATTGTTGTAGCGAGAACAGTGTTTACATTGACAGTAAAGTATATTGTTGTAGCGAGAACAGTCTTTACATTGACAGTAAAGTATATTGTTGTAGCGAGAACAGTGTTTACATCGACAGTAAAGTATATTGTTGTAGCGAGAACAGTGTTTACATTGACAGTAAAGTATATTGTTGTAGTGAGAACAGTGTTTACATCGACAGTAAAGTATATTGTTGTAGCGAGAACAGTCTTTACATCGACAGTAAAGTAAATTGTTGTAGCGAGAACAGTCTTTACATCGACAGTAAAGTATATTGTTGTAGCGAGAACAGTGTTTACATCGACAGTAAAGTATATTGTTGTAGCGAGAACAGTCTTTACATCGACAGTAAAGTGTATTGTTGTAGCGAGAACCGTCTTTACATCGACAGTAAAGTATATTGTTGTAGCGAGAACAGTCTTTACATCGACAGTAAAGTATATTGTTGTAGCGAGAACAGTGTTTTCATGAAAAATTTTTGATTTCAAGCTTTGTTAAATATTCATAAGATTACTTAATCTGCCCGTATTACACAGAGTCATATTGGCGTACATCAAGTATTGTCAATTTAAGTTTACGTCTACAAGGATGCTACTTTGGAGTTCCAAACATCGACTATAATATTATGTTGGCCTATCAAATCAACAAGATAAAGTTAACGAGGCCAGTCTTGAGCCCGCAATGTCATCTAAGTAATTCCGTGTTCGAACCATACAAAACAATAGATGTTGAAATGAATAATGATCTGAAATTTACATAGCAGAACTAAAACTTGACTAGCTGCGGTATTAAAGGAAACCAAGTCAACATTTACGAAGTTTCTCTGAAGCATCAGTGAATTGAACATTTGTTTTGTATTTAATATATTAAACTATGGATCATTACAAGAAAAACCCAACTTAATAGTCACTATTCTCTGTTTTTGTCTTCTGTATAGATCCCATCAATCATTTTATGACCGCCATGATGAGCCGACTGAAAGAACACCTTTGTTATATCCACAGCTTTATCCACATGTAAGAGAAAGTCAATGTCATAAGTTCTTGTAGCGAAAACATCACTTAAAAAAATACGATTCGTGTGATCAGACTTTTCATAGTATATTATCATTTACCAATCATACATAAAATGTCTTATACAATAAACGTCTTATAAATCCTAACACGGTTTTTAATATGCACATGAACAACATGTGGCTTGGACGAGATTTGAACTCGCACCTTTGGGATACCAGTCCGCCTCTCTACCTGTTCAGCTACCAAGCCCACGGGGATTGGAGACGAGTCAAATCTCTTAAAACTACGTATGGACGAGAAGTTCTCGCCATGATAGCAGTTACTGGATGGCACCGTGTTTCGACTTTATTCCTAAGCCATCATCAGAGAGATTATACATAATATAAATCCTAAACGCTTTGTCTTTGTCTCATCAAATATATACATAATTTGTGCAGATGCTGAGAGGTCTCGAAAAGTCCTCAAATTGAAAAAGCATTTTTTATGCCATATCGCAAATTTTTTAGATCAAATTTGGGGAAACTGATGGAACCAGACACAATTGATTGTGGCTAAATTTGTAAAACTGAATGAATCAAGCTTGATAATGAAACAAAGCCGAAATCTTGCTTTAAATCTTGTCTCTTGCTGTTATAACTTGAATCTTGAGTTTACAAGATGATGTTTTTTTAAGTGTCTTTTCTCATTTATTTTCCCCTCATTACTAGGAATTTTAAAATGATATTTTACTAAATATGTAGCTACTGTTTCAAAACAAAAATAACGAACAAAAGCACAGAAACGAGCAACAGTCGTCGGCTGTAATCTATTTTATCTAAAATATCCATAATTCTTGTTCAAATTACGAGTATAAATTTTTCGTAAACTTTAAACGGTTTCGTTAAACTGTTGCTAGGAAGTCCAACCACGTGACTTGTTTGGAGCTCTTTCATTGGATTGAACCAGAACTCGTGCAATACTCAAGCAGAATAATAACGATTTCTTCAAAAGAGTTTTAAAAGAAAAATATCAAAATTTTAACGACAGTTCACAACGTAAAAAGTATGACCATGATTCAATGATGTCGTCGGTCAAACTTTTTTTGGTTACATATTAAGTCTGGTTACTAAATTCAAGGACAATTTAGCGATTTATGCTTGAAATTGGTTTTTTTACGCTTCAAATCAAGCTTGATAACGATTTTAAAATAATGTCGAAATATAGCTTTAAATCTTGTCTCTTGCTGTTATAACTTGAATCTTGAGTTTACAAGATGATGTTTTTGGAGTGATGTTTCTTATTTATTTTTGATATTTTCGGCTGAAAAGGTTTTGAGAAGGAAGTGTTCAGTATTAAGTAAAGTATGTTAAATTCCCTTTTTTCTAGTTACACCAAGAGGAGAATCCACCTCGACAGTTTCAACCTCAACAGCCTCAACCACAACAGCCTCAACCACAACATAACGTCAATGTGATACACGTGAACTATCATGGTGGACCCCCTGCAAATTATGGTGACGTTGAACGCCAAAACAGTTCTTAGAATATTTTTTTATAAACTGCGATACTTAAAGTTAGTTTTGTTTAGAGACAATTGTTTTTGAGATAATACTAAGAAATCTTATAACTGCGATGAAATTAAAAAACAAACAAGGGGCTTGGTTATAGCTAAGAAGATATACAGTTTGCTTGTGTTAAAAAAAGTTCTATCAATGAGCGACTCTCATAACCAGCGCCGTAACTGTATCGGAAAAATCCGTGGTTACGCGACTACTACCGCGAAAAAGGTTTCCCTCAAGTGATTTTTGTGAGGAAAATTCAAGACTGAATAGTCCAATTAACCATATGCGTGTGCCAAAATTTTGTGATTGATGACGTATCGTTTGTGGCACTTTCTGGCTGAGAATGATAAGGAGGTACTTTTGAGCAAAATGTTGAACTAGAGAAAGCCAAACTACAGTTTTTGTTGATTTTACTCAACATAGACTAACGTAATCGACTTGTTAACAACTAAAGAAAACCCAAGGAACATGATTCGTGTAGGTGACGTGACGTCATTTTGAAGAAGGTGTTTAGAACATTAAATCACTAACACCAACACTAAGACTAACACCAACACTAAGATCAACAAACACTAAGACTAACACCAACACTAAGACTAACACCAATACTAAGACTAACACCAGCACTAAGACTAAAGCCAACTTAAGACAAACACCAACACTAACACTAACACCGACACTAAGACTAACACTAAGACTAACACCAACACTAAGAATAACACCAACACTAAAACTAACACCAACACTAAAACTAACACCAACACTAACACTAACACCAACACTAACACTAACAACAACACCAACACTAACACTAAGACTAACACCAACACTAACACCAACACCATCACTAAGACTAACACCAACTTTAAGAATAACACCAGCACTAAGACTAACACCAACACTAACACTAACACCAACGCTAAGACTAACACCAACACTAAGACTAACACCAACACTAAGACTAACACCAACACTAAGACTAACACCAACACTAAGACTAACACCAACACTAAGACTAACACCAACACTAAGACTAACACCAACACTAAGACTAACACCAACACTAAGAATAACACCAGCACTAAGACTAACACCAACACTAAGACCAACACCAACACTAAGAATAACACCAACACTAAGACTAACAACAACACCAACACTAACACCAACACCATCACTAAAACTAACACCAACTTTAAGAATAACACCAGCACTAAGACTAACACCAACACTAACACTAACACCAACACTAACACTAACACCAACACTAAGACTAACACCAACGCTAAGAAACACCAACACTAAGACTAACACCAACACTAAGACTAACACCAACACTAAGACTAACACCAACACTGGACTAACACCAACACTAAGAATAACACCAGCACTAATACTAACCAACACTAAGACCAACACCAACACTAAGACTAACACTAACACTAAGACTAACACCAACTTTAAGAATAACACCAGCACTAAGACTAACACCAACACTAACACCAACACTATGACTAACACCAATACTAAGACTAACACCAACACTGGACTAACACTGGACTAACACCAACACTAACACTAACACCAACACTAAGACTAACACCAACACTAAGACTAACACCAACACTAAGACTAACACCAACACTGGACTAACACCAACACTAAGACTAACACCAACACTAAGACTAACACTAAGACTAACACCAACACTAACACCAACACTAAGACTAACACCAACACGAAGACTAACACCAACACTAAGACTAACACCAACACTAAAACTGACACCAAAACTAAGACTAACACCAACACTAAGACTAACACCAACACCAGCACTAACACTAATACTAACACTAAGGAAGAAAACCGACATTAGGAAGAAAATAGCATTAAGAGTAACACTTGTACAAAGGCCAACAGACCAACCTTGTCTATCCTTTTGTCTATATTTGTGTCCTCCTTTTCGTCAACCTTTGTGTCTACGTACCTTTTTGCCTATCTTAGCTGACCATAACTTATGAATGCTCTTGTTGTTGTAGGACATAAGTAAACAAGTAAGCGATGTTTACAAGTCAGTTACTAAAAGTTGTGTCATTGCCGGTCATTGCTTAGTTTCCTTGCGGAAGTTTTAAATAACGTATAAAAAAAGAAATTTCTAAAAATGGTGCAACTCTTAACTTTAGCTGTCAAGTGGTCAAACATGCAAACTGTGAAGACAGTGATGCCATGTGCCTGGTTCGATTCCCGCTTGGGTCAGTAAAAATTGTTAGTAGTGTCTTAAGAGTAAGTTGTGAAGATTAACGAAAGTCAAGGTTGAAAAGTGTTAAATTAAGTGGTAGCCAAGATTAACTAAGGTGGAACAACAAGTAGGGGAAAATTATTCCAGGTGTAAGTTAAGGTAAATACTATGACAGACAAATGCTTTATTAAGATTAAGAAATAATACTCAATGAGTTTGATTTTCAGTCTTCGCATTTTTTATAATTAAAATGATTACACAATTACAATGTCGTTGATTACACAATTGAAATTTTATCGATTACACAATTTTACAAATTTTCACTTTTTCCCTAACGACTAAAATTCATGAATTTTAACAAATTTTCACCCAAACACTATAATTCATGAATTTTAACAAATTTCACCCAAACACTATAATTCATGAATTTTAACAAATTTTCACCCAAACACTATAATTCATGAATTTTAACAAACTTTCAGGCAAAGACTATAATTCATGAATTTTAACAAACTTTCACCCAAACACTATAATTCATGAATTTTAACAAACTTTCAGGCAAAGACTATAATTCATGAATTTTAACAAACTTTCAGGCAAAGACTATAATTCATGAATTTTAACAAATTTTCACCCAAACACTATAATTCATGAATTTTAACAAATTTTCACCCAAACACTAAAATTCATGAATTTTAACAAATTTCACCCAAACACTATAATTCATGAATTTTAACAAATTTTCACCCAAACACTATAATTCATGAATTTTAACAAACTTTCAGGCAAAGACTATAATTCATGAATTTTAACAAACTTTCACCCAAACACTATAATTCATGAATTTTAACAAACTTTCAGGCAAAGACTATAATTCATGAATTTTAACAAACTTTCACCCAAACACTATAATTCATGAATTTTAACAAACTTTCAGGCAAAGACTATAATTCATAAATTTTAACAAACTTTCAGGCAAAGACTATAATTCATGAATTTTAACAAATTTTCACCCAAACACTATAATTCATGAATTTTAACAAATTTCACCCAAACACTATAATTCATGAATTTTAACAAACTTTCAGGCAAAGACTATAATTCATGAATTTTAACAAATTTTCACCCAAACACTATAATTCATGAATTTTAACAAATTTCACCCAAACACTATAATTCATGAATTTTAACAAATTTTCACCCAAACACTATAATTCATGAATTTTAACAAACTTTCAGGCAAAGACTATAATTCATGAATTTTAACAAACTTTCACACAAACACTATAATTCATGAATTTTAACAAACTTTCAGGCAAAGACTATAATTCATGAATTTTAACAAACTTTCACCCAAACACTATAATTCATGAATTTTAACAAACTTTCAGGCAAAGACTATAATTCATGAATTTTAACAATTTTTCACCCAAACACTATAATTTATGAATTTTAACAAATTTTCACCCAAACATTGCAATTCATGAATTTAACAAATTTTCACCAAAACACTATAATTTATGAATTTTAACAAACTTTCAGGCAAAGACTATAATTCATGAATTTTAACAAATTTTCACCCAAACGCTATAATTCATGAATTTTAACAAATTTTCACCCAAACACTAAAATTCATGAATTTTAATAAATTTTCACCCAAACACTATAATTTATGAATTTTAACAAATTTTCAGCCAAAGACTATAATTCATGAATTTTAACAAATTTTCACCCAAACACTATAATTCACGCATGTTCATGCCAAAGACTATACCTCATGATTTTCACACATTTTTATGCCAAAGACTATAGTTCATAATTTTCACACATTTTTATGCCAAAGACTATAGTTCATGATTTTCACACATTTTCATGCCAAGGGCTACAGTTCTTGATTTTCACACAATTTAATGCCAAAGACTATACTTCATGATTTTTACACATTTTCATGCCAAAGACTATATTTCATGCCAAAGACAAATTTTCACCCAAAAACGTTCACTCATTTTTATGGCCAAGACTATAGTTCATGATTTTCACAAATTTTCATGTTGTCTTTGTCATGAAAATGTGTGAAAATCATGAGCTATAGTATGTGTCATGAAAATGTGTGAAAATCATGAGCTATAGTCTTTTTTTTGAAAATATGTGAAAATCATGAGCTATAGTCTGTCATGAAAATGTGTGAAAGTCATGAGCTATAGTCTTTGTAATAAAAATGTGTGAAAATCATGATCTATAGTCTTTGTCATGAAAATGTGTGAAAATCATGAGCTATAGTCTTTGTTATGAAAATATGTGAAAATCATGAGCTATAGTCTTTGTCATGAAAATGTGTGAAAATCATTAGCTATAGTCTTTGTCATGAAAATGTGTGAAAATCATGAGCTATAGTCTTTGTCATGAAAATGTGTGAAAATCATGAGCTATAGTCTTTGTCATGAATATATGTGAAATCAAGATCTATAGTGTTTGGCATGAAAATGTGTGAAAATCATGAGCTATAGTCTTTGTTATGAAAATATGTGAAAATCATGATCTGTAGTCGTTCTCATGAAAATATGTGAAAATCATGAATTATAGTTTTTGTCATGAAAATATGTAAAAATCATGATCTATAGTCTTTGTTATGAAAATATGTGAAAATCATGAGCTATAGTCTTTGTCATGAATATATGTGAAATCAAGATCTATAGTGTTTGGCATGAAAATGTGTGAAAATCATGAACTATAGTCTTTCTCATGAAAATGTGTGAAAATCATGAGCTATAGTCTTTGTCATGAAAATATGTGAAAATCATGATCTATAGTCTTTGTCATGAAAATATGTGAAAATCATGATCTATAGTCTTTGTCATGAAAATATGTGAAAATCATG